TTGAGATTTCTATTGAGAAATATGAAGGGTGAGTGTGCTTGTGGATTTGAATATAGGGTAGGTGTGGATGTGGGTGTGGGTGTGGGTGTGGGTATGGGGTGTGGATGGGGTGTGGGTGTGCGGTGTGCTGTGTGCGGTGTGGGTGAGTGTGAATGTGGCTGTACATCCTGTTTTAAAATCTACCCACACTTACATCCACACCTACCCTATATTCAAATCCACAAGCACACTCACCCTTCATATTTCTCAATAGAAATCTCAACTGATAACATGGCTGCTATCAATCTGAAAGATTTCTTCATGGTATGGTTAGATGCATCGATTCGCAGTAATGATACATATATCAGTTTTGCTAAACGTCAAAGTCATCTACGTGCATATGTCGTTTGCATCAAAATATTCGACAAACAAGATGAGTGCTTTGAATGCATGAATGCAACTTGTGTAGAACACATTTTTTTCATTACGTCTGGTTCATTCGGTGATAATTTCGTTCCTCAGGTGCACAACCTAAAATAATTGACGTTCATTTATATTTTCTGTGCTGACAAAGAAAAACATGAACGGTGGCCAAAGACTTATGTCAAATTACGTGGAGTCTTTGATCATGATAATCAATTGATGATGCAATTACGAAGCGATTTGCAAATGCATATCAAAGTAATGACACTGATGAGTATTTTTGATTCCAAAGAAAAGTCATTACAAGATCTCAATGTTGAACAATCCTCATTTATGTGGTTTCAGTTGCTTATTGAAGTTTTGCTTAGATTTCCGCAAACAGAAACTGCTAAAGATGAAATGGTTGACGAATGTCGCGTCACTTATCATGATGATTCATCGGCGCTGCAGCACATTACTGAATTTCAGAACAAATATGATGCCAGTCAGGCCATTTACTGGTACACTGCTGACAGCTTCCTCTACAGACTATTCAACTCGGCTATTCGTATACAAGATATCGATGTGATATTTCGGTATCGCTATTTTCTCATTGACCTCTATGCACAGTTGTGTGCTTTAAAAATCTCTCAGTTGTCAATAGAAAATGCATCGTTTACTGTCTATCGAGGCCAGGGAATATATGCCGAAGAACCACAGAAGCTACAGCAAGGCGTCGGCAACCTTATTTCAATCAACACATTCTTTTCGTCATCGACAACGTGTTTGGTAGCCTCTCACTTTTCTGACTGCGGTGAGAGACGTCCTCTCATCGAATCTGTAATATTTGAGATTAAGATTGATCCAGCCACCTATCGACGACCATTCGCTCGAATTGAAGGTTTAAGTTTCAACAAGGATGAAGGTGAAATGTTGTTTGCTATGGGTACTGTTTTTCGAATTGAAAGTGTCGAGCTGTACATTGACGATATTTGGCTAGTCAAGCTAAAGCTTTCAAATGAAGTAAACAAAAATCTAACCGATCTACTCGATTATTATATCACAACCATCGGGGAACAATCTTCCATTCTCGTGCTTGGCTTGTTTTTATCGAAAATGGGCCAGTTTGAGAAAGCGCAACGATTCTATAAACGTTTATTAGAAGAACTCTCACCTGATGACACTACATTAGGAGTTGTACTGAACAATCTCGGTGAAACGTATCGCCAGCAAGGTAATATGGACCAAGCGATGCATTACTTTCAGCGAGCATTAGCGATTGACGACGAGCGGACATACTCTTATATGTGGCGTGCTATTGTACACAGTAACATGGCCAGCTTATTTCAGTCACATGAAGAACTAGATCAAGCACTAGTGCATTACCGAGAAGCACTTAATGTATTGCGGACCAAGGTAAGTGCTGATATTTCTGAAGAAATAGACGAGCTTCTTGATAACACAAGAGCCACCATCTTTCATGGCATTGCAAATGTGTACCAGGCACAAGGTCAATACGATCTAGCGCTCGCATGTTATGAAGAGGTATTAAAAACAGAAACAGATCTGCCAGAGAATCATTCATCCTTGGCTACTACCTATAACAACCTAGGTCGTTTATATTCACTAATGAAAAATGGGCCACTAGCACTTGATCATCAAAAGAAAGCTCTCAACATACAGTTGGCTAGTTTGCCACCTGATCATCCACAGTTGGCATCAAGTTATGCTGCTATCGGTACGTTATTATTGGACGGCAAAGATTATGATGCTGCATTGCCATATTTTATAAAGGCCGAGCAAATTCTGGAGCTATCGAATGTGTTCCCTGATTACGAAACTCTGAAGATTGTCTACATTGCTCTTGCTATGATCTATGAGGAAAAAAGAATGTTCCAAGTCGCTATTCGTACACATAAGAAACATTTTGAATTATTACAGCGCACTTCACTATCTCTAGATCACTATAATATCGCGGAATGCGCATATAGAATCGGTCGTCTGATGACTAAACACAATAAAATATTAGAAGGACGCGATTATCAACAACGAGCAGCAGAAAATGTTTTGCTGTTGCCTCCCTCGAGCCGACGTCATGAGTTGTTATTGAAAATTATTGAAGAACTGCAACGAACAGGAAATCATGCTCTTGCTTTAGAATACTACCAACGCATGTTTCATGAAGAACTCACCGGGGACAATAAAAATCCACTTCTCTGCGCTGGTCTACATAATGAACTAGGGACGATTTTCGAAGATCAAACTAATTACGTCGGTCCATTGCATCATTATCAAGTTGCTCTTCAATTGTTACTTGAACATAATATTACTAGAGATAGCCTTACTGCGACATGCTTTTACAATATCTGTATGGTTATTGAAAAATGATTTCGGAATAGTTGGCAATTCGTTGTCGAGACACTTAACTTTAGATAATTAAGTTTGATTTGAATAGAGTTGTATGAAGTAAATGAAATAAATGATAAATCAAATTAGATTTTTGGCCTACTTCTTAATTTAATTTGAATCTTTCTTTTTGTTATAAGTTATGATACTATCATATGTTTATTCTAACGTAGAACAACAAAATGAAATTCTAATATATTCTTATTGTGTTAATATTTTAAAAGCTTTATATGGCAAAAAAAATATATCCATGAGTGTTTTATTCTATTCTATATTGAATCATTTTCTAAAATAAGATGCCATACTGAGATTGACAAAGAATTAAAAAAAAACTTTTTTTTTCTTATTATATTCAATAGGTAGTTTTATTCGTCAATACTAATTACGAATTTGGATTACTTCACCTAAAAAGAGTTTTGTCCAACTTTATAAAAATTCATTATTTGCTAAAATCCTATCCACTTATCGAGAAATTAGCTATGGTAATCAATTTTCAGTTATCAGTTATCCAGTAACGTAACGATAATTTCTCTTTCTTGATCAAAGTAGTAGTTTAGAAAATTGATTGAATATTTGAATCAGATCAAAACTCAGGCAATGCTGTAATGAAAAAGAATAGTGTCTGTGATATTCCAATGAGTAGTTCGATTTTAACGATATTTAAAAAGTACTGTATACCATGCTTCGTGTCACTTTTAGAAACCTTGTAATCCGTGCTTTTACTGGAGATACTTTCAAGTAGTTGAAAGTAGTTAGAAAATCATCATAGTTCCTCTTTGACAAAATTACTGAGAAATCGCAGGTGCAACGAATTTCACAAGAAAAACTATTGTCAGAAATGAAATCACAAAACATTCTCGTTGCATCTACATATGTCAGAAGCAGAGGAATAAGCGTACTTCTATACTTCTTAGCACTTCTGCCTATTACTAAGTTCATTTAATTTTTTTTACTATATTTCCTTTACAGGAGTGTCTCATTCCAAGTACTTTGTTTATTTTGTATTGCTGACATCCTAACAAACAAGTAGACCTACGGAACAAGAGGCTAGGCAGATCCAAATGTAATCTCTGTCCTCTGTTTATCTTGCATTTTCTCGGTACTTCACTTGTGTTCTGCATATCCTAAGTATATTCACTATATTCTCTGAATCTCGAATGTATCTTCTTTAATCTCTATACATCTTTCGTATACTTAGTATTCTTCGTGTATTATATACTTTTAGGATAAATACTAATATTGTCTCCACAAGTATTAATCTATTTAAAAGTTCGCATCGATCTATTGTAAATACGAAAAGTATGACCTATGAACGTTAGAAACGAACCATGTCACTGATCAGATGGATTTCAAGATTAATGATTTAAGTAACGGTCTATCGAATAGTTTTTGGACAAAATGTTTGCCCATTTTTGACTCTCTTAATACTACTCTAGACGAATGAAAACCTATGGGTTAGGATCAGCATTTTTTGCTCTTTCCGAATATGGGCTCAGAAATGGTGTGCCTGCTTTCGCTTGAGAGTAGCGAAGAAATCTTTGAGAGACCTAAACAAGATAGTTTGGACGGATCGGTTGGACCGAAGTTTTTGGATAATATTTTGTTCATATTTGACCGACTGAAAAGTATTCTAGATGAATGGAAAACTGTGGCTTAGGACTAGAATTTTGTGCTCTTTCTGAACAATGAGCTGAGAAATTGTGTACCTATTCTTGTCCTAGAGTACTGATGGAATCTTTGAACGGTCTGAAAAATTGGTATGAGTGACGAAGAAACAGGCATTTTCGGCCTTCGTAAATGTCTTTGCAAAGGTGCTAAAAATGGTTCAATTTGGTAATTTTGTAGAGTGGACAATTCTTTACAAAATATTATGTCGAACAAAATGTAGGTTTTACACAAGTGAAACTATAACTATTTTCGCAAGCGCTACATCTACATAAATCGAATTTTGATCAAAACAACGATTTTTCAAAAATGTGGCTGATAGAAAAACAACAATTTAGGTATTTTATCAGAACAAAAAAATAAACTCAAATACCACATTTTGTAGAACAAATTTTTCTCTACAAGCTCATATGTGAAGAAAAGTTTCCGCATTTAGTTTTGAATACCAATAGTGGAAATACGAAAATGTACGAGGAAATTTTCTGTTCAAACTATCTTTTTAGGCCTTCCAAATATTTTCTCTCTACTCTCGAGCGAAAACAGATACACAATTTCAGAGCCCATATTCGGAAAGAGCACAAAATTCTGGTCCTAACCCATAGTTTTCATTCGTTTAGAATTCTTTTAAGAGAGTCAAAAATGGACAAACATTTGTCGAAAAACTTTTCGATAGACCGTTAGAATAGTTTCTAATACTTTTTCATAGAATAAAAATCAGCTGAAATTCAATAAATCACGGTAGTGTAGTATTTTTCTTTTGCCTCATTGTCTAATCAGCGAGCATGTACTCTTTAAAAAAACGTTTCCTGAAAAACTCTTAGAGGCTTTCCGAGAAAAGGTTTCCGAGCCTTCGTAAACTCATAATCAACCCCACTAAAACGACATATGCAGCGCTGATCTCGGAAACCAATTAAGAGTTATGTTCAGATTTCCGAAAAAGGAAATTACAGCAATTTCCGAAGTTTCCATCAACTCGATAACTACAGAGCAGAGCAAATAAAATTTTTTTGGAAATATTGGAAATTATAGAAATTTCGGAAATTACATGATTTTGGGAAATACTAAACAATTTAGAACACAAGTGATTGAAATTTTCGGAACTTCCAAAATTTCCTTTTTCGGAAATCTGAAGACTGCTGGTCAAAACAGGGATGTGGGTGTAGTTAAAGGAGTTATTATACCCACACTCACCCACATTCACACCCGCTCCCACATATCTACACCCACACCCACCCAAAATATAAATGCTCGAAAGTCAGCTGATATTTCATCTACAAATCATTCAAATTTTATTAAGCGTTCTAATCAATATCTGATTAATATGAATATTATATAACTACATATAATGAAGCAAACCATTTAAATATACTAAGTTTTAAATCAATGAAAGATTTCATCAAAGTTTCGTTATAAATGAAAACAAAAGAATGAGTAAAGATTTACAAAAGAAATATCCTCAAATGTTTATTCTTTCTTTAGTAATAATTGGCATGATAATAGATTGCCAATTCTTTCACTTAATGCTTAAAAACAATAAGATAAATTAGGTACCCTTGCAATACCTGGAACATCTTCACGATCGCCAGTCCTTCCATCAAGTTATCATATTCAAAATCAAGTTGAAGAACATGCAAGTCAAAGATTAACTTTATATAATAGGCTTGCTTCTAAATTATTAAAGTGACCATGGGTTGTCAAAGTCAACCCACCCGATCTCAGGAAAGTTCTTTTGTTCGACGATTTACAAATTTTTTTCAAAATATATCCGTCCCCTTCCCCGTCAAATTAGACTACTTCAGAACATCCTTGAAAGTGATTCAATCGAAAAAGAAATATTTATCAATTACATAATCAACTGAAATATCATATAATTGTATCGCATGGTTTACAATCTCTGTAGCAAGGTTCTATGAAATTTGAACGCATAACGTTGAGAAAATTAACCCCGAATATCACACTAGCAATATTCTTTTGTTGATAAAAATAAATTCAAATTCATTGCTAGAGACACAAAAACAACATTGAAAATAAAATAAAATATGAAATGTGAACAACAACTTTCTTGTAGATAAAGGTAAGATGGCCTCGAGACAGGATCGAATTTTTTTAAACATATCTAAAATCAAAATGAAAGATTCGACTTATGAATCGATGAGCATTCTTCAAAGGCAATACAATGCTATTAGTGAATCACAGTACAGCAGCAACCAATATCCGTCAAATCGCCTACTTCTTGGTGAGTAATCATAGTATAATGTCACGACTAATCGACAACTAAATGGCAATCAAATTGCAGATTTTTTCGCGATTTCAATAGCATGGATTAGATGTTTCTTTTTCTTAATCAGTGTAAATAAGTAGAAATGTTTCTCGTATAGTTTTAGTAAATGAGCTACAAGGGTAAACTTCTTTAATTTTTACTGTACATCGAAGTCAGAGGTTATCTTGTTGTTGCTGTTTTTGTTTTTGTTTTTGTTTTTGTGTTTCCACCGGTTTTGTACCTCATCGTCGAAAGTCGCGCCGAAACGACCATTATGAAAAGATCCATCACCGAACCTCTTTCGATTGTCTATATTCATTAGTTTCATTTCGGCGATTTAACTTTCCGTGATCACTTCTTGCTTTCATTCTTTCTGAATACTTATCATATATATGCATATATATAGCATCTATTGAATTATAATGTGTGCATAATGAATTACGACTTGGTCCTTTTCAGTCATTAGCTTAGCTTCTGACTTAACTTAATCCTTGATGGCCAGTATAAATTCACTCTATATTCACGCACCTACCCTTGTCAACACACGCTCATCCACATGACAGATAAGCGAGCCTAAAATTAGAAATTTGATCTCATCAAGCAGGCCATCAAGTAAGGATGAAAATCACAGATGCAGGTTCCTCAAGTGTCATTTAGGTACTAATTCACATAATAAAATACATGAGTTTTATTGATTGAAAACGTATACGGCAAAGACAACAAAAAATCGCAATCTTATGAGTAAGAAAGAGACATCTTCCTTTTGCTGTCGCAGAGCGTAATGACCTAATATTAGGGTTATGTCGCACCTATACATATTATATAACTTATGATCTTCCTCCACTGTCTTTCAACTTTCTGTTATATCTCTTTCATCTCTATTGGTACAGTTTTTCTTTTCGTTCTATATATATATGTTTTTGTTTGTTTATGAAAAAAGATATATAATAAAGTTGGTGCATAAATATCAGCACATAAAACCAACATCTCAAAATAAACAACTTTAGGATAATAAATAAAATCCTAATACCTAATCAACCGAAAATTATGGCTTCTCTTCAACAATTTGTGCATTGGGCACGCGTACAAAGCGAATAATAAACATAGGCAATATTTGGGCCGATTGAAACAATACAATTTCTTTGACTTCTGGTGATATGTGTGAGTTAAAGCCTGGTTCACATTGTCGGCCAAACTTTTCGCCATCTTTCTTGACAACATATGATCGACCTGGCAACACAGCACTGAGCATAATTTCGTCTGAATGTTTATAAAATTCAGCATAGTGAATGGCATAATCGGCTGCAAATCCCTGGTAGATACCGCGACCAAAATAACCAGAGTCAAGTATCTTGATATTGTGCGATTCTAAGTTAGCACTCAACATTTGCCTTAATTCTTTTGATTCGAGAAACCCATTTTCAGCGATAGATCTCAAACATTCGCGAGATGATCCGTGATAGACGAACAATAATTGCGCATCTTGTCCAAGTTTGGAAGGATAATCTTCGAATTGTTTGAATAGGCGGCGATTTCGAATGATATACAGACCGGATAGACGATACTGTGCAATTCCTGAGAGGCTGTTGACAAACTTACTTTCAACATCTCGCCACCAGAATGTATTTTCTACGATCCCATTAATTGAAAAGAGAAGCATGGGTTTGATAGTTTCAAGCAGTTGGGATTTCATATCTGATCGAAACGTTCCTTCTGGTGGAAGATATTGAAGAAGCGCTTGTTGGATTGGAACTAATTGTCGATAGTCACACTAGTTTACAGCAGTGACTAACGTACTCAGTATATGAAACTGTAAAAAATTTGACGATGAATTAAGTAGCATGTAACAGACAAGATCCAAATGAACAGGATCCTTTTTAAATCGAATTCGTTGCAAAGCTACTGCTTGTCGACCATGTGACTGTGAAATAAGATAGGATGTTAATGGAAAGGAATCAGACACAGTTTGAATCAACTTATACATCTTATCTACTACATGGTCTTTTTCGGCTACACGTTTGGACCACAATGGATTTGAAGAGTCTCTTCCAATATCTCCATATTTAACGTCGATTTTGTCCAATGCCTCAGCCAAGCTGTCAAGTTCGTCCATATTGCTGAAAACGACAACATGAGTACGTTCCTTTAAAAATATTTGTTCTTCGTTCCTTTCATCTTGACGCACACTGGAAAAAAATGTTGTCGCTCTTGCTTGCTTTTCTCTCTGTAAGTTTCAAGTAAATGAAAGGAATGAAGAAAAAAAAAAGGAATTTATCAAGAGACACGCAAAAGAAAGAAAAATGAAAACGTGTTGGCAAACGTAGTAACGAATTCGTTTTTTTCCCTTCGCATTCGTTTTATAACCTGTGAGGGCCTCTCGAAGATTATATTGCAAAGAAAATTTCTCGTTCTGTGAATTAGTGTCAAAACCATATCGATATTGATGTGACTGGGTGAATATCTTCTTTTGGGGCACACCCATCCACCGATCTCAATGCTCACACACTATTTGGATATTATCAGTAGACTATGATTGGTGGAGAATGTTAAAAAGAAAAAGTGTGCTTATCGTTTTTTTTCTAACTTTAATGTATCAGTTACTTGGCATTTCAAATACAAATACTCACGTGAAGAAAATTTTTTTACGTGCTTGAAAGATATCTACTTTTTTTCGAAATAATAAAAAATTAGTCAATGCCGACTTTTTAACACTCATTTCCTTATGAGAAGAAAACAGCTAAAAATATACTGTGAAACTTGTTCTTATTTTCGTTTCAACAAATAGTTCAATTTTTTTTACAAAGTACACCAGAAGGTAGTGAATTGAAAACTAAACAGAATGATCTATTTTAATACAATACAGTGTTGGCTGACTTCAGTTTTATAAAGCCACCATGAATAAAAAATGACTCTTTCGATGAGCGTAAAAGCTTCATATAATAATAATTAATCTTCTGTTGGGATTTACAATCAAAGAGTTTCAAGACAAATTTTATATATGTTGTACGATTCTTTTTCTCTACAAAACAGTAAAAATAAATAATCAGAAATAATTAGTACTTTCCGAATGCAATTGCGTGCACATTTCTCTCTCTCTCTTACATAATAGTTTCTTAATGATTTTCCAGTAGAAAAAAAAACATTTTTAGCGATTTTGATTGCCATGACAGTATTGTAAAGCAAAGTAAACATGACCTTTGGAATCCATGTCAAAAACTACATTGAATTAAACCCATTTTTGAGACACTTTTTTCTGTGAATAATTGGCCCTGGAGAACCACATAGCAACCTTGTAATTTTAATAAAACACAGTGGCGGAAGCCCAAGGTAATTTTTTCACTGAAAACGAGTTTCTCTAAAATGTGTTTGATCCAATACAGCTTTTGACATTGATTCCGAAGTTCGTGTTTATTTTGATTGACAATTGCGTTACGGTAATGAAAACTGCTAAATGTCTTTTTTCTATACAAGCGAGAGAGTTATGAATACCGTTGCGCTTGGAAAGTACTAATTATTTCTGACTATCTTTTTAACCATTTCGTAGAGAATAAATAGTTGTATAACATATATAAATTCAACCTTGAACTCTCTGATTCTAAATCTCAACAGAAGATTAATTATTATTAAATGAAGCTTTTACGCTCATAGAAAGAGTCATTTTTTATTCATCGTGGCTTTATAAAACTGGAGTCAATCAACACTGTATTGTATTAAAATAGCTCATTCTGTTTAGTTTTCAATTCACTACCTTCTGGTGTACTTTGTAAAAAAAATTGAACTATTTGTTGAAACGAAAATAAGAACAAGTTTCACAGTATATTTTTCGCTGTTTTCTTCTCATAAGGAAATGATCGTGCTAAAAGGTCGTTATTGGCTAACTTTTGCAAGAAAAGATATTTGACGCTAAAATGTTGGAGTTGGTGATTTCAAGTACCAATGCATTAAGTGTACAAAAGAAATTCTTTTTCGTCAAGTGCGTTGTATACTTGATGGTCTCATAATTGCCAACAATTGAAAGATATGATTTTTTGTCATGTTTTGTATTAAATGATATTTTCCTTGCGGATTATCTATTCCTCTTATTGTTTGAATCTATTTCAAGTCATGTCCGTTTTTTAGTTTTTTTTCCTTCAATCAATATTGTAGCTTACTATGCGATCGATGTTAATCTTTTCATGATACTTCCACAGATGTATGGACCATAATGTCTTCTATGTCACAGAGAAAATCGCATCTAGATATCATTCCTCATTCATGGGTTACTCAAAAATTAAAAAGTTGGAAAAAAATGTCTTTAGTCCAATACGCTGGTACTTAAAGTGTTAAATTGTTTATTCAGTGGTAAATTATTGAATTGGGAAATATTAGGGTGGACATATGCCCATCAATAGAGAAGATGGATGTAGGTGGTGAGTAGCATATAATCCGCACCCAAAGCTATATTCGCACACAACCACATATTCACATCATATTCTTGATCATCATGGTGATCCAAAAACATTACTATTCATGTATAACTAAAAGCAATATCTTTGAAATATGTAACGCAATATCATTAGCAGTTTATTTTATTTAAAATTGATTAACAAACAGACAGAAAAGGCGTTATTAATAATCAATGTCACCACCATATAAAAAGCATTCGATCGCAGACTTTTATTGAATAGTTTTTTTGATTCAATCAGGATTCTCCATATTTCAGTCACGGTTGTTTCCGACGATAAGAGTTTAATAATTCGTTCATTAATCACAAAAGAAAAGTTGAGAGTAACATGTTCCAGTTTAGGACACAGATTGATAAATAGTTTGATCTTGCACAACGAATAATCACATAAAATAATGATATTTTTTATTTTATTTTTACTCGAAACCAATTGAAATCTTTCATTCCGTTCAAGTGGAAAATAATCTTTTATGGTAACTGATAAACATTTAGTTGTCAATGTATGAATATTAAGTGCAAAATATAATATTTCAATTACTCTATTAAAAGAATCATAGAAATGATTAGTTTGGTGAGATGTAATAATGGAATAATATGATGAATATTATAATTTTCAAACCATTTACAACGAGTACCTATAGGATTAGTGAGAGTGCGTTCAGTGCCATTTGAAAAGGAATTTAAACATTTATCAAATGCTTCTTCGTTTTTGATATCAACATGATGAACAGAGAGAAGAATGTTTTCAACATGTTTTAGATACTTTTCTGTATTTTCTCTGTCAATTAATTTAAAGTATCTTCTTCTTAAAAAGAAAAACGAAAGAAAAATGTGGCATTTTTACTTAACTTCATCTTTTTTTTTACCTATATGACTGTATGAAGTAGAAGCATCCATATGTAGATCTTTCAGACATTGGATCCGGTTCAAAAAACCATTGTCGTTTCAACCAAAATGAAGACATGAATTTCTTCAATAAAGGTTGATACATACTTTCATATTTATTACCACAGAGTTTTTCATCTGTATGTTGAAATTCAAAGATTTGTAAATGTGGCATATGAGATAAAACCAATTGTCCCTATCGATCAGTATTTAAATATTTCATGTCCTAGTTTGTTGAAACATGTAATACTTTAACTTGACAAATATTCCTTTCAATAAATTTTTCTAACTGATCAAATTCTAAGTGATCCAAAGTAAGAGATAGATGTGTTAAATTATTTAAAACAACTGAAGATATTTCTGTTTCTTATTCGTAAGATTGTTTTAGATGATTAATTGATAAACGACGAAGTTGAAGAACACATGATAAAATACGAGCAATTGCTTTTTATTATGCCATTTCCATCGAAAATCTATTATGATTATCAACATTATTCAACTGTGTAATACATTTTATTCATTCACATGATATTGATATATACTGAATATTTTATCATTTCTTCGATCTGGCTTGACAAATGTAATTGTCAATGAATTCTTTTTCCATTGCTTGAGGTGTTCACCATTCGCAATTATCTACAAGGTGCTGCAAAAGTCTCTTCCAGAAAGCTTTTCAGTACATGTGTTGAAAGATTTTTACAACGATTTGTTTTTAATTACTCGAATTCCTTGAATCATTCTGATCTTTGAAGTGTTCACTTCTATAATAGTCATTTTATAGACATTTGTTTTAATATATTTCCATAAAAAGAAATTCAATAGTATTAAGTCTAGTGACTGAAAAGCTCATGAAATCAGTCCATCTCTTCTAATTCACTATTCGTCAAACCTATCGGTCAGCCAGTAGTGAACTATCTTGGAACAATGTGCTGATGTCATATATTGCTAGAAACTCATATTTTTAGTAATTATTTTTTTTTTATAAAATCAGGTAAAGAATGCTTTGAAGCATGTCAAGGTTATTTTGTTGATCCAGCATTCAGTTTGTTTGATACTACACATCACAACTTCGAAGCGGTACATCGATCACTATGAATGTAAATACAGCAGCTGTGTTTATTAACCAATGTGCAGCCAGTGATTATGTGAATAACATTCAAGAAAATGAAGCAATGAAAAAGTAATCATTGAATAATGTCTTTTACCACATAGAAAAAGAGCTAAATTTTTATATTTCAGTTAGAGGCAGGATTGCCACTTCTTCCGTTTTTTCATATGAAAAATAATATTAAGTTGTGGTAGCTATCGTCTATACTCTATTATCGCTTATATGACTCATTTTGTGTGCTGTTACAACAAACAACGCCAATGTCGACAGTGTTTTTTCGGAAATAAGACATGTTCAATGATTTTTATAATTTGAATTTTAACTAGATTCAATAGCAGTTGAAATATTTCATCATCGCACGAACATCTGTTATATCAAAAAGAATTAATAACCGAAATCAATTTAAAAAATGATGTGTTTAATACAAGATCCATCTTCTTTATGTATTATTTCTTATATTTTTCAACTTTGAGAATACAAAAAAAGCAACAAGTTCTTGAAACCCATAGAAATACAAGAAGCCCCACAAACAGCATGTTTCCGCGTTTTTGGCTTAAGGAAGTGACAACCTCGGTTAGAGGCAATACCTGTGAAGGATACGTTTGAAGGATGTTCATATAAACAAAAACTCAATGTATCCATCTATCATTTAAAAAAGAATAGTTGATAAAGTTAAAGCAAATAGTAACGATATACGAATAAAATTTTAAGATGAAACTTTTGGGACATCTTGTACATATTCAATAAACAAGCAAATATAAACAATTCATTTAGTATCTAATAACTATTCAATATTCATCTCTGATTTATAAGATTTAATAAATGATCAGATTGACAGTAACTTTAACAGATTTTTTCCAAATATTCGCAAACTTTCTTAGATGAGTTATGTAAATTCAGATTTCATCGTTTTTCTTTTTGTACAAGTACCATAATAGCTTATTTGTTATTTCTAAAAATTAAAACTTCAATTATGTATTGAATCCTAGATCGGTTGAATATGTTCGATTACTATGAAAACAAGAGCAATCTAGAAAAATCATAATTATCTATATTTATAACTTATGAAATAGACAAGTTTCTAAGAAAATAAATTATTATTCAGTATTACAATTAATAATTTTATGTCGTTAATCTGGCTGTATATCCACCCGTGAGTTCGAGTTTATATATTGAATAATACGAATGAACTCGAAAGCAGAGGTGATTTACAGAAAACCAAATAGTAAAAAACATTTTTTCTGTAGTATTAATCAGTTTTATATTGAATTACTTACGAAATATAAACATATATTCACATTTCATCCTCGTCATTAAACTTCTACACAATTACAAGTATTTTTTCTTTATGCTTTCATGGTATTGTTATACATACATCTTTACTTGACAATAATTGTGCGAGAAATGACTGTTGTACATGAGAATCGATATTTTTTTTTCTCGAAGAGAAAATATATATATATATATATACAAGAGAGAGAAAAAAAAGAATTCGAACTGTTTGACTTTTCACTATGTATCAATCGATCTAGTTATTGGACATATACATTGAATTTGTTTGCATTTTGCTCATCAATGATTCCACTATAGACTACAAGAATGCTCTCATTTTGAGATGAAATATTGGTTAACTATTATTCTGATTGAGTTTTTCGAATTCAATAGATTTTTAGATGTATTCTGTTTGATAATTTTCAATATGAGAACAATGACAGAAAGTTAATATGTAGATATAAATCAACAACGTTTCGTGATAATGAGTACAGAATTAATGAGATTCAATGAAAAAGTATCGTATCGATGCGCATATTCTGTCCTAACCCAATTTAAGGATAATTTCTCCGCATGACATACTCGTTATCGTCAATTTTATTTTTATGTCAAAACGAACCGATTGTATGTCAATGGACAACAGGTCAATTTTACTCGTATGTGTTTATTTCACATGTCGTAGGGTTAAGTACATTCAGAATTTTTTTATCTGTATAATATTCTCTGATGTGAATCAACTTAAATCTTTATTAGACATAGACTGTATATCAGAATGATAAAGATCATACGTATAGATGATTTGATATGTTGATAGAATCGAAAATTCTGAGCAGACTACACATTATCAAATAAAATCATGAAAAAAGAAGAAATCAAAGTATTCAATGAGTATATTTTCCTTTTCCTCATACTGGTTCATCAAAGTTTCAAGACATTCTTAATTGAATATTTTACTCTGATTTTTGTTGAATGTCATATGCTTGGATTTATAAATTTCATTTTTATTTATGTTCGATATTGTTTTTAATAAATTCTTTATATTTTAACAATAAATAAAAAAAGGATACAACAAAGATATTTTTCACGAATTATGAATATATACACATGTATATATATATATATATATACATATATATTTTGTTTAAAACTTTGTATTTTCTCGTTCTTCTTCGTTATTGTTATTATTGTTATTATTATTTTGTGCACCTCGAATACTAATCACTACTCGATTATTTGCTTGTTGTTCAATATCAAATTGATCGATTGTATCATTTAATGATGCAAAATAAAGTGGATTAGATAAACCTTTTATTGATGATGTATTTGAATGTAATTGAATTGTTTCAGGTTGAGAACGAATCGTTAGACTTTTTTCATCACCATCTTCTTGTTGTTGTGATTTTATAATTATTTTAGCATGTAATGAAGATAAATCATTAAGATCTGATGCTATTGTATTTGATTCTGATATACGAGGAAGTGTAAGTGTATTTGAATCGATCATATGATAATGAGAATTATTTTGTAATATTTTATTGCCATTTTCATCTTGTATTGAACGTTTCATTGATTGAAGATCATTAAGTGTATCAGGTATATCATAGAGTATTGTTTCAGGTAATGGTAATATCAAACAGCAACAAAGACATAGCGTACCACCAGATATAAATAAAAGTAATAATCGATCAATGGTAAACTATATTTACAAAAAAATTCGATAAAATTTTTATTTGATTTGACAGAGTTAGAAAATCATTATGTTCAGAAACATAAGTAGATCTCAACAGAACTGTTGTTTCAATCGACATAATTTTCCGTATTAGATGTCATTGATTGTTTATCAGTATGAATTCCAACGTCGAGGTAAAGTAGCTGATAAAATATTTGAAGCTTCAATAGCAAAGAAATCTTACACCAGAATTGTAACTACTCCGAAGCAGTCGGTTTTTACTGGTTGAAAAATATTTTTTTTAGATATTCCATTTTTTTCTGATAAAACTTGTTGAGAGCAAGTTTGTTTGTTCGTATCAAAATAACCAAGCAAGATGATTCCAATAACTATTAGTTTTATTTTCTTCTGTTCGTCCACACTATTTTATTTCTTTAATCGAAGTATATTGTACTTTTTAAAAATCACAATCAAAACTATGCTACTCAAGCTAAACTTATATCATACATATTTTAGTAAAGATCAAATTTAGGTTTTAATCGTTGTTCGTCGACTGGCTAGTTTTCATTAGTCTCAAAGATATTTTGAACCGACCAATTGGAACTATGTCTTATACACAGCTTCTTTAATAAGTTGTTTCATAAACGAATACAAAGACTTTCTAGTCCTTAGTGAGCAAATCCATCCGATTGTGCTTGCAAGACTCATTAAAAATTTTAACGACTATTAAAAATCTCATAAGCGAAGAACTATTAGCACAGAGGTCAGTTCTACCGAACTTAACATATAGTCCGTGAATGAAATCGAATGCACGAAGTTCCTACATTAGTCATAGAAAAAAAAGTCTAAATTTAAAAATCAACATACATAAAGAAGAAGTTCAACTGAAATTTGTGCTATAACTTCACCAGAAAGTCCAATAGCCAAACCAGTCGCTCTACGAAACAAACGAAATATTCATGTAATTTATAGATGGTGAAAAAACACAAAAAAAGGTTTACCGAACTGATGTCGGATAAAGTTCAGCTGTAAATAAAATCAAAAGACAATAACACGTTCGTAAACAAACACGAGCAACAAAAGATAATGTTATTTCAAGCCATGCATGTCCTTTGAAATAAAATTAATTATAAAAATTGATTTTTTTTAATATCAAACCTGTTTCAAGTAATGCAATTGCTAATGAAACAGAAGAAATACCACTAATTAAAATAAGTACCGCTAATGGAGCTCGACGACCAATTCTAGAATATTTTAATCATATCTTCTATTCTATCATTTATTCATAACTTACTTATAAGCAACAACAAGCGCAATAATAAATGAAAAAAACTCAGTAGCATTCATCAAAACAAAATTTATAGTTGGATGTGAAAGTATTGTTGGAAAAAAGATGCATCGATAGCAGAATGATGAAAGAAACCTTTAATTAAAAAAAACGAAAGAAACATTATGTCAATAAAATTAAAAACACGAATCAAACCAGAGTATAAATAAACAACAAGTAATTGTACGAAGTTGTTGATTTATTAATAAACATGATATTGAACCTGTTTGAATACGACGAGTATTTGTTGACAAAATTGGTTTATCATAAATCATAGTTGCTGGTGCCGGTGAACCAACTTTATTTAAACTTAATGTTGGTGTTTGTTTACTCGAACATAATTGTAAAAGTTTATTGACACGTGATATACGATTACTATTCACATACCATCGACGAGATTCTGGTATTAACCTAAATTTTCAATTTATATAATTTCAAAAAGATAAAAGAATTCTTTTACCATGGATAACAAAGTGCTAATGTAGTGATCAATGCACCTAAATTTAAAGAGTAAGATTTAAAAAAAAATAATAATCCGATATTTAAAATAATACCAAGTAATTGCATATGACGCCAATCTAATAGAAAAAAATAAGTAACACCAATAATAATACCAAAAATAGGTATAGAAGCAAGAAGAAGACAACCAATTTGTGCTCGATGTTTATATTCACATGATTCAATAACCATTATAAAGCCAAGTAAAAGAAGACCCTAAAGTTTTGTAAAAAAAAATATATATATATATATCAATTGAATTAAATAATGCACTAACTCTATTTAAAAATCCTACAGGCCTACGAAGAATAAGAAATAGAGTATAAGTTGTAGTAAAAGCAGCTAAAGAGCCGAAAAGCTAGAAAAGAAACTTGAAAAATAAAAATAAGATGTATTTTCTTAGAACCTATCACAAGATTTTTGCGATTTTCTTGTCCACAAGCTAAATTCCACTATGAACAGAAATAAGATTTTAAATAAGCAAATAATTAGCAAGTGACCTTAAGATGTTTGTTAAAATAATGACACTAGAATATATCAAATAATCAATGACGAGATTATAAATTTAAAACCTGTTGTTTTTTAGAAAGCACTTGGCTTTCCAGCAATAAACAATGATAAAATCGAGAATGCAAACGAATGCCAAGTTGTGTGAATAGTCGCATTTGTCAAAAATCATTTAATTATAGTTCTTCAAGTAGTACGAATGATTTACAGGATTATGCGCATGTATTACAAATGACGAAACCATCAACAACAATTGATGAAAGATAAATCGACAAAATTTTGAATCATTGTTTTCGTCTCAAAAAAAACTTGGAAGGTTAAATGAAAGCAAAACCAAAGAAATACAAGATTAACTTAAGTGACTTTCTCTAACAAAAGCTTTTTAAAAAACTTTGCCATCAGATAGGACAAGAGGCGAGGTAAACATTTTTATCCTGTTATGAACTCTAATCTGAATATAAATTCATCATTTGCAAAACAAATCCTGTTTTGTTCTGTTTTAGCATTTGTGATATTATACTTACTTCATCGATAATAGTTGCCTTTCGTACTTCTAACTACTGTATATTTGCCATCCATGATTGGCAAAGAACCCTTAAACGTTTATCATTGATATTCCCCTTAAGAATTTCCTTACATGGACAACAATCCGATCGATTATAGTTTTTTATTAGAATTGGAAGTATTGATTTTATTCGGGTGTTTAACGTTAATCCAGAAATAACTGGATTTTTATTCATTGAACAATTAACTGATGTAAATGGTTGTGTATAAAGTGACCATATATTTGAATGAAATGTAAATGGAAGATAAACACTACATAAAAAAGCTATACTTGCAAATTGAAAACGATATATAGTAGAACAATCTTTTGTGTTGCTATCGTTTGATTCCATAGTTATTTGTGTCAAATCATTCACTCTTGTATCTATGTTAATAAATGAACTAGACAGATATCATTACTTCTTTTCTTTTGTTGGTTCATTCGATCGTCAACTAATTGCTATTTGGTCTTATTAACATTTTACATTTGTTACTACTTATACTGCTTGATACAAACAAAGGATTAATCGTTAAAGACAACATACTGTCTGACTTTTTCGTTTGATATCTATATACACAAGTAAGACATATAGACAATGATCTGTTCTTTAGTTTTTATTTATAACAATGATATTTTAACAAAAAATAGTTACTGATTGAAATGATTCTTTGCTATTGAATACATTAGGAAAATTTTCTATTGCTTGTTTAAATGCTATTGATAAATGATCAAGACAGAAACGATTAACAAGAAGAGTTGTTACAGAAAAATCTCGTTTCCATTCAGTAAATATTTGATTGTCTGATGACGTGACATTAGTGAAGAGAACTTTTCGCATTCGATAAAAATCAAGTTGAGTAGAATTCTTTGATGAATCGATAATTGCATTAGCAGATAGTATTTGATTAGGTAAGATCCAAACAAGAAATATTGAATCATTCGACTTTGGTACTTTAATTATATATCGACCTGGTTCACAGTGACGAAAACATGTTGATAGATAGTCGTTTGAAAAAGGTAAAAGTGAACATTTGTTGAAAGACAGAAGATTATTCTGACTATCTAAATAGAAATAATTACATCTAATAATTGCAAAAAAAAAAATTTTTTTCATTTATATTGAGATTTCAATAAATGAAGATGTCCAATTTAACATACCGAATGATCCAAGACATGAAGAACAATGATTGCATTGAATAAGTTCATTATGAATTAAATTTGAAGATGAGTATTCTTTTGCAATAGTCAAACATTCGATAGTTTCAAGTACAATCAATTCTGAATGAAGATCAAGAGGAACAGGTAGCTGATATTGATGATTATGTTTATGTTCATGTTGATGAGCTTCACAAAATCGATGACAATACATGACTTCATTTATATCATCAGCATTAGTATTTTGCTGTTGAACAATTTTAAAAGTTTGACTATGATGAGAAATAAAATAAACACTAGTGTTTGAAAATGGAATAAACTATACTTTTCAGGAATGATCTTCAACGGTGATTGACACTTAGCACATGTAATATTGTTCAAATCATAAGGTTTGTTGTCAGTTATGGTTGGTAGACGAAGAAATGGAAATCTAAATAAAGAAAAAGTAAGACATATGTTATAAAATCGATAAGATCTACTTGAATGTTCGATGAATTTGTCTTTGTTCAGTTGCATTTGTATTTGTCGCAGGTAATGCAACTTCAGTACCTTTTTTTGCATCTATTATTAGATTGTTGAAATGAATTATAGTTTGATGATGTTGTTCTTCATCTTCAATGACAAATTGATCAGCTTGAATACTACAATGACCATAAAGAAAATCAAACAGAATACTTAATTAAAATAGCTATATATGATGAAACAGAGAAATTACATTTCTATGTCATATTCTATGATGGATTGATTTCAACTATCTAATATATGAAAAATCAATAGTAAATTTAATCTGTATATCTATCTTTGCTTTCTCAGCATGTATCTTAGTTAATTATCGACGAAATGAAATAAAATGGAATATATTCACTGTAAATCGATCACAATTATTCTCTGATATTTAACTTACAACAATATAATATTAGTGTCAATACTAGAAAACTAACACTTTAGGACAATAGTTGTTATAAAAATTATGAAATTGACTGTTTCAAGCCTGTTTGAATGGAATGTGCTACATGTTCATGTTACTGAATATGATAATTATATGTTTATGATATCTTAACAGAAGAACAGACTGCAGAATTTAACTAAATCAATGATGAATAAATTCATTACAAGCAATCAAATATTACGAACATCGAATGTGCACTCAAAAGTATAAAAAAATTGAGCAACATGCTGAAAATGGCTAAAATTCTTGGAAACGACCATTTTTTACCCTTTATCTGCTTACTTTCTACTCAAAAATCTCCTCGAATTTCAATTTGGATGCCATATTCAGATTCAGTGGACAACTACATCTAGCGATATACTTGTCATAGCTTTAGTGAACAAATTTTGTCGCTTGAAAAACTCACCTGGGTTTCCCCACGGGCAAATTTAAAATGTCTAATGACTAAAAAGTAATTCAAAGTCTAACAGGAAGCTTCGAAACCGTAAGAAAAGGTGGTAGAAGTTTCAATTGCATCTTCTCTCTAGTGCTTGAACCAATTTTTACACGTTCGACTTTTCAACTTTATCCGTAGGAAATTTCAGGAAAATTCTTTTAGTGACAAAAAATTGTTCACTAAAACTATGACAAGTATATCATTCGGTGTAGTTTTGTTCGCTGAATCTGAACACGGCATGCAAATTGAAATTAGAGGCAATTTTGAGTATAAAGTAAGCAAATAAAGAGTCAAAAATGGTCGTTTCCAGGATTTTTAGCCATTTTCAGCATGTTGTTCAATTCTTTTTATACTTTTGACTGCATATTCGGAATTAGCATAAAAAAATGCATCGAGTGGTGTACATGTGGCTGTTTAATGCTCGATCATTTTGTCGCGTCTAAAGGTCGCACAAAATGATACATCATGACTGTCTGTGAGAGATTTCTAATTGTATGAAACATTTCAATTGTTTACCGATTCCTTTTTTTAAACTAAATCAATTTGGAATGAATAGAACAAACATTTTAGCATATTTTGGAAAGAAAACGCAATTTTTTCATATATAGATAGACTAATACATGGGGCAATAGCTTTTTATATACAAAAATCAACCTAATCGAAGTGTAAATATGATATTCGTAATCAAAGCACAAAGTTACATATAAATGATATGCTCTTGAGAATATTTGAGGAAAAAATTGTTTTCAGAATTCTGGAGATACCCCAGAGGCGGAAACGTCACTTGGAAATTTTTGAAAAACTATGTCATAGGAAACACTTCTAGTAGTCTCCTAACACCTTTCAGGTAGATGAAAGTGGAAAAAATTGTGGGCAAAAAATGGTCATATCGGAACATGTCCTTTAGAAGGATCAAAATATAATAAAAATATGTTTTTGCAATAACCCATCCCTGTATCTCCACCAAGAATCTGAAAACGAAAACTTTTTAAAAATACTTTCTATTCAGAAAAATCGAATAATTGAGGGATCTGACTTTGATGCACATCAATTCAGACAATAATCTATTAATCTACTTTTAGAGCTGTAAAGAACAAAAATTTTATGCTTGGTCACTATTGCTCTCAGTAGCAGTATCCAAGGGTGTGAGACATGGGTGTGACGCTGAGTCAGTGTGGGTGTTGGTGGGGTGTGGATGTGGCGGTTGCGGAGCGTCGGTAGCTGTGTGCATGTGATATCGATATTCTCTCCACAACCCACACCCACGCGCTTAACAAGTATAATATATCTTAGTCTGAAAACGAAAGTATTCAATTGAAACAATTATTCGAATAACAAAATAATAAATCGTATTCTTAATTTGATAACTTTTTTTTCTGTCGATTCTCTAGCATAATTTTATACGAGTATTGTCTATTCTGGCTATTTTTATTACTTTCAATAATTCGTTTATGAATTTTTACATTAGAGATATGCAATTAAAAATTTTATTACAATTTAAAACTATACTTTTGTTCTGTTTAATAATATTGTCTTACTATAGTATTACTATTTGGGATATCTTTTTCGAGAATCTCTTAATTAAATGAAGCAAAAAGGTCATCTGTTGCTTAGTTCACTTTCAATCTACTGTAAAATATGGTTTGTTGACTTAAATCTTACAGAAAACATTTTATCAACTTTCAGCATCTCAAATTAATGTTTCCGATCTAACACTTTTGTTTTTGTTTTGTATGAAGAATGTCTTTTGACAAGTGTTAAAAGTTTTCGATATGTTGTGTATGAAATTAATACTTGAGTTTCTTATGAAACCTTTCTTATTCATATTTTGAGCAACATTCTATCACGAACTCTGATGCTTAAAATCTTATTTATACATGATCAGCAGATTACTATTCAATTATGTCGACAAATTTTTTAGTTTTAGTTTTTTCCATATTTTGTTTGGGATCTTTCCATTTTTTGTCTATTTCACTGTTCTCCAACAGGAATCTCTTCATAAAGCTTTTTCTTTCAATTTAAAAAATCCATACGATTTAGTTGATTCGTCCGATCATCATCATCTTTTTTTTTTATCACAGGTGAATATGTTCTACTCGATCTTTTATATCTTTATTGGGAACGTTTTAATGGAGCTTTATGAAAAGTTTAAACATGCTGACTTTAGCTCATTCGTAATGTATAAATTTTCATATTGCATTCATTCTAATATATAAATACCAGATAGCTGATAAGACTAAGCGATCTTTGTTCATGTACAGTAATGTCTATTACTTTATGTATCATTATGTGTGCATAAGTGATACTGACGGACGTAGGAGAGAACGAAAGAAAAAAAAACGATAAACAGTGATACACAATCATTATTATAGAAAATGCCCTCTTTTATATTTGTTAGAATGTAAATTCTTGACCTTGTCTTCAGTATCTTTCAATTGATAGTACTAGTCACTACTTTTAATATTATCTTTTTAGATGCGTAATTATATATCTATAAGTACAAATAAACACAAAAAGTTTAAAAAGGACTTTTCTACCGAAACATCTGAACAACGATGCGTAAGAGTTAGAAAAGAAAAAGAAGATAAAGACAAGAAGGTTGAAGAAAATGAAGATGAAGAAAAAGAAAATAAGTAAGTTAATGTACAAAGAAAAATGTACTGATCTTGTAGAAAAATCTTTGCATGCTTTAGGAATAAAAACAAGATTTCCTTAATCACCTAAAACATCACTATTTCCCTCAATACATATCATGTCAACATTACTCCTGTTTTAGTTTTATTAGCTCATCATAACTGCGAAAATATGTAATAACAACACTTGCTTTCATAAATAAAAGATATATATTTTTTGTCTTCTTGCTGTATTTACTCCGTTTGATATTCGATTATTTATTTATTTCATTAAACGGATGTTACTAAGGACTTGTATCATTCATCCTGCTTAAAACAAGATAATGTTTAAATTTCTTTCTATTCAAAGAAATCATTTGCTTCTTTTTTGTTGAACAGAGAATTTACAGATTTTTTTAAATAACAAATCCATGTTATTGATGTAGTAAAAGGAACTGAAAAATATTTATTTCAAATAATTTTAAAATATTTCAACAATTAGTTTTGCTTACGNTGTCAGTTATGGTTGGTAGACGAAGAAATGGAAATCTAAATAAAGAAAAAGTAAGACATATGTTATAAAATCGATAAGATCTACTTGAATGTTCGATGAATTTGTTTTTGTTCAGTTGCATTTGTATTTATCGAAGGTGATGCAATTTCAGTACCTTTGTTTACATCTATTATTAGATTGTTGAAATGTATCACGGTTTGACAATGTTGTTCTTCAACTTTGACAACACATTGATCAGCTTGAATACTACAATCACTATTAAGAAAATCAAACAAAATACTTATTTAAAAGAAATCTGTAAATCATGAAAATTGGAAATTACGTTCCTCTATTAAAGTCTTTGTTGGGTTAGTTTTTACCATCTAGTATATGAAAAATATAATAGTGATTTTAATTTCTATATCTATCTTTGCTTTATCAGCATGTAATTCACAAGAATATGCTATTAGTGTCAATACTGAAAAAATGACATTCTGGGGTAAAAATTATTAGATTGACCGTTTGTTCAGATAGCATTGCACTATAAGAAGGCATTGCTACCTGTTCATTTTACTGAATATGATAATCACATGCTTATTATATGTTTAGAAAAGAACAGATTACGGAATCAAATCTTAGGAAACGCAACAAAAGGAATTTAATTGATTCGATGACTAATAATTACATGACCTGCAATCAAAAATTACAAACATTGAAAGACTATATTATACCATATGAATACATGTTGAAGACATTTATTCATCAGTTATTTATATTATTGATATATATTTTTCTGTTGTTAACAGAGTACAAAAATTAAAATGAGATGAATTGCTAGTTCATTTGCTCTATTCTAATAAATCAAAACTTTAATGAACCACAGTTAGTAGTATTATCAAACATTTCTTTTCTTTTTGTTTTTCGTCAAACTAATATCCAATATCCAGCTTAAAACATAATCGATAAGTAAAAATGTGGCGCTCGTTGTCAATTGAATATATTATGCTATTATTTATTAAATGATTATACGGAGAGCATATTTGCCAAATACTATCGTAATGAAGTCATTATAACGTAAATGGTGATTTAAATCTTATTTAATATCATTTTGATAATGCATTACATATAATATTGTGTCTGACTTCAGAGTGCTCCTATATTCCCTATAATGTTCTATTTTTCGAAAAATAAGTGACTTCTGTACTGGTATAAATATTGCTACAAGCGTTTATCACACAACTAGCAGATGATAGTAGTAAAATGTGTCTTCTACTGAAGTTATTTGAAATCAACTATATAACAAATAACAATTAATCACTTAACGGTTTTCTCACTTTAAAATGTATAGTTCGAAATAATTTTCATTTCGATAATATAAGTAAATTTTTCTGTGAATAAATTAAAAGATCGGCGCATGATTTGAAGAAATTTTTAACTCCAGTCTAATATCACTTTCTATATTTGATGTCGAGTTCTGATAATGTCAAATGATTTCTGTGAATAGAATCGGTCGTAGACATGCGTGTCGATAGTTTGAAGCATTATTTCAATTCAAAATTCATGTAAAAAAATTATCCGTCTTAAAGAATCAAAGCTTATTTCAATAATTTATATGACTTATTTTTTTATCTCGAGATTTCGGTTTCATTTCAAATCTCGCTGTTTATATCAATACCAAATAGAGAATCGAGAAGTATTTATTACTTTTTTATGATTATGATTTTCTCTGTGTTGAGTTGATGGCATGACTTATATTATCAAATAATACACACAGTGATCGAGACAAATGTAATAAACAGAAAAATGTAAATTTTGAAAATCTTTCAGTTTTTCAAACCACAGATCCATTTCTTGCCTTTGTACTTGGTAATCTCATTTTTCTTAAATCAGTTTAATACGGTCTTTTTTAAATTAATTCTATTGATCTAATTTACACAGCATACACATATAGTTAATTCAAAAGCGCGATACAAATCACTAAATCAAGTCAGATAAATCGCTGATTAATCCTATCTCCATCTTAATCTCATAAACATAAAAAATGATACTAGTTGAATATATAAATTGGATTCAATACATATGTTATTTATTGTTCACTCTGGCTTAGACGATTAATTTGTAATATAATTGATAATTTCATTTTTTTCAATATTGAGGTTTTCGTGTTCTTGAATATGTATACATTCCAATATATTTATACGGAGAAGATAAAAGTAATAAAATACTCAATTCTATACTTTCAATTTCGATATAACTCGATTACATGAATAGTCTCGTTATTATGTAAGTGTCGGCAGTATGTAGGTGGTTTTGTACTCTAAGTTATTTGTTCTTTTCTTAACAAGTTTATATATCATCCATGAGAATTATTCTGAACAAAAGCTGTTTACTAATCTTTATGTGAAAATATCAGACTTGCATATCAAGCATAGTTGATAATTCTGAAGGGCTACTCTACGACTCTAAATTCTATTTTTTTAATCAAAACTTTAAATTTATATAATACATAGTTAAAAAAAGAAACATCTTAAGTACATTTATTTCGATTTAGCAAGAAAGGTAAACTTTATTATAATTAGATGGTTATCAATTAAACTAGAAATTCTCATTACGAATCATTATAATTCAAAATATTTTACAAATTTATCTATTAAAATTCAACTTACGCTGAACATGGAATATTACAGACAAATATCGATTGTTGAAGATTTTGAAGAATATCTACGTGAAGTTGAATCATCTTTAATCTATTAGATTTTCAATATAAAATTTATATAGATTTGAATAAATGTATGTCTTGAAATATTAACTAATCCTTAATTTATTGAAACAACAGTAACAAGAGAACAGTATTTTCTGCTGTTGGTTTTTTATCAATATTCTTTTAAGCCAATCAAAGATATATTTAACGACATCTGTTTTTATATTTTTCAAACTTCAAATAAAATAGAGTTATTTTTTTCTTTTAAACAATTCAATCAAATTCCATATTTAATCTTCAGTAGATTTCTTTCATATATGAATCATTACATTTGTCATAAAAGTCTTCAAAGGAAAATATTTACTTTAAAAATATACTTTTCTTTTCATGAAATTTTTTTTCTTTCTTTTCTTGCGTTTTATTCGAAATGGAACGTTAAATGTCAACATAAGCAGGTAGATATCGCCTGATAAAATACACTAAAGTCTTTTTTTTGTTACTTTTTACGAATAGTATGCTCCAGCTACTTCTTTTTTTACGATAGTAAAAAAATCAAGGCTTGCATCGAGTATTATTAGCTTAAGAAAAAAGCTTGATATTGATCATTGATATGATTTTGACTTGTAAATCCAGACGTTAAACTAATTGTCGTCTTTTTTTTTTATTTAATTTTTTTTGGGTTTGTACATACTAGTAAACGTTCCTTTATAGACATTAGGACAAACTAAAGTAAGAAGAAAAATTGTATGGCATACTAGTTGACAGATCAGATGGTAAAATGTGTTCGTGATTGAGAAGCTGTCGACACTATTTGTCTGAGTAAAAAGAAAGAGAAAGAGCCATTCGTTCTTCTTCTTTCGTTTATTTGAGCTCGGTATAAGAATAATAATCAAGAAAAAAAAAACGAGAAGAAGGAGACAGCAGAATGGCGACTCATACACATCGATTACATTTGGTCAGTCATTGCAACTGCAAGATAGAGAACGCAAAACGAACTTACACATAAGCGTGCATGAGAAAAGAGAATATTTTGTTCAAATAAAAAAAAAAACGTTAGAGAGCAAAAGCGAGAAGAAAAGAAGAAGAGAACCATTCTTTGCAGTCGACTACCTTTAGCGGGCGGGCATACAAGCATATACTCACCTGAAAGAAAGAAAGAAAGACGAAGAAAATGTGATGCATAATCTCTAAGTGTGTGTATGTTTGTGCCACTAGTATTTTTAACGAATTTGTCTTCTCTGTCTTTCATATGTTTTTATAAAAGTTTGTTTTTCATAAGTTCAAATTGTTATATATTGGTTTACGTCTCCTTTCAGGTTTATACTGAATGGTGAGCGTATCAAAAGTAAGTCAATCATATATTTTGTTGTATTTTTTTAAACTAAATTTTATTCCGTTTACTGTAGTAATTCATACATAGTTATATAATGACATATTCTCGGGTATTTAAATATTTCTAAAATTGTTTTTCACATGTTCTTTTTTGCTATGATAAATATCTTTGCGAAAGTTTTGCTCCGTGTATTCCACCTTGATTTACCATTGATTCTCTTTCTATATTACATCATGTACTTAGTTATTGACATCAGAAAGTGATCTCTTAGTAAACTATGTGTCGTTGTCGACGTCAATCTTCGCTCATTTTGACGTGTGCTCATTTTCTAAATTTTCTTGTCGTTCCTCTGTCTATTGATATTCAATGTTGATCTAGGTTTATATTCACACGCATTCATATATACACTTAGCGATTTCAGTAGTTTATGCATAGTAGTAAAAAAAAGAAAAAAAATTCGTTTCATTTTTATGCGGCAAGCTTGATAATAATATTTGATTGACGACGATTATTTAAGAAGAAAGTTGAGTCATCTATTGTTACTATAACTATTGACTCTTACTGTACTAATAAGAGTATGTGATAAGAAATCTCGAGATCTCTATATTAATCGTAAATTATTATTGTCTTATGCATAAAATGAGAAAGAATAAAGGACAGCGAAGAAAAAAAATCGAGAAAGAGAGAGAGAGAATGTCAATATATGACCACACGTATAGCGTAATTGTACTTGAATGATGTTCACTAAATGTATACATAGAGGGTAAGACCCGTAATTTCAATCAGCATATAAACATGCATTTGCTTACTCGAAGTCAATAAATGAAAATATAAAGATAATTATTCATAGATTAAATTAGAATAAGAAGAAATACAATGCCATCGATACCAATTACCAATTACATTTCACAGGTTGCTTTTGCTCAAAAAAAAAATTCGTCTTTTTTTTTCTTTTGCTTTATTTCATAAAAGAAAAAAAACAATTTTGTTTTATACCCATAGGGTGATCATGTTTGGGTTGATCCGCAGACCGGCAGTGAGTTCAATGTTGAAATTGGTGCTCGTGTGGTTGCTACGCAAACCGGACAAATTATCTTAATTGATGATAATGAACAAGTAAAGTTTTCCTATTTAATTTTTTTTTGTTTCTATCATATATTTAATTATTCATTTAGGAATTGAAATTTCCTATTCAAACTAAATTTCGTTTAATGCATATAACATCTATTGAAGGTGTCGATGATATGATTTTATTAGGTGATCTTAAAGAATCTGCTATACTTCATAATCTTCATATGCGATACAAAAAAAATATCATTTATGTAAACGAAAAACAAGATTTTTTTTTTCTTCATAAAATAAAATATAATATATAAAATTTATATTTTAGACATATACAGGATCAATTTTAGTTGCTGTTAATCCATATAAATTATTAAATATTTATAATATTGATTATATTCGTCAATATTCTAATAGAAAAATTGGTGAATTATCACCACATATATTTGCTATTGGTGATAATGCTTTTTGGAGTATGCAACGTTATCAACATGATCAATGTATTATCATTAGTGGTGAAAGTGGTAGTGGAAAAACAGAATCAACAAAATTAATTTTACAATTTTTGGCTGCAACTAGTGGACAGCATTCATGGATTGAACAACAAATACTTGATGCTAATCCAATACTTGAAGGTTTCAACAAAAAAAAAAGGATTAATAGGAAATTCAATATCCGTTTTGTTTTTTTTTTTAGCTTTTGGTAATGCAAAAACAGTTCGAAATGATAACTCATCTCGTTTTGGAAAATATATTGATATACATTTTGATAAACGAGGAGCTATTGAAGGAGCAAAAATAGAACAATATTTATTAGAAAAATCTCGTATTGTATCTCAAGTTTGTTTATTTGATTTTTTTTTCAAATAAGATTACAAAACATAAGATATTGATAATATATTTAGGCTCGAGATGAACGAAATTATCATATTTTTTATTGTATGCTATCTGGAATGTCAAAAGAAGAAAAACAAACGTTAGATTTAACTGTAGCTAGTGATTATGTTTATCTGAATCAAGTATTTAAAAAAAAATAAGAAGAATTTTTATATTGAACTGTTTTGTTTTTAAAGCTTGATGGAACAATTTATTGTGATAGTAGAGATGATGCAAAGGAATGGTCAACAATAAAAAGTGCTTGCAAAGTGTTAATGTTTAGTGATGAAGAATTAAATGATATACTTAGATTATTATCAGCTATTTTACACTTAGGAAATTTAAAATTTGAAGGTAAATTTTATTGATAATTTTGATAAACTAGAGAAAAAAAATCGTTTTAATTTTAGCAACAACTACTAAAAATATGGATACATGTGTAGTGTCTAATACAAATATACTTCGAATTATTTCAAGATTACTTAAAGTAAAATTAAAATTCTATTCGTAATAATTTATTATTCAAAAAAGCAAAAATTCTCTTTTTTCATTTCAGATTGATGAAAATGGTCTTAGTAATGGTCTATTAAATCGTACGCTACTTGCTCATGGTGAAGCTGTTATTACTCCACTTAATCAAGAACAAGCTTTTGATATTCGGTATGAAATATTATTTTTTGGAACTGAGTTTATTATTATGTATTTCATTTTTAGTGATGCATTTGTTAAAGGAATATATGGAAAAATGTTTATATGGATTGTTGATAAAATTAATTCAGCCATATATAAACCAAAAGAAGGAGCAGCATATCGAAAAAGGTAGTTATTTGCATCAACAAAAAAGTCTTTATAGAAGTAGGCAATGATGTTGACTTGAACGTTAATGAAAGTACATAGTAGCAGTATGACTAATCGATTGACTACATTCAAGATTCTTTTCGCTTTTCTTTTTTTTTTTTGAAGAATGAAACCATAGTTTGCATAGAATAAAATAACATGAAGTTGTCAGTAAATTTATTGTGAGTATTTAAGAAATATTTTCTTATTCCTTCAAATTAAAACATGCAAATATTGGATTTCGATGAATATTTATTTAAGAAGAAAAAAAAAGCAGCTTTTAAAGCAGACAGAATATAAGTATAATTCAACCTTGGGACGGAGATAAACATGCTTCTGAAATGAATTAAGGGCCCACGTCCCTCAAAAATTGATCTTGCCTCAAGGACATTCAAATCAGATACAATTCTCAGCTCTCTATTATGATGTTTTCCGAAGATATTCAAATAACAAGAGTCAAAATCAGCTCATTTGGTCTCCCAAAATTCTCTGTGGGTTTTTATACATTTAATATATTTTTGTTTCAAAGTACATATCAGGCTGTTGTGTCTGACAGAGTCTGTTTTGTTTAAGTTCTTCCTTTTTAAATGAAGAAAAGGAATGACAAGTTCAAGCCATCGAAGAATTCTCGAAAATGAAGATGGATTTATAGAAATACTTTTTTTTATTTAATCCTAAAAAATCTTAATTCCAAAAATGAACTCTTTCAAGAAAAGAAAAAAAGCAATTGGCAATATCGAGGATTCTGGGAAGTTCGATCACTTGTGTTTTTCGCGGCTGACTACCCATCGTATTATACGTCAAAAATGTGATTCGCAAGCATTATCTGATTGATAGATAGTCAAGTTCAGTTTCAGTTGGAAAAAAATCGCGAACCAATCTCATTTCCGGTAGAAAATAACATAAAGACAGAAAAAGACCTTTTCGCTTTAATATATTAATTTTTTTGTTGATGCTCAAATCCATGAGAAGATCATCTATTACTACCAATAAGTGTTTGTTCTATTCTCATTATTTCAGGAAGAGTTTTAATCAACTTGAATCTAATCTAATATTTACTTGTACGTCAAAAGAATATTTGTTTCAGAATATGAAAGAAATTCCGCCATGAACGTGACTAGAATCTTTTTTTTTATTTAGTCTTCATTGTATGTCTTTGTCAAATGCATTGAGAAATGGGAAAGCATAGACTACTAATTCCATGTCAGAATAAAAAAGAAGTGAATACAAGTTCAATATCTCGATAACAGCAACAGCTAACGACCTACAGTTGTCAACAATAAAAAAGGCAGAACGCCGAACATGTCCTTACCTGATAGTATATACGACAAAATTATTTTAATACTCATTGTCATCGTCAGACATTTCTAAAAAATGCATGAAAACGGTGTTCTGTTTCCTTGTAATTTTGATTTCGACATGTACTTGAGATCTATAGTTCAAGACACGTTTTAGATGATTATTTTCTCAGCTTTTAATATTGAGCAAACAAAATTCCGTATCCGTTCAGTCAAAGTATATAGAGAATTTCTGGTATCAGACCAAAAGCCGTTCGAAGTTTTTCTTTTTTCGATTGCTTGAAATCGCACGTTGCTACCTATTGTATTTCAAAAAAATCTATTTTGTTTCGGAACTTAAATAATAAAACGAAATTTTTTATTTTGGTTTTGTTTAGTCTTGGAATATTAGATATATTTGGTTTCGAAAATTTTCAACGGAATAGTTTTGAACAATTATGTATAAACTACGCTAATGAAAATTTACAGCAATTTTTTGTTCATCATATATTTAAACTTGAACAAAAAGAATATGATAATGAACATATTAATTGGAAACATATATCATTTGAAGATAATCAATCAATACTTGATTTAATTGCAGTTAAACCAATGAATATAATTGCATTAATTGATGAAGAAAGTCGTTTTCCAAAAGGTACAGATCGTTCATTATGTGATAAACTTCATACAAATCATTCAAAAAATGAACATTTTATACCAAGAAAAACTGACAATGATATTCGTTTTGGTATTCGACATTTTGCTGGCCATGTTTATTATGATTGTGAAAGTATGTTTTTCGAATAGAACTTGTTTTTTTCTTATATTTAATATTAAATTTTATTATCGATAGATTTTCTTGAAAAAAATCGTGATTCATTTAGTCAAGATCTTATGAAATTATTACAAGAAACCAAAAGTAAATTTTTAAAAAATTTATTCCTAAGTGAATTTCAAATGGGAACAGAAACAAGAAAACGTGCACCAACACTTGGTACACAATTTAAAAAATCACTTGATTCACTTATGACTATATTATCAGCATGTCAACCATTTTTTATTCGTTGTATTAAACCAAATGAGTATAAAGCATCAGATGTAAATATTTTATTTTATTGAAAAACAATATTTTTTTTAATCAATGCTTTTGTTTTCGGTTTTCGTCTTTCTAGAATTTTGATCGTGTATTAGTATGTCGACAATTACGATATTCTGGTATGATGGAAACAATAAGCATTCGACGAAAAGGTTATCCAATACGTCATTTATTTCGAGATTTCGTTGATCGATATCGATTATTGGCACCAGGCATTGGACCATCACATCGTGAAGGAGATTGTCGATCGGCAGCAGAGAAAATTTGTAAAGCTGCCTTAGCTAATCAAGATTATCAAATTGGTAGAACAAAAGTTTTTCTTAAGGTATAGCAAAAAGATAAACAAATTGTTATTCAAATTTAAGAGACCCGCACTCTTCTTTTTTGATCATTTTTCATTCTCAAAGCGAATAAAACTGATCAGATTGAAATTTTTGCCATTGATAGCACATTTGGAATAAGAAGACATATGCGTGAGGAAGAAAGTTTTCTTTCAGATGATATCTCGGAGGTATTTTTGAGAGAAATCTATAAAGGTTCGGAGTTAAAACCGAAGTGTCAAATTTCAGAACTGAATAAATTTGAATTGGATAGTCAAAAAAAAAAATGACAATTTTACTTTTGGCAGATACTGCCAAGTGAGAAGCTCAGAGTAAAATGCGTATGAATTCTGAATGAATATAGTTAAAAACATGGAACTTGCGTGATTTTGTAGACCTTCGATTGATTGCTGTAATAATCTGTTCAAAACTGAAAATTCAGTATGGTCATCGAATGCAATACACTGGTTTTCGGAAAGCTCACGTAGAACATTTCAAGAAAGCTTAACAGAAAATTTTGTAATATATGAATTGATATATCTTCAGCTATTCTTTCTATTCGTGAAAATCAAAGTTTTCTATCATGTTTCTGTAAAAAATTATTCGAAAAATACTCGTCCTTCTTCTATCTTGATCATGTTTGATTTATGTTTATACTGACGCGTAGCTCATATTCGGGGTTGATGAATCATAAATTTTGTTATTCGACGTGGCTTACGTTTAATTTGGTATAGGCGAGAGAAAGAGAGAGAGAGAATGAGATTATAAGTATTCATTTTAATTATCAGAGAATTTATTTCTAGACACTCAACGAAAGGCGAATCTTGACAGTTTTGTAATTAATACTCTTATATTTATTCTCTAAACAGAAAGACTAATGTCTAGGAACGAGAATTCATCTGTGTCTGTATGTCTGTAACATAGTTACAGTGATCATCCAGTGACTAAATTCTAAATATTCATCTAGTAACTATCATTCAAATGATTGTTATAAAGATGGTCTAATTATTACGATTCAACTTAATCAATCAGTATGGGTTAAAAATAACGAACATTGTTAAATTATCATTTGCAATTATAACAATGAAACAAAAACATGGTCAATTTTTGAATCTAACGAGAGAATTTCTCCAACTAATTAATTTCTTTTAAGTTGGAACTTTGGTCATCATGTAGACCCTAATAAATTAGGACTAACTCGAAAAGAGTTTGAGTACATCGCTTATAGCTATGCTAATGATGCGTCTGTTACATCGTTCATATACGTCTGCAGATTCGATATTCTTATTTCAGGACAGGAAAAGACTATATGATCTGATACTTTCACAATTAACTAATCTCGCTATGACTTATTTCTATGCTAAGTTTCAAGTTGAAACTCGAAAACCGATGTTCCTGAGACGGATCACGACATTGTATTGAAATATTTCATAAAAATGCAATGGACCGGAGACAATAAGCTGTGAGTCCGAACTCTTTTTGTGATATTCATAACCCATTAGAATTTGCAAGATGTACATAGTTTGAACTTAAAAGCGATCAGTCAAATAAGGAACTTCTCTCATAAGATGTGCTATTTAAAGATGTTGTACTTTGAACCAATGTCCATTTAAAAGAAAAGGGCGAATGAATATTTTTTGAATAACTTTTGATAGAAACAAGATAGATCACTGTGATTTTCATCGCTATCAAATCTGAATTTGAAAGTGGAACTATTCAATCTTGAACAAATAGATTTAATACGAAATGGTACTTTCTTATATATCTTAAAATGTCTTATTTTCATTATTAGGATGCACAAGATGTATTTCTTGAACAAGCTCGTGAAAAAGTAATGGCACGAAAAATTCTTATATTACAAAATACAATTCGTCAATGGATTGCTCATCGACAATTTCTTGCTATACGTCAAAGTGTTCTTCTTATTCAACGTTATTGTAAAAGTTATCGTGATGCTAGACGTTTTCAAATTATGTCAAATGGTTTTACACGTTTACAAACATTATATCATACTCGTATGTTAACACTTCGTTATTCAATTTTACGTTCACGTATTCTTAATCTTCAACGTTTTTGTCGTGGTTATCTTGGTAAGATAAAATAAATATGTAAAAAGAATATTTTGATACATATATATATATATATTATAATTTAGCTCGTCAAAATTATAGACGAAAAACAAAAGCTATTGTTATTTTACAATCTGAAGTTCGACGTCATATTGCACAAAAACAAATGCGTCGATATCGTATTGAAGAAAAAATGTATCATGAAGCTGAACAAGAACGATATGAAGAAGAAAAACGTTTAATACCAACATTAGGTGTTAAACGTGCTAAAGAAGAAGCTGAAAGAAAATATCAAGAACGTTTAAGAATTCTTCAACGTGAAATTCTTGAACAAGAACATCTTGAACAACAACGTGCAAAAGAAAAACGTTTATTAATGGAAAGAAAAACTTATACAGATGATAATGATTTATTTAATACTATGTTTCCATCAACTGGTGATGAACGAAGAACACCAGTACATCGTCCAACAACTAGTACAGCTGGTGGTATGCAATCAACATTAGGAAATATACCACAAACAATGGATACTATTGAACGAATTGATAAACCATTACCAGTACCTTTTCAAGATGAAGATTTAAGAGAATATACATTTGCCAAATTTGCTTCAACTTATTTTCAAGGCAATGCAACACCATATTTTACTAGAAAAACTCTTAAACAACCATTACTAGCAATTAAATCTGAACGAGATCAATTAGTAAGTTTTACCGTAGATTGATTCACTGATTTAGACATGCAAGCATAGATTAACGATGAACACGTGATAAAACTAGTGATCTTAGATTCATTTCGTTCTTTTTCGATTAAGGAAGGTCTATTTCAAGAAGTGAGAACACTTCTTTTTATAAAATTTAGCTATTCTCTGGAAATGGTCTTCGCTACCGAATATATTGAAATTTATCCAACACCATCATAGTTTTAATATGCGTTCACCGTTAGTTTATGCTTACATGTATATTCCAGGATTGTCAACATTTTTAAGGATAGAGAGGACTGAGAATTCGGCAGGAAGTGATCATCGAAAATAGAGAGAACAAAGAACGAAACCAATCATGATCCGGCCCCTCTCACAACAAACGATCTGCCACCAGACATTTTTCTCATTCGGCACCTGTCTCAATTCTATAGACCTTACAACGACATTATCTGCCTATTTTCATTTTACTTGCTGTCAAAGAAGCATCGTAATCGAGAATCCTGGGAGACACAAAGCACAGCTGTCACTGATAGTACTGCGTACCAGTGGACGATGGAGAGACATACTTTTTTTGCCTTGAGGTTATTAGAAGAAGTTTTCCTAGAATAAACAATAAAATCGTTAAGCCGATAGGGAGATATCTTATTTCTATGAATAAATAGTAAACACCATAGTGCTGAACACTATGTCGTCCTACATAGCAGTACCAAATGTTCCAAATTTTCAGAGAAAATAAGTATTTTTATGATGTTTGATATAGTAAATTATTTTTCTTTCATAAAAAAAAAACTTTCATTTAGGCTGCTTTGGCTATATGGATAACAATTCTTCGATTTATGTGTGATCTACCTGATGTTCGTACACCAAATGTTTTACAAAAAAAACAATCGATTATGACAAAAATTCATTCAACACTTGGTAGAAAATTTAACAAAAAAGATTTAGAAGAAGCACAAAAATTAAATGAAGCAATTGATAATCAACCTCCTATACCACCAACAGATAATTCATTATCTCTACAAACAAATAATAGTTTATCTTCAGCGTCAAATAAAACAACATCACGTTCAGTTAAACAAAAATTAGTTAATATGACATTAAAAAGAAAATCAAAATTATCTACGGATGCTGCTATGACACGTTTAAAAGATTTNTGTGGGATGGGCCCTGCTTTTCATACAGCTCCTCACGTACCCACATCCTCAAGTCTTTTTGTTTTTAATGAGTAAACTATGCAAAAATGTTGGGAAAAACCGTGGAGACTCATTTCTTCACATTCGAACAGTAAATCAAAGCGAACGCTTTGGTTTTGTATTTTAAAGGGTAACATCTGTTGATCAGAATAGTTTAAATTTTCACCTTCGACTTATCTTTATAAAATTTTAATATGAAGCGATGGTAAAAATATTTCAGCAAATTAATTCTTGACGGTTAATGAGTTTACGGTATTTGTTTGTCGCAAAATTTGAACAGAAACTTAGCCACGAATAGATTTTATCAAACTTTATTATATCATCTCTTTGAAGTTGAATTTCGATTAAGTTATTCTTTTAGAAAAATCTTCCTCTTTTAATATTCTTTCAGCTCAGATTAACAATAAGATGAAAATTAATATTGGATCTAGAAAGTTTTTATTGAGGATATGAGTGTGGGTGCAAAGAAAAGAGCTACACCCCATTCTATTTTCACATTAGAGAAATTGTATATGTTTGAACAACACTTGAAAAGCACGATCAAAAACATAGAAACTACCTTTATTATAATACCAGTACCGTTTTTGAAATGTACATCATCAAAGGACCAGTTGAATCATATCTCTTAATAGCCGAAAATGCTTTATCATCTAGTGAATCTAAAAAGAATTAAATTCAAAATATAATTTATAATTATAATATTCATGCGCCTTCATAAAGAAGTTCAGCATAATATTATTGTGCTACAATAGATGATGTTAAATGAATAGCAATTATTGTAAGAAGAATATCACCAGCTGATAACGATTGTTGCATAACAAGTTTTAATAATGAGTCACCAACTTCTTCTAATTTATCACGATCATAATCTTGTAATCGAATATATAATTTTTCAAGTAATTGCATATATTCACCTTTTTTTACGATCCATAATAACTTTCAATATTTTAAATATTGAATCAAAAACAAAGTGGCAAAAACTCATGAGTATAACCTTAATTAAATTAATTAAGTATATACGTAGTAAGGATGATATCAACATTTTCAACAATATGTTGACATGTTTGAAAAAGGTTTTCTTGTTGAAATCGTAATTCAAGTAGAGCACGATCCATTTTATTTATGAATAATGTTGATCTAATACGCTCAGCAATAGCTTGATGACGAACAATTCCAGTTTGTATGCAGACTTTTATGAATGTTAAAAAATAATCTGTTTATTTTTCTTTTCAAAATTTAAAGAAATGATATCTGAAACGCAATCAACAACGACAAGACCACCATCGGTAACACGTAAGGGGTGTCGGTTAAACGTATTTCGTCAGGTCGTTGTTGAACAATAATACCCACGTTGTATACAAGTAAATATGTTAGTATCGATTTTCCATGATCAACATGTGCGATAAGAGACATATTTCGAATATTCTCCGTAATTGCAAATTGCTTTTTTTAAATATTCAAATTGAAATGACATAGATTCCTCCCTTCCCCCTCCCAATTAAACGAAGGTTTCGAAGAAAAAAAAACAAATACAATCGCTACTCTTTGCGAATTATTTTCAGAGAGAAAAAAGCTACGCAATCATTCATGTATGACAAGTAAAGAGCAGTAGAGGAGCTACATTCGAGCTATCGATAAATGATACTCCATGCAGTAAAAGATAGGCAAAACATCATCAACTAGCGACTCTCACTACACGGCAAACACAGGCAAGTTCACCATCAAAATCTCAAGCTCAACAATTGCTACGACTAGAAATACGTGTAAGTTTTCTTTTAAGTCTCATTATAGAAAAGATGCTATATGAGATCATTCACGTGCATTCAAATAAGACGACAGGTTACCAGCAAAATTTTCATCTCCAATTCGAATGTTTGAATTAAGGGAGTAAATCAGATTATGTTGATGAATTGTTAAAACAAGATCTCAAATAAGCAACATTAGAAAACGGTGATACAACTCTCATAAGAATATAATGTGTCATTTTTTGGAATTTTTCCCTTTATTTGTTCTCTCTGTTTTAGTCTTATCTTCTGTATTTGTCAATAAATAAATCATGACTAAACTATTTGGCTTTATAAGCGAAGATTATATTATAAAACGAGCTATCGGTAGCATTGCGAACGACAGTACCTATGATTGTTATTTTGGTTCTGAAAAATCGGCTGTTCAGTGTAAAGGTGATGGTCTAATTTATGATGTTAGGACTAAAATCGCTACGTACAATAAAAAATGCTTTATGGATGAAAATAGAAACATGATTTAGGAATAGAGACGAACTTTTATCATTGATGTCCGATTCTGACACTGTATTTTCAACCTTTCATTTTATGTAGCATATACTTTATAGTTCATAATAATACATATTTATCATTACTTAATGAACAAATAAATTCGCTTACTATGAATTTTCAGAATAGAGTAGTTGTACATTCTGTTCGCGTACATAATCGGTAACAGCCGATGAGAAGTATCGGACAATAGGACTAATGAATCAGAAAATTATATCCATTTATGGAGAAACAGAAACGGATTATCAACATTTCGTCCAGTTTTGCTTTGTGAATCATCGGGATGTTAGTAGTAACTAATTTCCAAAATGTTTGAAACATTAGGATAATCACGTAAAAGCATTAAAATGTACCAAAATAGAGAATATCCAATTTTGCGCCCGAACAATCTGTGACATATGGAGAAAGAGGGTAAGATGTGGATATGGGCGATCGCGATGTCTCTATTCTACTTGCACTGTCTCATATTCATTCCTGTGCAACCTTACGAAACTATTTTGCTGCAGCCTGCAGTGTTCAAGAAAAAACAACGTCTATCAATTGAAAAAAATGGCAAAAATGCATTTTATTTAAAAACTTTTCACATGGATGTTTTTTCATGACATACATTCGACAGAGATTATATGTTGAATTGGCCTTATTTGATTATTTCGAGATGAATAGAATTAACATGACCATTCAATACCTGGGCATGAAACTGCACATTGAGCATACCACTTGCTACGATAATAGCAACGAAGACCTGACGCACAACTAGTCAGACCAATATAGCCTTCACCTGTGTAGATTAAAGATGTTTATTGACGTACATCTAAGAAATGTTATGTTCAATTTATAGTACCTCCGCACTGTTCATACTGCTGAGCAACATCCTTTTCGCATTGCCATGTGATTGGACACTGAGGACGGCATTCCGAGTAGCTCGAAGTGCGTCTAAAGCAGGCTGTTCCAGCGACACATACTGTGTAGCTTTCATTATCGCATCGTTCATTGGCAGGAATGACTTTCGGAAGTGGAATAATCGTTGATGAGTCCATGACAACCGTACAGGCCCAATCTGGTTGTGTAATAGCACATTATATCTACTTGAAAAGAAAACCGATAATAACTACTCACGTGAAGGACAATTATTAGGTGGTCGACACTAGAATATTCAATAAATTTTATACTTTGTTATGCAAGATAGCTCACATTTGCATAGAAGATAGACCGTGCATAGCAAACCAAGCCATCATCACATTTTTTAAATATACGTCCCCATTGCAAGCCTCCGCACTGTTCATAAATGGGCACCGAGCTGATTGAACCGACAATAGCAACAAAGACGACGAATACCAATGATATAAATGCCATATTGATGTATCACCTTTTCAATTGTCGAAATGTCGATCGATGCACTACAGTTATATAAATACATTCTTGGTTACATAGAGATTAAAGTCTTTGGCGTCAAGCAGTTAGACAACCTTTAGAAAACCTACACATATCAATTAATGTGGGTGCAATGCGAGTATGCTATGTGATACCACGTATTTTTCATACTGATCATTTGTCGCACAGCATCTTTATTGATCCCATTGAAAGTTCACAGTATATTACAGCACAAGTTCCAAAATTACATGTCTATTTGATAAATAACCGAATGTATTGCAAAAAAAATGAGCTAATTCTTTCGAGATCCGAATCAAACTTAAGAAGTATACACCGAAATGTCACCTGTGAATGAGAAGAATTGATAAAGATAGCGAAAGAAACTTGTCTTATTCTATTCAAAAATCTAATGATATCCATGCAACAGAACACATTTCTTTTCGTGTCGACTTTGTTATTATCACCGATTGTAGTTGGTGTTGATAGTTCGGGTTTTGGTTTAGAATTTTTTTGTAATTCATCTTTTTCATTAAAATAATCATAAATATCGATTTTTTATTTTTGTGAACAATTCATAGATAGACTTGATTTTACTGGATCTATCAACAAAAAGATATTTATCAAAAGTATAAATACTTTTGGTTTTCGCTATTTGATGGTGGCTGGGAGCAGCTGAGGATTGAGTGTTATTATATTAGATTATTTCGTTGAACCTAAAACAAAAAAAATATGGAACGCTTCACGATTTTGCGTGTCATCCTTGCGCAGGGGCCATGCTAATCTTCTCTGTATCGTTCCAATTTTATAGTGTATCCCGTAGGACGACTATCAATCTAACTTATGGTAATATATATTGAATCAAGAGAAGTAGAAAGAAAAAGGTGAATGAGCAGAATGAAAAGTTTCAAGCAATAGGTATGACGCATAGCTATCGAAGAGTCTTACTCAACAAATTGTGTTTTATGTAAGTAAAGATTTTTTTACATAATATTTCAATACTAGATGAAAGACTACATAACAACAACAATAGATAATGACAGAAGGATAAATTCATCGATAAGATGATATTGACTTCCATCGATCTATGCTCTCTTTTAAGCAAACAAATAAAAGTAGCTCACTTAAGTTATTATTTTCTTTTACTTTCTTGTTATTACTTAAGAATATCTTGTTTGAGAAAAGAGAAATATTTGGAGAGCTGTATTTTTTCTTTCTTTTTTATTCTGTTAGTAGTGCTCTGTGTGTGCGGTTCTTCAGTTTAGATACATAATGTATGTCTGTTTTCTGCATGTATATTATGGTCATATATCGGAGACTTGCTTCTTCTGTCATTATTAAGCAGAGTTTTTCATGTACAACATATGAATTTACTGTTAGTTATTTGCTTTTCAAAAATGAAAAATGGCTGAGTTTAATCAATTCTCTAATTCACGCAAAACTTAGGTACTCTTATTTAGTAGTTCTTACACTTTATTTTGAACTTTTGCAGTACCACTTGATAAAACAACAATACGTCTTTTCAACTTTTTCTTGAGGATAGTATAGATAGTTTATTGACTATACTATTTCAACATATACATTTACACCATGCTCGGATGTTTGAAATATTACAAACACAAGTATGAAGTCTTCATACAAACAATGCTCTAGTACGATGTAAAAAACAGACATTCCTATAGAACGTATCGTCTAGTCTTTTTTCATCAAATTATGTAGTTCAAATCTTTGAGAAATACATCTGTCAAAAACATATTTGACAGAATAAGAACATAAAACACCAACAAGGAAGAAATCGATAATTAAATAGACAGAATCAAGAACATCATTTATTGAAAATTGAATACAATAGTCGACTGAACATCAAAATATACATGAAAAAAAGTCAATTAGTTATGAACAATTCACGTTGCTTTCTTTCTTTTTTTTTACAAAACAACGAAAAATAAGTTCTTTTTCGTTCAAATTAAGATTATGATTTGAATAGACCAATTATGTATCTTTCACAAGTAGAATCGGAAATGAATTCGCACAGAATCAAATAGTTGAAGTATATCCAATCCATTGTCATGTTCCGATAGTTCATTAAATAAGATATATAGTTATTCTGATCAAATTGAATGAAAAATTATTGTTAACTACTTGGAACCAACTGAAAGCCTGCATCACTTCAATGAATGATTTTCTTTCAACTAAGACAAACAAGAAAGTAGTAACAATGCTTTCTGAAGATATAGTTTCGAGACAACACAATTATCCAAGTTTCATATATGAACTTCATATAGAGAAACCATGTAAGTAAGTGTCACGATGATTGAACTTATTCGATCTCCAACGTCATCGTCGATATTTTATAGGATTGTAAAGATATTCATATCACAATGGCTAGATTCCTAAATTTTGATGTCATTCTCAAAAAAAATTTCTTTTTCATAATTTATTCTTGATTTTAAGTTGAATTTCGATGTGTGTCATATCGTATTTATATTCATGAGAATTTTGATAATACAAATAGTTAATGATGTGTTTATCATAAGTTTCTTTTTCAGATAAAATGTAAAGATAAAGATACTTCTAGATTGACTCTTTTTTTTTTCATCAAAATAAAAGTCTTTATGGAAACAGAGTAGAGAAACTATAAGGCTTTATTTCTCATTATATTGAATCGAAACGAGTTTTTAATGCTAGTTGAAAATAGAAATTAGAAGAAAAAACTACTTCAATAGATTCATTCTTCGTATCATTAGGTCGACTTTCTCTACTCCAACAACAAGGTTTCTGAGTTCTAATGACTATTATAATGGAATATTGAAGTTGACAAAGTTTTGTATTTGTTGAACACGATTTATGATGTCAACAAATCATGCCTTGCCAATGATATAAGTAACAACATTAAATTATTGCAGTGTATGAGATTTAGTCATATAGTTTAATGTCAATCATTTTACTATTTGACATGAAAATAGAAGAAAATAAGTGTAAGATATGTGAATAAAGATAGTTTTAACATATGTGCTCTGTTTATTATTTCAAGTTATGCTTAGGATTGTCTTCACAATCAAAAATTTAGTCGAATTTCAAAACCATAAGTCTCAGTAGTTTAATAGTGAAGACCCGCGATTGAAGATCGTATCAACGAACCATACATATAATAAGTAGTGGAATGATCTTAATATATGAACAAAGTCTTTCTTGACTGACATGTAACAATTATTGTTAATTTGTTTTTGTTGTAATAGTACAAAACATTTACGCAATAACATTTTTGTGTCATCGAATGTTTGATTGTAATTATGCAATCAAAACATCTTTGCAGATTTACTGTAATTGAGAGAGGCAAACAGAGCAGAAAATATTTCATGCATATAAATAAATAGCTCAAAATTAACTTTTTATCGAATGGATATAAATCTAGAGAATTATTGATTTTTCAAATTATTTGGAAATCCAATTCTCATTGAATCAAAACTTCAATGATTTTAAATGTAAAACAAAAACATTTATAGTGATTATTGTAAAGAGAGATAGAAATAATCAACTAAATCTCCCGCTAGAATTGAAAGGCAACAGCAAAGGCTAGATCATCTGTATCAAACAACCAGCACACTATGTCGACATAGAGATATGTACAACATGAAACTTTTGCCATTGACCAAGTCGAAACAAAAGAATCCTTTTAGGATTTTCAACTCGTTAAGTTTCCATCGTTAAATATCGATGCTGATGTATGAGAAATTCTTCAAAAGAAATGTTAATCTTTCTTGTTTAAAGCGATGAAGTTGATCATTTTCTATTCAATTCTTCATAGGACAAATCGATGGTGATTGTACGAAGTGTCGAAAAATTCGTTTCCCTAGAAATATCGATCGATTAAGTAAATATTCAAAAATAAAATCTGAAAAGCGATAATCGGAACAATTTCAGAACGCGATTCACAGCAAAGGTTCTAATGTCATATTCTCAAGAGATGTTCCATATTGTCACTGGAAAGTTTCTCTTATGGAACGATTTCATTTTTATTCATCTATAGACTCAAACATTTCTACAATGCAGAGCGACTGAGTACACAAAGCAAAAACAAAACAAACAGACCAAATTCTCTTTTTACATTGAAAAAGAAATTATTTCTGTTCAATAATATGGTATTGCTTTGTTCTTCTCTTTCATCAATAACTGCACCATCATCATTGATTATTCTGTCTACTTCTAATTCTATTTCTCTTGTGGGTGAATGTGAATGCAGGTATACACATCGATTTCATGCTCATACACATCCGTTTTCGACGAACAATACTTCAAGTTTATTACTGTTATCGACACTGCACTCATCCATTTCTAGATGCAAATTAATCTAAAGTCGCTGAAAAAGAATTCTAAATGCTTTTTCAGTTTTGCTCACATGAGTATTAATAGTGCCAATATTATTATGTGATACAGAGATGTGTGGACAAAATTCGAAAGAAACCTTTTATTTATGCTTATTGATCTTATTATAATTATACAATGCGTCTTTGTACTTGCATCAACCTTAGTCATAGGCATGTGTATTATTTGTAAGAACATCATGTAGATAAATGAATATGATGCTTTATCAAAGGTTGAAATAAGAAACAAAACATCACTGTTCATTCGTTTTTGATTTTCTATTATTCTGGCTTGCCCTTTAGTATTTTGTCTCAAATGGATTTCAGTCTATGGAGTTTGATCAGAACTCGATTATTATTGTATACTTTGTTTCTACTGTATTATCGCTCAAGTGTCTCTTTTTCAAATCAAGTGATATATAGTCGTAAACTGCGATAAAACGATCAATTCATCTTTTGCTAAGAGTATCTTCTAGGCAAGATTTGATTTTCTCCACAGTAATAATTGACTTAAATTGTCTATTTGTCCTTGCGCCAAAACTTAAATAGAAGCAGCGCACTCTTACGACTCAATCTCAGTTCGCTGTGATTATTCCTAGATTCCAGTTTTACTCAGTTGACATCACTAAAAAGGAAAAAAAAATAACTGGTGTATTTTTTGCATATTTGCAATCAACAGAAATTGATGTATATATTGTTCGATGTTCTTAAGCTTTAATTGAAAAGGTTTTGCTGAAAGTAAAAGGAAGAAGATAAAAAGAATTGCTGTGAATGAACAAAACCAGTATGAACCTTAATATTTGAGTGTCTCCTATGAGAAGAAATTATTCAAGAATTTATTATGAAAGAAAAAGAATGTCGCTTGTTTCATAACATTCTGTTGATTTTAGATTGAAAAAGACAATAAAGAACTTACAGGTAGGTGAACTTTCACAACTATGACGTAACTCATTGACTATAGGACAAATTCATATCACAGTTTGAGAAAGTTATGGAAGCGATACATTGCTCATAAATGTTCCATGATAGTTGCACTCGTTTTCATTATTTTGTCAAGTATCTCATTTAGTGCTCTTATCTGTGATATTATGAAACGGTTGGATTACTCAGCATCTCAAAACCTACCTGTATGGTTAATTGCTTCTGGTGTGATGGGTATTGTCTACTGTTGGTCAACAGCTTTTCTAGTAAGAGATGTGACCGATACTGTTTCTGTCTTCTCTGGTTCATCTGATATTTAAAATGTAGACTCTAACGAAAAAACAATATATACAGTAAATCAATATACTATTGAAGTACATTCATATAATGATAAACATAATTCTTTTTGTCCGGAAATAAGCGGAAATACGGCTTTGACAGAAAAAGCTCTTTGAGTCATTCGCAGGAGATCATCCTATAAAATGATTTTCAGATTTAGGACATTGATTTCTAATATAATTCCGGAATCATGGTACGCTCCTCAATAAATAGTTTCTAACTCATAATTTTGCAATATTCTTTTTTTAATATTTACTAACTATATGAAGAATAATCTTTTATATATAGATTATTAGCGTGGTTATCTGCAAGAATAGAAGTGACGACAGTTACAAAACTCTGCTCATTCTAACAGCAATGGGATCTGTTATATTTTTATTTGGGTGGGATGTTGTAGTACGTAGCAAAGTCAATTGCACAGCAATAGAAAAAGCCTATATGCAATATTTTTCTTAGGGTATCAGTTGGACAATCGAATCACAAAGAAAAATTGACCGCTATTGTGATGTATTCCTTTACAAGTATACATTGCGTCTGAGTATTAGCGAATTCATTTTTCATTTCTTTTTATTATGCTGTGGTGGTATTATGCCTGGATGTAATAATTCTGAGTCGTCAATACAAGTATCATATGGTTTTTAAGATACGAAATTAAAGTGTGAAAAATGATAGACCCATTTATATTGTACATATAGACCTATTTTATATTAATCAAAATTCATCACAGGGTTATAGTATTAGTATTTTCGGGTTTTTTTCTTCGTTCTTGAACTTGAATGAATTTTTTTTTTTAAATAAAAGATTCTGCGATGAGGTGGAGATGAGAGTGTCCCTCTTCTCTTCTTCAATACGTTCACCCACGTTCATACCCTCATTTATTAGAGGAATTATCAACATTTAGGTTCTATGCATATGTAATTAAATATTCGGCATGTGCTTGAGCATCATGATAAACGACGAAAATATGAGTTCCGTCAGTAGTCGAATGGAATCCATCAGGTGGCATTTTCATAAAAGAAGTTCCTGGATACGTTTTTCCGATCAGAACACGCGATAGAAACATGTGTCGCTCTCCTTTAGCGTCTGGAGTTGCATAAGAGTGACTGTAACCTGCATTTGATGAAAAATAAACGCCCACACCATAGGCCGTGCCTGAAATAGCACATCTAAGGATAAAATGTGTAAAGAAAACAATAATCGATCTTACCATGTTGTCCAGCATAATTTCTATTGAAACCATGCTTTATAATCGATGTAACTGCCTGTTCTGGACAACCATGATATAAACGCTTTTCTGTATCACTATTTAACTCATTTTTGAAGCTTCGGCTATGAATGGTATATTGAAGGTAACAATATTCATTTTGAATTCGTTCAATTCGTATGATTTTACTATATTGGCCTTTCATTACAAGGTCGAAGTCATCAAAAATTGATTTATACTCATTGGAAATAGTGGCCACCGTAAAACGCATTTGATTTTCTGTCCCGTATTCCCACGATGGTGGAAGGCACTCATTGAAGGACGTTTCAAGATCTACCAGTGAATTTATACAATTATGAAACTTATGATGTTTTCAAGCTTTTGTGTTCAAAACATTAGTTAATTGTTCAGCAATTAATTAGTAGCATAGTAGAAAGCATTTCTAAGATTAAGTCAAATGATTATAGTGTATTAATTCTATCAGCTAGAACTGTCAGAAATGACAAAATGCACAACAATATTTTTATTATTTTTTTTTACAAAATCAAACCAAATCTATAACACTCGGAAAAGAAAGTATTTCACTTGAACTTTAGCTCTGAAAATATTGTGCATTTTTTTAGATAAAATAATAGTATATGATTGACAAATTTTATGGAACAATGCAAACAATATAAACTCAATGATATGACCATTAATTTGTATTGTTGTGAATATCAGAAACAGCGAATCTGGCCTATGTATTCAGAGAGTGGCCATATGATTATTTATCGACAATAAATGTTATTAATTATATCGATTATACTCAAAAAGATAATGCAATGAGTTATAGAAGCAAATGAAAAAGTCGACATTATCTAATTTTCCCAATTTAAAGTCACACTGAAATCATCTGATGAAAGCAAAGCTTTACTCTTACCTTCTTGGGTTGCCAATATTTGTTTACAAAATGCTTGATAAATATGCTCTAGTTTAGGTTCCACGACGAATTTTACTATCAATGGAACATTGCTAATTGTAACCTGCTTTTTTACCTCTGCTACCATAGTTTGGGCTATTAAATATACAGGACAACCATGCTGCCCACATCCGATGATGGGTAAAGCAATTGAAGTGAAGTTATATGAAATGGCATTTTGTATAACAATTGATACAAAGTCGATGATTGATTTTCGAAGTGTAGCCAAATTTTTATCTGGTATCCACGTGACAAAAAATATTTGATTGCATGCTAGCATGCCAGATGGAATTGAAATCAATGTGCTATTTGGATTCTTCTTATATTCGATATCATACGTAGCTTGGGCTTGATCACCAGCCGCATTCAATATTATATTCTTTAAGACATCCGATGATGAAGTTCCAACAATAACATCAACCTAGAACATAATAAAATACAAAAATGACTTTCTTTATATAAGAATGCTTATCTTGTTACCTTTTGTTTAGTTATATTTCCCTTTTCAACTTCGATTGTTCCTTTTCCAATTGTTGTTGAAATGTATTCAACATTCGATGGTTGTTTAGGTTCTTGTAATAAACGAATTTCTTTATTAAACTCGTCATAAATATCCGATCTTTCTGGTTTAATTACAAATATAACAGAAAGAGGATATTTAGCTAACTGACGGTGGACTTCTTGAATCATCGTTTGAGCAACTAGACTAGTTGAACATTTAGCTAGACCACAACCGATAGCTGGGAATGCAATGCTTCGACAGTTGTCGTTTGCTGCTTGTTTCATCGCATCAGCAACAAATTGTTCAATCGACTGACACAATGTAGGAACATGAGAATTACTCTGCCACGGAAGAAAGTAAATTTTATTTGCGGCAAACTGTCCGCCCACTGTAATATTGATAAGCCGAGTGCTCGGACATTTTTGTAACTCGACGTTGTATAAACTTTTTACTGAGTCACCTGCAACTTTGAATATGTTTTCCAGCAAAATATTTGCTGAATTATATGCGACAATAACGTCGACCTAAATACACTAAGCAACTAAGTTAATAATATACTTCCTAAAAGCTTGAACTTACTTGTTCCGTTATAAGATCACCTTTGCGGACATCAATGCTTGGTATGCTTTTTACAGTAAGATCAGAACGCTAAAATGAAGCGAATCGTAAGCATTCATTAAGGTTCCTTTTCTTAGCTACGTTTATAGTTGGGTGAATATTGATATGGATGAGATGAAGAGCCTCGCTCACACCCACTCACAGTATTACGTACCCTACTTGCATGCCAGACAGCAGTGTCCAAGGACTGTGGCTTGCGCGAAAATATACCTTTCACCCAAGTCATTGATTTGTTAGTGACCTTGTTCTGATTATTCGTCTTCCTCTATGGTTGCTGGGTTCCACTGACTATCTGTGTTCCTTGGCAAGCTTGTGTTGCCTGGACAGGCTGAATTACCTGGAATGCCTGTATTTGCTGCACAGGCTGGACTTGCTGGGATGCTTGCGTTTGCTGCACAGACTGGGCTTGCTGGGATGCTTCCGCTTGCTGTACAGACTGGGCTTTCTGGGGTGCTTTCCTTTTCTTCACAGGCTGGGCTTGCTGGGATGCTTGCATTTGCTGTACAACCTGAGTTTGCTGCACAGACGGTATTTGCTGGGATGCTTGTGCTTGCTGAACAGTCTGAGTTTGTTGAATAGGCCGGATTTGCTGGTCAGCCTCAGTTTGTTGAACAGCCTTCCTTTCCTGGACAGGCTGATTTTGCTGAGTATCCTGGACTTCCTGGTCAGTCTGAGTTTGTTTGACAGACTGGATTTGCTGAACAACCTGTTTTTGCTGGTCAACCTGGATTTGTGAAATCGACTGACTTTGGTGAACAACCTGTGTTGCCTGGGGAGACTGAGTTCTATGGATAATCTGTGAACCTCGATATGTTTGTGCTTCAAAAGATAGCTCTATTTTATGAACGACTTGAATTTTATTTATTAGTTGTGACCGTTGAAAGCCTTTATCTTGATTAATTCTGTTGGTATCTGGAGTCATTGGAGGTTTGCTACTCGTTGGCATCTTCAGATTTGTACGGAGGTGCGTATCGTCCTGTTTACGAAGACAAATACACGATAAAATCAATCTTATGAAGTTCAGCGCATCATGCATACTTCTGTGCAATCTTCCTCTGAAAGTGCATCGTCAGATTGAGCAGGAACCGTCGGATAGTCGACAAAAATACACGGGAAAATTGATGTTTGTATATTATTCAGCTGTGACTCATATTGGCTCCACTGAACGACAGAGGAAGGAAAGCAATTAGTTCAGTAGGAAAATATCTACTCACAAAGCTTTGAGGTTCATCATTATATGTTTTGGGCACAACGACCCATCGCAATATGAGTTTGTGATTTGTAGCATCATTACGTGGATCTCTACCTTTTTGAGGTTTTAGCACGACTAGAAATACTCTTATATCTGTTAATTATCATCGAAAAGAAAACAAAGCATCATCTTACCATGAACATTTGTAAGTTTATGTGGTTTCAAAAAACCCTCGAACGGTTTCACGAAGTACCACCGCGGCGCTGTTACTTTGATACTATAGGCAATTCGTTCATCCCCACTGTTGAGCAGTTGTAGTAATGTTATAGATGGCACAGTGTAGGGGCCTTTGTAAAAAAATAAGTTCTCTTCACAGTAAAAATCTTAGATGCAGTTTGTACCTTTGAAAATAAAACTATCGCAAGAGATGAATTGACCTGCCATTGATGTGATGCTTCAAAATTGAAACAATAATAACTTTAGTTAAAAATATTGAACTTGTGTAATTCTAGAATAAAATACACTTTTAAGCAAGAAATGAAACAAAGGACATTGAAGAAATGGTTTATATGTAAACGTATTGTCTCGGAAGAATTATTTGTGTGCAACAGATTTTGCAGTACAATGCTAGTCATGGTAATAGTCGTTTCCATACGCGGTATATCTGATTTCTTTCCTCGACTATTGTTCTTGATCGAATGAGTTAAAAATAATTTTCGATTAATATTAAAGGTTTTTTCCAGCTAATACTATAATACGTACATATTCTCCTGTAATATATTATTTGTCAAACGTTTTTGATCTATGATGACTCAGTTCTCTTTTCTTCATTATCTTCGTGTATGAGTGTGTGCATTGATGTGTGAAGTGACTTAGAAATAAATATTATTGAGTAGTGAGTCAATTTGGAACTTTCCAACAATCAAACAAAAGCATAATATCATGTAATTATGCTATTCCAACTTTGGATCTGTTATGTCACATCCACAAGACGTGGCATAAGGCGAATGTGTTATCGGTATTATCTATATATATATATCCATTCACTTACTTGTTGTACATATATATGCTGTTGACTATAGCTATTATCTTTTCTTTTTTTATATCAGGTATTTTCTCTAGTATATTCTCTTGTTTTCTTTCTTTACTTCCTCTTTTTGTGACGTAATAGCTCTTGTATTTTTCCAACTATATTATGTTATCTATTGGTATATTCCCTGTTTCTCCTATGATTCTCTCTCTCTCTATATATATATGTGTTGTTCTATGTGAAGAATCTATCTATCTAATCTAATAAGATCTGGTCTGATTAATTATCGTAAATAAATTACATATGCAACATCAAATATTAGACATAACAGGATCAGGAACGAAGACATATTTATAAATGTCTGAGGGACAGAAAGCTCAGCAAGATACAATAAGAACAACCACAAAATACTTTATTTGATGACATTCGAATGATATAACACATTATATAAGCGATTTTGAGCACTTATGTTGAGAGTACTGAAAAAAAACGATAAATTAGTCGAATCGGTCCGTCAAAAAGATAGTCTCGAACAATGAAGTGCAATATCATATTGTTTGTCACACATCCGATATACAAATAAAAGTCGAAAAAAGTCTAATTATAATTGATGTTTTTTGCAATTGAAAATCGATCATGATGACACCATTATAATCCAAGTTTAATGAGATTTAAAATGAAAAAAAAAACTCTTTTAATAGATTTTTCTAAATAATCACTTTTTAAACAGTAGAAATCTCATTCAAACCAGATAAAAAAAAGTAACATTTTAACTGATCTGTAATAAGAAGAAAAACAATTATAATCAGATTTTTTTCGACTTTTTTTTTTATATGCGTAGTATATATTATATGTTCATGATAATCGATTTTTTGTCATTATTTTTGGAAAATCAATTTTGATCTGATTTCATGGCCCTTTTTTTACACGGGTAATACGAAGACTACTCTATAGACGGATGGGTTGGTTGGTAATGAATGAAAACATCTTTATCTACTCTTCCGCCTGAAACTCACTCTTACTTCATCAACATCCACCCAGAAACTATTACGCTCAACAAAGTTTAAATTTATTTTCACCATCATATCAATATGTTCGCCGATCTGTTCATGTACAATAATAGGATCCAAAACAAGTGTTACTTGTTGCTTGAATACTTGGAAATCAATAAAGCATTATTACCATTACACCGACGAATTTATTGCTCCATTCTTACATTGCTGTCGCTGATGTATGAATGGCGATTACTACTCAGGATACGCAGATACGAATCGTTTCTTCGCGTCTGCAATATCTAATTAATTCACTTACATAGTTGATATGCTCGAAGAAATAATTGAAGACAGAATTTAAATATCGCTGAACATGTGCAATTAATGCTTGCTTTTAACTAGCTACAGAATATCATGAAATAAAAATGATTCATCATTGTATCATTGACAAAGTAAAAATTCGCATTCATTCAATTATTCTACAGAACCGATAAAGTCAATTAGATACATAAGAATATAGCAAATTTGGATGTGCATATGACTATAGAGAAAATTCAGTCATGTTTACACTCACACTTACACACTCACGCCCACACTCCACACGAAAAACGCTATAGACAGCATCAGCATTCGATCTAACTCGAACAAATCAACATCAATATTGATCAATATCATTCATTGAATATATCTTTCACTAATAAACAGATTTAGAATTTCTGTTGTTACTATATTTATGAAATTAGTTCAAGATCAGAATATTCTTTCGTAGTCACTCGGGGTAATGATGAGATGTCACCAAAGTGAATATCAATTACAGTTAATGCGACTTTTTCCATTATTTTAAGAAAATAATCCAGTGTGTTTATGACTGTTTGTACGGAAAGAACAGAGCCTACAACAGGTACACAATGGCTGAAGGCAGCACTAGGAGTTAATAATGTGTTTTTAAATAATGTTTCAAAAGTTTTGTCATCTAGAAGAGGTAGAATCGAATTAATTGTTTGTCGAATGTGTTCTGATGAAATTTCTCTCAATTTAGCAAAACGTTCGACAGCTTCATTATGTAGACCTAACTGTTGACGATATCCTTTTGCTGGTACATGTGCAGTTTAAGCACACCACTGTTGTTCATATTTATATAAAGACAGAACCGGAAAAAAAATTTTATTGGCAAATAAACACACTACTATTGAACGAATATATTTATTCAATAGTGGTGTGCTGTGCTTATTTGTCAATAACTTTTTTTTTCTGTTCTGTCTTTATACATATGAACAACAGTGGTGTGCTTAAACTGCACATGTACATCAAATTTTATTAGAAGACGTTTAAGTTATTGTTTAATTCAATAACAGCGACTCATGATAATTCTTTTTCTTTTCTTTCAAATGTTATTTCACAACTTCAAACGAAATTTTACTTATATAATAAGTGCAAAATGTAAGAAAATGTGGTCCGAAGGCTGATGGGTTATCTTACCAAAAACCCCCATTAGTCACTACCACGACCGCTTTTTTTGTCTCTTTAAATTTATGAATACGTAAGGTGTGCATAATGCAAAAATTAACTAAATATTTTTCTCGCTCCTTTATATACCATTCGACCCAAGCACGAAAAGTTGATCAGAGATGAATTATTTTAAAATCGATTGGCCATGTATGAAACTTTCAAGTTTTTCTAAATTTTATTTTACCGTTGAGAAGAACATATTTTTTCGGTTTTTTTTTTATACTTATATGTTACAGTTGTAAAAAAAATATGCTTATATTTACTTAATTTTATCCTTATTTTTTTGTGATATAAAAAAAAGATATAATATTCAGAATCAGCGTAAAAATCATAACGAATCATATATCTTTCGTTGCAGTTTTATGAAACTCATGTATATTTTTTTTTGCCGCTTCCTCAATGAACGATTACATCATGGAGTGACTAAATTCAAGCTTACAGGAATAATCAATTTCGATCTTTCTGAGTTCATCGAGATACAGAATATAGATCGTTAATATGTGCTGTACATATAACGAATGTGTACGATAGGCTTATTTGTCTATTCAATCAATCGTTAGACTAATAATAATAAATCATGAAATGAAAATAAATAGCAGTCAAACAAACAAAGAAGAAAACAAAATTTCTGGTTGAAATGTGGAAATAAAAAAGACGAAATGTTTGTTGACGATCAATTATCGTTGGAAAAGAACTATGGTCTTTTAGAAATTTTACACTTTTCGTATTTTGTATTAGCATAATGAAGCTAAGTAAGACATGTGAGTGCCGCATTGCAGCTTCAAATGGCCTGTGCTATCAAGATTTTTTATTCGTTCTTTTAATATTACGAAAAACCAAAAGTAAAATTAACTAAATATAAACATATTTTTTTCGCGACTTTAACGTATAAGAAGGAAAAAATATTGAAAGAATCTGATTTTCTTAGCAGTAAAGCAATATCTAGAAGAACTAATACAGCATATTCGATGGTCAATGTCTAGCAATTCTAATTAGATGTGAAACACGTGATCCTATATCTTAATACAAAAACCTAGAAAAATTTACAAAAAAATGTATATGACTACCAGAAAAAAAAACATCTTTGAGTAGTCTTGTTCAACAGATCCATGTCGAACAATACTTCCATTGCAAACTCATTCAAATAACATTTTTAATGCTAAATTTGCAAATAGCTCGTTGAAAAAGCTACTAAAATCTAAGCAATAAAACACTTGAAAGTTTCTGATAAAATCCGTTTTTAGCTATTTTGAATAGTTTTTCTTCTAAAAGATGGATCAATTGATGACGAATTTTACGTATTTCATCGAATGGTATATGAAGAAAGGAGAAAAAAAATGATTTGATCTTTGTATTATGCTGACACCTTATAATCGCTTTACAAGAATATTTGTTTTATTTGTTGAATGTTGTTTCAAATAACAAAGACTATATAATTAATTGAATTTATTGGAAAATTACAAAAATCAACATTGATTATATTTGACTATAATTTTCAAATCACTAAATCAAAAAAAAATAAATAAATGGTCATAACACAGATGACTATCTATGTATTATTTTCCTTATTCTAAACATGATTTTCTTTTCATATATCTAATAGTTACACAAATAGTAAACACACGTGGTAAATAAAAGAATAGAATAAACACAAGAACAAATCATTTTATATCGAAATTTGTTTTTTTTTTTCTATATGAAAACTTATTTATTCGAAATTTTTAGATGGAATCTAGTCCTCGAACAGCATCTATTATTGTTAATGATCTTGAACAACGTCTTAAAAATCTTTATATGACACGTGTACATGATGAACAAACATTAAATGATCTTGAATCTCTTCTTATTGAATGTTCAAATCAATTAAATCATCTTATTTCTTCATCAAATCCAACATTAGTTGCAATTATTCTTCCAACACTTCTTCATACAATAATATCATTATTAAAAAGTTGTGCAGAAAAATCAGATATAATTATATCAGGATCATATTTATCACAAGATAAACTTACATCATTAATAACAATGACTAAAACATTACATAATCAAATAAAAGAATTTGTTAAATCACCTATACTTAAAATAATTTTAATGAAATCAACTCAACAAAGATATTTTTGTGAACAATTACGTCTTGTATGTGATTCAATAGCTAATACAGATATTGTTACAACATTAATTTGTCATAAACTTATTGTTAAATTATTAACAGGATGTGATGAACAACAACAAGAATCACAGGAACAATTATTATCTAGTAAAATTGAAGATGTTAATGATGGTTTAATAGTTGCTGTCTATAGAAGTGTATTACAACAGATGGCTACTATTTGCTCAAAGAATTTACCAGATAAATCAGATAATAATCGAGAATCTCTAACTACTAAGGTATTTTTTTTTCTTCTTATGGTATTCATTTAGAATGAATAGATCATTCAAATGAGATATAAACCTTATTCTCTAGATATTCGAATATAGTCAATCAAATCAAAAGTTATTATTCTAGATTAAATTATTTATCTTTCATCTATTGTCTAAATAGTAACAGTACTTCATTAACATTGCAGTTAGAATATTGTTAAATTATCATTTCTACAATTTGCACTCTATTGACATACTATTTGCATATTTATTAGCGTAGAACTAATCTTACGCTTGAAATTCACATAGTACATGACAATCCAATAAAAAATAGCTTTTGTTTGATTTACAGAAAGAGGAAATATTTACCAGGAAAGTACATCTCAATAAATCCTATCATAAAAAGCTACTATACAATTTTGCTTCAGGAACAGGATATATGTAGACTTTTGAAGGACGATTTCCTCTATCCAATATTGCATACATTGTCGAATTCTCTTGTGTATCGATTTTTGATTAGATTTTGGCTTAGTAGAGAGATTCTTTAATTGATTAATTGCTTTCGAATCAAGACTATGTAATGTATGTCTTTACTATTTTTTTTTTATCTTTCATAACTTTGATAGATGTATGGACTTTATTTTCAAATGTTATCGAAATTAGTTCAATACAATGGTACAATATCTCAAATTGAAAGTTATCAAGAATTTATTCGTACAATACATCAATTACATATATGTCTTGAATCTACATGTCAACAAAATCGTTTTCAATTAGAATTTTTTAATAGTACAATATTATTACAAGAAATACTTCAAGATTTTATATCTTATTCATTAAAAATTTCATCAAAATTATTTTTTGATGAATTATTTCTTGAATTATCATCAAATAAATATAAATATGCATCATTAATATTTCTTTTTCGTGTAATTGAAGTATTTGATATTAGTTTAACTAAACAATCTAATGATGATCTATCAATATATATTATACATAATTTTATTTCTCATCTATTTCAATTAATTGATGAATGTCGTATACAACTTGTTTTACCAGCACTTCTTCCAATATCATTTAGTAAAACAAAAGTTGAATATGGTAGTCTTTATGATATAACATATTCAATATTAATGCGATTATTTAATCATGAATCAATGCAAACTATTCTATCATCAATGACTAAACTTCTACAAATATCAAATGAAAATTCTTCAATTATGTTAACTTCAATTCAATTATCTAGTGAATTAATAATACAATCATGGTATTTATATAATCAATTAATTGAATATCAATATCTATATGGTTTATTTCTTGCTGAACTTTTTCGACTTGATATACATAATAATTTAATAAATTATTTATTAACAATGCCAAATATACGTACAATGAAATTTTATACATATGATATATTCATTTCATCGAATACATTTCATTCTATATATGATTTATATTTACTTATTAAAAATAATTTTTTAAAAGAATCATTTATTAATTCAACAAATATATCATATATATATCCAACTAATATTGAACATCTTTATATATTTATACGTTTATTTAATACAGAATTAAATTCAAATCAAATACAACATACAATTGATACATGTATTTATTCAATACAACAATTTCTTTCATTATCATTAATAACTGAATTAACATGTATGAATTTTATATTTATTTTACGTATTTTATCATATTTAATTATAAATAATTCAAATGAAAATTTTAAATGTTTACTTGGTCAATTAACACAATTATTTATTATACTTGATGAACAAACAGCTATGAATGTTCGATTAGAATTATTAAATGTTTTTACTATACATTCAAATATACTTGATGATAATGATCTTGGAAGATTATTAGATTTTATGTTAACAAATGCAATTGAAACAAATTCGAATTCAATTGCTTTTCATATTGGATGTTTAAATCTTGTAGATTCATTAAGACAAAGACCATCACGTAGTCTTAATATAACTGATCTTATTATTCAATTAATTGTTCGATATGGAAATGAACATCAATGTAGTCATTTGCTTAAAGTTCATCTTATGGTTAGTTGACGCACATATATATATATATGTATAACAGGGTGGTCCAAAAGTAAGGAAACATGAATTTTTTTTTCGATTGCTTCACATGTTCCGTTAGGTATCATATGCACAGTTTTTGGATGCAGTAATTTGTTAAAAAACACACAATACTGCTCGGATGTGAGTGTAACAGAAAATCGATGTTCTTCGAGCTTGCTTCATTGGATTTCCATAGTTTTGTCTACTTATTCCGATCTATGAAAGAAATATCATTTAATTATATTTCACTATGGAAATCGAATAGAACTTCAAATAGGTCGAATTTTGTTTACAACCACAGACAGGTAGTTACATATATTTGAATAGATTATTGCACACGAAGACTGAACATATGTTACATCTTTTACTAGTATTATCTAGTATATGTGGTGTAAATATAAGAACTAACGGACCATGTAAAAAGAAGAAAACGAAAAAATTCTATGTTCGATTACTTTTGGGTTGCTCTGCTATAGATTATAACATATTAAATTATAGGATGTATTGTAAAATTCATCAGGGAAATATACAGACAACATACTAGAAAACTAATAAAAGCAATATTACTTTGACACAATGACATATAATCGTGCTTTTACTTGTTACATTAAGATCTATCTAGAGATGAATAGAGCCAAGATGAGAAGTCAAAAACTTCTTCCATAAATTCCATCTGGAATTTATAAATAACTATTTCTGAATGAACAATCAAATTAATGAAAAAATATATATATGCCTATTTACGATTCATGTTCTTAAAAAAAAAAAAACTTTTATACATAAAACTTAGAAAACGTCTCGATGATTGAAAATGCTAGGAAATCTAAAAACATGTATATCTAATTACTAATAAAAATCGCATCCGGTTTCTTTCGGATATAGTTGCGGCAAAATCACACGCTCGTAATAAAAAGATTTATGGCTCACTCTATGATATATGCCTTGTCATCCATTGTTTTGATCCTTCATTCGAATGATTATACTTTATGCTTTAGAAAAACATGTTCCTATATTTTGTTTTTTTTTTAAATTACATAATAAAATAATGAAAATTAAAGTTGTTTTTCTTTTTCATTCATTTCAGCGAATTTTCATGGCATACATAACCAATGGCAATGATGATTCATTACCCATGCGAGTTAAATCTCAATGTGTACTTTTACGTGCTGATATTGATCAATTTGAAAAGAGTAAAAAAACAATAGAAACAACCAATAATCGTTTTAAAGATGAAAATACACTCAAAATAATCGATTCCACACGACCATCAATGATTACAACAACATCAACAAGAAAAGATTTAATAACACATGAACATAATACTCAATTGAAATTTTATCAAACGATTGTTAATGAACTTGAATTTCATCAATGTTCAATATCAATACAGAATCCTAATGCAATGCAACAAGACTAAATCTTAAACTGATTGTTATATCTCATAATTTTTTCTTTTCTTTTTTTTTTCTATGCATAAAAGATTCAACATCGTTCAAGTATGAGTATCTGTATATTTTTCTTGAGAGGAAAAAAAACTTGACCCATTTTTCTAGCATCTCATCTTTGCATTGCGTGTCAAAAATACTTTAAAACTATTATATATATATTTTTTTTCTTACTTAAGTCAAAGTCAAAACTAATCATCAGTATGACATCATATATACATTAATTTTATTTTTGATCTTTAAGATAAAGAACAAAGTTCATTGTCATTGTAGTCATTACTACTTGAACAACACGAGAAATAAAGAGAAAATATAGATAGACAAGAAGAGAAAATAATGTTCTCTTCGATAAAATAACGTTATTTGCAGCCGTTAAGATGTATGTTTGCGAATGCGCGACACAAATAGCATGTACTTCAGTACAACATACGCGGTAAGTGGAAAGAAACGACAAACCATAGAAAAAACGCACTAACACTACGACTGATTCAATCAAAACCATTAGTTCTCCCTCTCTTTTCTCCTTTTTTGACATCTTTCCCATTTCTTCCACAGTGTTGTCTTACTTGTGATCACTCTTAATTGCGCTTTTCTTTCTCTCGTCTATATTGCCGGAATCCATCATCAAATATATATATATATATATACACACACATACATACCAACGAAGAAGGAATAATCTTCATAGTCATTGAACACTCAACATTGCGTTAAACAACATTTGTTGTCGTACCACAAACACTATTGTTTCAAAATCATTGAATCAAAAAATCAAATGGCAAATGGACGTTGTACAAATGAATCATGTGTCAAGAGAGAAACACAATTGCGTTTAGCTTTACTTCGTGAAGAATTATTGACTAATTTCAATACACTTCTAATTGATCGTATTCGTTTTCTTGAACAAACAATTAATCGACTAGCAGTTATATCACCATCTACACCGATAAGCTCATTACCAACATTAACAGATACACATGTATCTCTAAAACCTATAACAATCGATCGACTTACACCACCATCATTACTTCGACGTAGTTCATCAGCAGGAGCATCCTTTCTTCAAAGTCCTTTTGATCCAAATTTAATAGGACCAGGTGCGGGTGCTCGTTCATGCCCATCTAGTGTTGATTTATCGAGTCAAAATGAGTCACGACAACGATTTCTATCAATAAAAAAACCTCTTCGTATACAAGATAGAACATCATTTGAATATAATACTACCTATTTACCTATACCTATATATCGACAATGGACAAGTTCAACAGATGATCTTCCATCAAGTACTATGATGAATAGTGAGAAAGGTCGTTTAGAATCAAGACGTTTTGCATGTGATGTTGATGATAACGATGTACGAGCATTCAAAGCAATGGTGTATATGGAACGAGCCAGAAAACAACATGCACGACCACTAACTCGTTTACGACAAGCATTGGGTATATCAAGTAATAGTACTACAGCCAGTTCTACATCAAGCAGTTCAAAGAAACAGACAAATTTCTAAACTTTCTATATGCACTTTTTCTGTGGTCACTGTAAATTTTTTTTTTTTTTATGATTTTTTTCCTTGATAAAGTAAATCAATCTATATTGACATTAATCTTGTTTACTGTTTTAAATCCTGAGAAGATTGAGTCATCTGTTCAAATTATTCGTCTAAATATTTGATCTGAAGTTTTAGTCTTTTTCTTGAGTACACTTCTAATAATATAGCTTGATGTAAAATAATATGGTACAATTTATCCCATACAATACTGTCTTGTGTAAATATGAAAAGTAAAAGTCTTTTTGTAAAATCCTTTTTGATATTTTCAGAATTATAGTTCTGTTGTTTGAAGATGGTTATTTGACGAATATATAATACTCGGGAAATATTTATTTCGCTTAGATATTTGATAGTTAGTCTATTTCAATTTAGAACATATAATATACTGAATTCTAAGATAAAAACATGCGAAATATTATGCTTTTTTTCTTTTTATCAGGACAAAAAAGCTATGCAGAAACTTGAAAATGAATGCTATCTATTATTAATTAGAATAAAGATGAGTATATGAATTAAAGAAACACAAAAAGAATCGCTCTATTATTTATGATTTTAATGGATGCGTTTTTTCTGCATACTTGAGTTTCTTATATACAAATAAGAAATGAGAGATCGTCATTTGTATTGGCTGAAGAAAGTGTAAAACAATATTTAGTGACGAATTGATAGAATAGTTTTTTTGATGATGAATCTAATAAAAACAGATGAATAAATTTGAGAAATTTTAAATTCACTGTCCAAAGTTAGGGAAAATAAAATAATTGGCATGTTGTCAAATCTTAGATGATTCACACTTTCTTATCATATTCTGCTTCAACTATTTACTTGATTCATGGTTTCGAAATAATGGATACTATGTACAGGGCTACCAACTCTAGAGAACTTGGATCAAGTACGAATCGTCTGAAATATAATACATAATTATTTCAAAAGTAAAGGATATACAATTGGAAATATGACTGCAAAAATGCATTTGCTAGTGAGACAATTATGAAAAAATAAATTCATCATATTGCAATTTTAACTAGAAATTCTGTTCAGATAGCAAGACAAGAATGTTTCATTAAAATAAATGTTAATTGTTCAAATAGACTATCTCAAATCTTTTTATATGACTGTATAGATGTATAAAAATCTGCACATTGAGGATTTTTGTTTAATGGAATATTGACGTGGTGTCCATGCATATTTCATATGATTGAATAGGCCTTCTACAAATTTATTTGATTAAGGAATTCAATAAAGATGTATGGTTCAATTGATAACTATCATACAATATGTTGTAGTCTGAGAATTTCCCGTCATGGCTTTCATAATTGTCTATATCTGGGAAAAATGAATACTGGTACAGACAATAGAAATTCTTCAAAAAGTAATCGAGAACTAGATGTGTTTTTTAGCGTCGATAATTTAGATACAAAAAAATTCTAGATTTAGTTGATCATCGAATAGGACACTTCCTGTTAGGGATAAGTTTCTGGAAACATGGATTTCAGACTGAAAACGTTTTGCTTGTGCTGCTCTCTATAATTTTCATCAAACTGATTCTTAGNCGAGCTGATTTCAAATATAATCGGCATGGTTGCAATCAGAATTGAAATACTTATATATGCACATTATCCACAAGTATATTGATTACCAACTCCGATAGTGTTTTCCAATGTGCAATTCCATTTTCCATATTTTTTAGTATCTTTATTAATGTTAAAAAAAAATCAGTCGGACAATCTTTGGCTCTAAGGTGATATTTCACAAGAAAAATTACGAACATTTATGGAGATGTTTAGAAGAAGATGTTACTTTTTCTCAGAAAAAGCAGTTTTGACGAAGAAATAACTGATGAAGCATTCTCAAACGCTTCTCAGAAGATGTGTAACAGCGGGTGTGGGTGTGAGATGTAAGTGACGACAAGAGCTATACCCACATCCCGAATATCAACCGTATATTTTTATTCTCCAACATCTAGCTAATTTGCTCAAAAATAGTTGTGCACTTTTTATTGGTTTCGTAAGATTTCTTGCGCTCACTATTTAAACTAATAGTAATTCATGAAAACTATTAGTATCTCAAAATCAGTCTCTTACAACATATTCTACGGTTAATGATTTAGTAGATGTTGTATAGTAATTTTTGCTTGATTGAACTCTATTCTCCAGATTTAAAAATAATATAGATGCAGACCGTCGAACTCTATACAATACGTTAAGTTTTGATCAATTTTAAAGCGCTCATGCATTTTCGTAATCAAGACCTTACTGAATAAGTTTAAACTGTAAATCCCTTGAAACTCAACTGTCTTGGCATAAGCATGTCATATTATGAACTTATTAGTTCGGCAGGAAGATCTCTAATTGCTTTTGCAGAATATTGTAAGGAAAATTGGATGATAGGACTTTTGAGTGAAATTTAACGTGAAAATAGATCTTAGAGTCATTTTTTATATCCGAAAAGTTTCAACGAAAGTGGGTAGTTTCTTCTTCAGATATTGTCTACTAAAAAGAAAAATATTTAATCGAATTGTTTGCTAGAAACCAACGATTATGCAATTTTATTATCTTGAAAGAGAAATATCTAGTTTTTGTTTTTGAAATGTTCAGGGTATTTATAGAATCATAAGATCTATCTCTGAGTAAAATTTTAGATTAAAATGTTATGGTTTAGTTTTCCTCGTAATATTCTAAAATAGTCTGAAAATTTATAAAAATGAGCATAACTCAAGAAGTAAATACTAGTATGCATATCCTTNCAGTAAGGTCTTGATTACGAAAATGCATGAGCGCTTTAAAATTGATCAAAACTTAACGTATTGTATAGAGTTCGACGGTCTGCATCTATATTATTTTTAAATCTGGAGAATAGAGTTCAATCAAGCAAAAATTACTATACAACATCTACTAAATCATTAACCGTAGAATACGTTGTAAGAGACTGGTTTTGAGATACTAATATGCATATCCTTTTCAAAATTTTATCTACACAATAGATCCTAAAAATTGAACTTGAATAAAGATTACTAATGGGAAGAGATAATGAAGATCAAAGGCTGTTGAGCATATTACAGTCAATTTTATGCTTAGATTATTCTAGAACATTGGACAACGTTATAACTCCCTCCTTAAATCTGCAATAATCGTAAGATGTCTGCGAAATTTGAAGTAGATAGATGAAGAATTTTATACGGTTTAAATCTTCATGATGTTTAGCAGCGTATTGAATTGACAAAGTCACCATACAATCGAGTGTTAACTTTCAATATTAACTAATTAGTATGAAAGTTTCTGGATTCATCCGAATACATAATGGTGATTTAAGATTCTTTATGAATTTATAAAACAAATATACGCATCAAACGAAGTTTTTAAATAATTCAAAAATAAATAACAGAATATAATTTACAAGAAAAAAATATCTCCATTCAAAATACAAAATAAATACGATAGAATGTTTTTTTTCCTATTAGTAAAATGAATCTGAAGAAATTAGATAAGTTCCACATTACAGTTCATGAATAGTTACTAGAATAATTTTTCCTATGACAGAGTTCATAGTGTATTGATTTCAATAAAATTTTATTTTAAATTTTTTAAGTCTTGAAGTGTTCTCTTCTTGATAAACATTTCGCTTTTCAATTAAGTTATATATTCAGCCATTTTTTCATAAAAAATTCGTTTCTTTTAAGTTTCTGATCAAGTCAAGATTAAACTTTCACTCAAAATAATACTTGTATGAGGATGTGGGTGTTGGTTAAGAAAACACCCACACCCACATCCTTGATATCATATATTCTGTAATAATAATAAAGCAAAGCTTGATAGAATTTTTGTTGATTTAAGATGTTTTAGTAAAGAAAACAAGCATATCAACACCATACACGTATCTATAAAGAACACACAAATATTACCGAACAAAATACAATAGTGAAGCCTTGATATGAGCGACATCTGTTCGATAGAGATTTCATGGAACCATATCCAATCCAAACGGATATCAATGTTGTTTGTTTCATCAATCAAATCCGCCCTTGCTTTTTTGTATCATTTTTCGAATTTTTTGATAAATACCCCCAAATTAATTTTCATCTACTCATAACAGTTAGCTTCTTTTAGATTTTTGAAATCAAACTATGTCATCTGAACTTACTCCTCTTGTTCATAATGATGAAAACGAAACGACAAAGCTGAAACGATTACCACGAAGTGCTAAAAAACGTTTACGCTATGAACGTATTCGACAACAACGTAAACAAGCTCATAAAAAGAAAAAAAAACATAGATCTTCTAATCATCTTTCATCTATATTATTACCATCCACGTCTACTGACAGTAAAGTCTTTTTTGTTTTCAATAATTGATTTTCTATAATTTTTTCTCAAATAGCTTTAAGCAATCAAGACATATCAGTTACTGCAAAAACATTTAAACGTGCTGCGAATGAACGTTTAGCAGAAATTAACCGAGAATCAACAGCACCTGTTATTTGTATTGATTGTGCTTATAATGAATCAATGTCGATTAAAGTTAGTTCATCGTATTTCTATAAAGACAGTCAACAAGCAATAATTATTTTTTTTTTATGAATAGGAATTAGCTAGTCTGGCTCGTCAAATTGGACGATGCTATAGTTCGAATCGTCGAGCGATAAAACCTGTTCAACTTATACTAACAAATTGGTCAAAAGATAGTCCACTAGCAAAAGAATGTCATCGAGTTAACAATGGTTTTGATAATTTTCAAGTAATAAAAAAATAATGTTTTTTTTTTTGTTATACAACAAACAACTGTATAGATAATTCTCAGTGATAAATCAATTCATGAATCTTATCCAATAGAACGTTTGATTTATTTAAGTCCTAATGCTGAAAAACAATTGACGGAAGTCAATGAACAAAATGTACATGTAATTGGTGGTCTCGTTGATGAAAGTGTTAGAAAAGTAATTATTTGTTTATACTATTGATATAAAATGTTTTTTTCTTATTTATTCATATTTTATTTAGAATATGACATATGGAGTATGTCAAGATAAAGATATAGTTTGTTACAAATTACCTATTGAAACTTTTATGGAGCATTCAATCAACGGTGGTACATTCAATCAAATTCTTTCGATTAATCAAGGTATATCGTTTTCTTCAATAAAATAGAACTTATTTTTCGACGCTAAATTAAAGATCTACAAAAATCACTTTTTTCTGATAGTGATCCTAATTAAACAAGCAATTTTTTTAATAACCTGTATAATTCTTCGAATCTATAAAAATTTATACTAATCATTTTGACGATTTAATAGTATGAGAATCCCTTAAATATCTATGTATCGGAACTGTTAGCGTCAGTAGATGGTGCTTACTGACGCTAAACGTTTATCTTATGTTATCTATTTTCTGAATCTCTGATTTGATTTGTTACGTAATCTCTCAACTATGATTCATCTCGTGATTATCTTTTTGTCTTTCGTTATTGCGCAGTTGTTGATGTTCTATCGTATCGATCACTCGATACTCAATATATTCTATATANGAATCACTATTTGGATTTGAGCTAGCTATTTAGGATCGTAGAAAAAAATCAAAAATAAAGTGTTCTTATATTTTTGTCCAGTACTGTATATGTTACTTGCATTTGAATTTTGAATGAATTGTAGAAGGTGATTTACTTTCTACTATATATTTTGAAAGACGTCAAACTATGGATAGAAATAGAAAAACTTAGAAATTATGTAGTTGAGTCAGATAGTTCTTCCTGGATATATTATTCCAAATTGTCTCACTCATTATCTATTTAAGTGAAATTCATGTGAAGAACAAAGATTGAGTGAATGCACAAATAAAAAGTAACATTCTCTCATTTTTTTGTAAAATTCATAATAAAATGTTTTACTGTTTGTTATTCAGATTATAGAAAAATTTACTTGTACTTGATGAGAAAATGATTCAAATTTATTTAGGAAAGACTGATGCTTTTAGAAATGCGGATGTGGGTGAATAGATGAGTATTATGTTCAGTCACACCCACGCCCTATTACGAAAATTACTTTAAGTAATTTTCGTAATAATTAAATGATAATAGTAGTGTTAAATTTCAATTTAATAAGAGTTTTTTTTCAGCACAGTTAATAATGTCGGCCTGCAGCTCCGTGATTTTTCGGTTGGAAAAAGATAGAAATGTGAAAACAGTCTTATGGTGATTATATCTGAAAGTCAGCTACAATTAGTTACAATCGCTGGTTGTCGAAAGCGAGAAAATTCTACCATCGTAGTTCGACCTCCATCTTCCTATTGTTTTCTGGAATATTTCAGGGAGAACTAGTGGATATTTCATAGATTGCCATCCATTAATTTTTAGCGTATTATTTTATCAATTGAAATACAAAGCCATACAGCCCAATTTCGATGAAAGTATAATTATGTACTTCTCTGCAATCATGACACATAAATACGATAAAGTTTAGAGCAATATATTCTGAAAAGAATGTGCGCTTCTAGCTTATTGTTATCAAATTATCAAGTTTTTAAGCACAAGCTGTGATCCCTCGAGAACACTAAGAATAAGTAAATTTAGAATTTCGACTTTGAATTTTGCACATAAAAAAACTGCTTCAATGAGAATAATTTATTGCTTTCGCAATATATGATTCTCATTTAGAGTTGTTTCTATGTAAAGCTTGAGGTCGCACTTAAAAATTTAGTTGTCCTGATGCGGACTGCAGCTCTTGGTTAAAAATCCAATAACTCAGCAATAATAAGCTAGAGACACACTCTTTTCGGCGTATTCATAGCTCATTAGATTCTAAAGAATCCATGTAGTCACAACAGTGGTGTAGCCAGGGGTATGGCCATTGGGCAATTGCCCCTAGCTCCAAAAGTTATTGCCCATGGATTTATTGAGCTATGCAGTGCTTGAACAGTTATTGTCCATAGATATTTTTGAAATCACAACGGTTGCCCTTAGCTGCTCGTAACTCAAAATAGTTCGGCTGATGAATTGCCCATGACTCAAAAATTCCTGGCTACGCCACTGAGTCACAATTTAAAAACGAATTGATAACTGGAAACATGGGCGTTTAAGAGATCAAGGTTCAATAAGGATTTCTGTGACTTTTAACCAGTTTATAGAATATCAAAAAGTTTCGCAAGGATTTTAATTGTTTTGTTTATATTCATAAGCGGGAAAATTGTGAACAACTAACAATAAAATGATCCATTTTCTAATAATAACAATTCAAACCGTTATAATTCAGGAATCTTTATGGAAAAATCTTTCTCAAAATCAATACTAAAAGCATTTAATACTGCATATCTGTAGTACCAAAGTCATTATGATTGACTCAGTGTGCTGTTTAACACAAATCACCAAGTTACTGTGGTCAGATCTCGAAATCACCAGTCATAAAATGATGTTGGGCAAACCACGAACAACTAATTGCCTTAGTTCATTCATCCGATAGCATGTTGACTCCCGAGTGATATGCACTTACCTTTGAGGTTCGTATGTTCTTAGTCAGTGTATAAGTGCAGCGATATCGGATTTCCGAAACTATCCTCTGAGCAACACCCGATAAGGTAAATAGGCAAATAGTAGAGTTCTGCGAGACAAACATTTTTCATGTTGAGAATCAGGTTTTTTTTGTCCCATCTTACTTTCAAAATGTCTCACGGAACGGAGCAAATAGGATTTTCCAGAATTCTGAACTATCTCACAGAACTTTATGCAGTGCCAACAGTAAAGCTGCTATGTCTCTCATGTAAAACCGCAAAAATAATTTATTAGTAAAAATCCTACCGGAATAATTAAGCTATGTGAGATTTTTTTTGCTCATTCTCATGATGAGATATTTGCATGTTTTCAGAACTATTCTTTTTTTTTTCATGTATAAGGATGTATTGAAAAAAAAATTTTTTTTATGTCGCAAGTTGCTGGGTAATTTCTGTCAAAATAACGGTATTCGTTATCGTTTTCTACCAATAATACGCTGAATTTTTTCTTGTGCTTCTGACATGTAGAAAGGAAATAGATTTATTTGTCTTTCTTCATAGACTCAACTATTCGGGTACAAGCTAAAACTTTCTATTACTTATTAATTAATCTTTTTCTCTATTGTACTATTGAAAATAGATACAATTTTTCTGATAATTTATAATTTAACAAAAAATTGAATATATTTTACACAGAGATTAGTTTTACTTTTTTTTTTTTTTTTCTTATAAATAACTGTGCTTTTTTATTATTATTTTAAAGATGAAATGATTCGACGTATAATATCAAATAATGCATGTTTTTCTTTTCAACAAACATTAAATCTCTTATCATCATTTAAAAAACGAATAATTTTACAAACATATTACCATAGTGATTCAATTGATGGAGGTTTTCCTGAAGAAACAATATTTGATGAACAACGTCTTTCTTCACAAGAAGCATCAGGAATATTACGAGCACATGAAGCTAGTATTGATCTTGAAGCAAATTGTCCAGTAAAATATTATGAAGTTAATTATCTCGGTGCTAATAATCCACCGGGTATGTCTTATATGTATATATTGATAAGTTTTTATATATATGTTATTTCGAGAGAAACATAAACTACTCGAATACTTGAAAAGAATGAATGTAAAAACGTTATCTTTCCCTGTTAAATATTGTATTTGAATGGTTTCATTAATCTTAACCATTCCATAAGATCAAAAACACAATTACAGATTATATTCTTCATAGGTATGTATTCATTTTAACATTAGTCAGTATAATTTTTCCAAATCATCATAAAAGATACAAAAATTGAATTCGTTTGGTACGAACAAAACATTTTTGCTCCATGTTTTCTAACAATTCCTAAAGAACATCAATCATTCATACATAAGAAAAAATGACAAATATGACATTACCATTATCGTATGTATCAGAAGAACAAAAAGAAAACAATATTGTTTTTCTTTTAAAATAAACATGTAATTATACTAATATTAAGTACTATAATATCCAAAAGATAAAAATATACATATATATTTTCTAATAATTAATATTAGATGTCATTCATTTTTGTTAGAGGATCGACAAGCTCAAGCTCGTATTCAGTCACCTGATTCAAATATGTATTTATTTGGTGTATTTGATGGACATGGTGGTCCATGGTGTTCAGATGTTGTTGGTCAACGTCTATTTGAATATATTTCTGTAACATTACATCCACCAAATGATTTACAAAGAATAATGCAAGAAGGTAAACGATTAATAAGTAGTCATCCAACTCATGTTCATAGTCATGATAAAACATCATTAAATACAATAGCATCATTACTTCTTCATTCATATTATAATCCATATAAAGATACAAGAAATTCAAAAATCAAAGAAATTCATCAAGTTAATTTATTAAAACATATCGAAGATCTTTATACAACAATTGATCATGATAATATGGATATTGCTACTGCATTAGAAAGTGCATTTATTAAATTAGATCGAGATATATGTGCCGAAGCAATACCTATGGATACACAACATGTTGATGAAGATTTATTACAAATTTGTACAGCTGGTTCATGTGCATGTGTTGCTTTAGTTAAAGATGATGATCTTTATATTGCTAATTGTGGTGATGCACGAGCTATTCTTGGTAAGTTAAATTGTTTAATTTAGTATAGTAAAACATCTCTAATATGGACACTATAGAAACTAATCACAAGTATTCATTATTGAGAAGATTTTATTTTTGCAACGTATCAGTTGCAATTGCTTGTCGACTGTACAAAATGATCTATTGTTTTCTTTTCACCAATTTATTAATTCAACTTTTTCTATCAGAGATAAATGGACATATGTTGACAGGATTTGATATTAATAGTTGTGCTGTTGCTATTTGTCTTTTGCATGTTGAATATCTCAATGGTTAGTCTATTTCTTTCTTGTATGTGTCGTATGATTGTTTATGATGACGCACATAATATCAGTTTTTTCTTTCTTGAAAACATTCAAAGATCATTGTGCAAGTTGAAATAGTAGAGTCCTGTCGAGTAAAATATTCAAATGTCTTTTGTTTTGTTTACACCTTTTCGAACTTAATATGAATTTTTTCTTTCCTTCTTTAAAACTTAGCAAGAAGCACTAAGAAGAAAGTGTAAAATAGTAATTCGTCTAGTTTACCGTGCTCTGTTTTTAGCCACGGTAGATCGTTTCTTATTTATTTACGAAGATTCACTTAAAAACTATGTCGAACGATATATCCCAAAGAGATTAAATAATATGTTCTCGTCTGATTTAGACTCCTCGCTATTTTTCGAAGACATTTTTTTTTCAGGATAATTATTATGAACTGACTAATCACTGTATCGAGCAGTTCCTTTTGATAAAGTGAGTCAAGAGAATGAACATCAAACACTATTTACTATGTCTAATTTGACTAAAATTCATTAATTAACTTTTGTAGAACCATATATCTTCCCTCCATAGTGAGCGGTATTTAGATTTCCAAACCTATGTTTTGTCGTTGTATTGGATGTTTTCTTGTTTTCTTTCGTTCTTATCTATAGGTTTAACGTCAAATTCTCGTAAGCACGTACGAGTATCATAATAGGAATAGGACATAAATAAATAACGTCATTTTGTTCTCGTTCTGCATGCAAACGATACAACATGTTATCAAAAGAGATGTATGGGGGCCAATTTCAGTTACAGTCACCGCAATCCGAAACTATGAGACAAAAGCTGTCTCAAACAGACCTTAAGATTATAGTGAGTGTAAGCATGGTTTGAAGCCAATTACCTTATAAATCAGAACATCATTCCTAACAGATTGGTCAGAAAAGTGCTAGTCATTGAGTAAATAAATGAATATTAGAGACTTTTTATAGATATGATATGAATACATTTTTGAAATTGTTTTCTCTATACAAAAACCTGAATTAATAGAAAAGAAGCTAACGGGACCAGACCCATCAAAAAACCTTCTAGCATAATCCCTGTGATATTATAATGTAAAATATAATGAAGCTGCCAGTATTATAAAGGAAAGGATCAGTCAATATATGTTTCGATTTATGAACTTCAGCCTATTGTTAATGCATGTAGATGATGAAAGATATTAATCGCAATACATTGTAATGAGTGTGAAAGAAAAGTAAATAACAATTGTCATAGTAATTTCGTGACTATACCTATCACGTCCATGGGAGTGAATTCGAAATTTCTACCTTTATACTTCAACATTCCCTTTAGATCGTGTTTCATAAAAATGTTACAGAGTTCAAAAAAGCTTGGTCTTGAACATCTCTAATTGCTCCAAATTACAGATATTAATATGCAAGCATTGGACCAGCAATAAGCACCTACTTACTGTTCAGAATAAGGAGGTGCTCATTACGGAGTGATTCCACTATATTAATCAATGAAAAGCCAGAAGAAAAAAAAAACAATAATTTTTTTTTCTAGGCAGTATTGATGATGAAGGCAATCAAACAGTTATTCATCTTTCTCAAGATCATAATATACGTAATCAAGGTGAAGTCAAACGAGTTTTAAGTGAACATCCAATGAATGAATCAAATTCATTAATACGTAGTGATCGTTTACTTGGTTTATTAATGCCATTTCGTGCATTTGGTGATATACGTTTTAAATGGCCAGCTACTTATCTTCGTGAATATTTACAACCATATTATAAAAAAGGTGATGCTATACCACAATATTATTTAACACCACCATATTTAACTGTTCGACCAGAAATTTCAAAACATAAATTAACAAAAAAAGATAAATTTCTTGTCTTAGCTACAGATGGTGTTTGGGATTTATTATCATCGGAAAGAGTTGTACAACTTATATTTAATCATCAAAAAGGTATACAAAGTTTTGATCGATTTGTATTACATAAAAGTGGTACAACAGCAACACTTAAATTAAAAGAAATTAATGAATTATTACTTGCACGACAACAAGCTATTATAAATCAGCCAATTGATCAAAATTCAGCAACACATTTAATACGTTATGCACTTGCATATACATCAAAAGGACAATTTGATAGTAAACTTTTATCTGATGTATTAACATTTCCTAATCCACGTTCAATACGAGATGATATAACAATAACTGTTGTTTATTTTGATCAAGATTATATTGATCATATACAAACAAAAGAAAAGACAAAATAAAGAAAATATATGAAAAAGTTTTATGTTAAGACGGGTTCGTTTTCTTTCCTATGTCCCTGTTTGATATGAAAATATATTTCATTTATTTTTCTAACCTTTTACCTCTCTGAACAAGATTTCTTTTTTCTCTACTCATTACATGTATTCCATATGACAACTATAATAGATTTGTATCGTTCTATTCTTATTGTTTAATAAGAATTTTATAGAATAAAACTTTAGTGATATATTTATTCAATATAATCTCAACAAATATTCATAATGTTTATTTATTATTTAATTGAAGTTCATATTTAGAATATCGAATGAAATAGATGTTAGATCAGTATTTTATTCAAGATTTTATTTTTCCAAAAGGGAGATTTAATTGTCTAGGTGAATGAACATTTATCTTTGAAAGCACAGACATATTGTGTGTGATACAATGACCACAAACTTAATTATAACTAATTGGTTCATCGGAGAAGCGTCTAGATATGGGTAAGATGATCCTATTACGAACCGGAATCAACACTTTTTCATTGGCAACGATACCTATTATGGACGTGTACAACTTAAGTCGAATTTTATATTGTCACAAGTCACATGTTCTAAAAAGATATGGGCAGATGGTTCCATTGCCGCTGGAGCCGAGAAACTACTGGGATTTATTGAAACCAACGGATCTATGTCGATTTATCCATTGATAGCATATAATACATCTTCATTGTATCAAAAGAAAGTCATAGCTCGGAATAGTTAGCTCTCACTCTCAGTTGGTACGTTGCCCTACGTGTCGGTACTGACTTCGCCCTAAAACTAGGTACTTGTCTTTGGTCTACTCTCTTTTGTGTGATGATAAAACATATAGTCGGATGTTATAGCAAAATCTAGAAAACTGCTGGTACTTTCAAAGAAAACAAAAAAACCAATCGGCTATAATGAAGCTTTTTCTAGATACATGAGATGTGCGATCAGGAAAGCATCCATAGAGGAACAAACGACAAAGACCTCTTCCACATTAACGATTTCTACAGACACTCACCAGCGAGATGCTGTTTTCTGCCGAAAACACTAAAACCTTGAATTTAGGAATGCAGTGACCAGCTCTGTCCGAAACTAGAAAAATCAGGCAGCCGACTTCAACCTATTCTTCTCTATACTAATCTTAAGTTTTGATTAATCTGATGGAACTGAACTTTTTTTTAGGATTGATAGATAACAATAATCATCAATGACGTAAAAAAACCAAAATACAAAATCTAAAGACTTAAGTCCTATCATCTTTATATTTGAGTAAAAAAAAAAAAAGGCGTAGTTCATAAATGTATGTTACAAAACAAAATATCTGACATGATGTTCATTATAAAAATAAAAAGCTGAAATACTATTATGCATAATATGTATGTGCACCAGGTGTAGCTATGCCTAAAGTTGAAGTTGATTTGCATAAATAATCTAATTGATTACTTTCACATTCATTATCTTCATCATTTGATGATACTGATTCAAGTTCAATTTGTTCATCATTTTGTGCATATGTATCTGTATTTGAATGTATTGTTGTATCAGTAGCATGATGTGGTTCAATAGCTGTATCAAAACCAAATGATGAAGCTATATGTTTTGTTGATTGTTGACTACTTTGATCAGTTGAAGGAGTTGTTATTGATGGAACTATATTGGAAAGAAGATTATGTGATGGACGTTTACTTGACAATGGTGTATTCATATCTTCATAATCATGTTGTTGATTATTATTATTTTCAATATCTTCAATATCAGATGGTGGTGGTGGTGGTGGAGGAAAATTAATTGTTGGTTCAATATTAACTCGACGAGCGCGATAAGTAAAATGATTAGAAAGTGAAGTTAATGTATTTTCATTAACATTATTTGAATCAGTTGGCACTCTTTGTGATGAGACCTAAAGAAAAAAAGAATATTAAACATTTCAAATGATATTATATTTATTTTTACTGGTAATTCACGATGTTCAATTATTTTTGATGGTGATAATTGTTGATGTTCATGTTTTGGAATATGATATATTGAAGTAACTGTTACTTTACAACTAGTTATTGGTGTTGCTGGTAAATTTAATGTTCGTGGAGGTGGTTCTATCTATTTTATATAAAAGAAAGTTGTTCATGCAATCTTGCACGAATTAAAATGTGAAACGTAATGTAGCTGCTCTTACTAATCACAAGGAGATCATTTTATTCTATCTATTTTGGAACACATTTCTTTTAGACAAAACTAAATATTTTAGAGCATATAGATTTTCGACGAATAAAGTACTTTTTTTCTGCTGTGAACAAGAAAACAATAATATAAAAGCACTTTTGAGAAAAATTATATTCACTCTATTGATCCGTAAATAATAATTTTCACTTCTATTTACTTGGGATTTGAAAAATCTCATTCTTCTTTAACATCAAGTGCCTTTACGGTAGTATAATGGACTCGCACAATTTTCTATAACTCCAAATTGAACGATAATTTCATCAAAAGTTGCTCCGCGCATAACACCTATGTAGCGTTAGTAAAAAATCAACGCGACTTAGAAACACTTTGGTGAAGAACTAACTTCATATTTGAAGTCTACATCGAAAACTGCATTGAATGGTATATTATGTATTAGTCTTCTTATAAATAAAATTTTTTCATGTATAAATAGAATAAAGATTTTTCGATAGTGATTTGTCAGTAAAACAGAAGTTTTTTTCAAATTATATTCACATTTGAGAGATGATAAAGCTATATTGAACAGAAACTAAGACATTTCTAAGTTAAAAAATTCCATGTCCGTCTCATCTATAGAAAAATGCCGGCTGTGCATCTGCCATGGCCTATGTCTATATTGTTGACAAGGGGAATATCTGCATTTCAACTTCAAATGAGGACTGAGCCACTTGTACAATACTTTTCTGGCTACGCCACTAGGTAGAGTCGAAATTTTCATATCCGTCACGAAAAAAAAGAAAATTATTTATTTTAAAATAAAGTCTAACTTGAACACGTGGAACACGTAATTTCGATGATTTTTGATTATTAGTTGTTGCTGTTAATGGTGCTCGTGGAGTACGTTCATAGTTATTTATTAATATTCTTGGAGTCATATCAAGTGAAGTAATTTCAGATGATTCATCTTGTCGATAGGTATGATCAGAATTTGTTGATTTAGGTAAAGATTGTATTGAAGGACTGAAATTGTTTGAAAAAAAAAATGATTTAATATGAGTATATTGAATGTTAAGTTTTTACATAAGAGGCTTTTGTTCAATGACCCATGGATGTGTTTTTACCCATGAATTAAACCAATCAAGATTATATCGACTATCGAGTACACCAGGCATTCGTTTATCGAGATAAGCAAACATTTTTTGTCGTTTAGATACTGATTCTTGTGTTGCTGCCCAATGAATAGGTGTTAAATTAGAATTATCTTTTATTTTTAAACATTCATAAACATGTTTATCTTCTTGTTTTTGTTCTTCTTCAATATTAGTATTTTCTTCTTTTTTTATTGTTAATAACATATGTAAAATTGGTACATTACCTAATCGACAAGCAATATGAATTGATGTATGTCCAGCCGAAAGACGTCTTGAAAAAAACAAAAAAAGACAAACAAACGTTGAAAATAGAATTATATTGAAAGAAAAATAACATCATACAATTTTGGATCGGCTTTATTTGCCAAGAGATATTCAACACAAAGAATTTGATTGTAATATGTAGCTGTTGAAAGTGCTGATTCACCATATAAATTAAGCGCATTGACATCAACACCTGATTAATAGAAAAAAAAAACAATGTTTGTTTATATTTTATAAATGTCAAGGAAAAAGAGTACATTCAGAGACGGTATTGTTTTATGGCTAAAGCATTTTAAGATTTCTTTACTTATGTCGTACGACAAATTGTGACGAAGATGTTTTAATTACATTGTAAAAAGCTTGAAAAAAATTTCTATCTATATTGTCTGATACTAAAAATAATGCTCGATATTTCTTTGATCTTTATCGAAATGATTTCAAACCATTTAATCGTACTGTAAACAAGTTCATAAATTCTTCGAATAAAGAAGAGTATAGAAAAACATTCTATAAATGAATACAACTAAATGCGAATAAACAAGACCATTATTTCGAACATTTAGTGAAATAAATATTTTATGAACTTGTTGTTTTCAACTGAACTCACACTGTATTGAACAATGAGACAATGTGTCAAAGCATAAGACATTTGCTGAGGAAAAAGATGCGTATATATGAAGACTTAAGTCATGTAACACTAGCTAAATAATTCGACTTCATGTTTATTGAGTTCTAACTAATTGAATATGTTTCTATCTACTGTGAATATTTTGGCATGATATTTGGTGGAAAATAAACAATAAAACACTTCGTAACGATTATTATTATCATAAATACGAAAGAAGTTCGACAATACTGTCTGAATTCTATTGATCCCTATTTCTTCATTCTTAATTCAAAAGGAAATTCTTAACACTAACTTTTTCTAACTCTAACCAGTTGTCTTTAAGTAGCCGAAAACTGATGATGGAACTATTCGAACTGGCACCCGCCGTTTGAGCTCATATTCAGTTTGCAAAGTCTCGATAAGACTAGAAACACCCTAAAAGTGTTCGTGTTCATGTATCTCTGGAGTCGAGTTATGACCTCTTTAGTGAATTTCAATCTGAAATTTTACTCGTAGATAGATCTTATGACTCTGTGTATATCCTGAAAATTTTAGCCGCAAGGGATGCTCCTTTGCCGAAATATTACATTTCCAAAAAATCCAGTTTACTTCAAAATTGAATAACCCGATGAAGGAACTTTCTGTTCAGCTAAAATTTCCAGGTCATTTCAACAATAATCAGATCTATCTATGGTCAAAATTTAAGATTGGATTTTTGTTCTTTGATTTTCCGGTAAATGTCAAAAGCTGAATAGAAAAGCTCAATTCGATTCCAAAAGTCGATAGGCATGAACTCTTTTAGGATTCTTCTAATCTTAACGAGACAACAATATATTCGTCGTAGATAATCATAGATCTTAATTATTCAAGAGAAGTAAATATAAGATTTTTGAAAACATATCTAAATTACTTACTATGTGATTGTAAACATTTTTGAATTTTAACCGTTTGGCCTAATCTTGCAAACTGACAAAAATCGTCGGCATTAGCCATGATCTGAAAACATCCAAACCTTACCAGAAAAGTTCGTTGTTTTTATTTATTTTTTGTCATGTTTTCCTTTAATTCTATTCATTTTAATCTCAATGCATTGTTCTTTTTGTTTTTGTTTCAAAAATAAATAATAATCATGTTATGTCAATTACGTACAAAATAGATTTTAACTTAAATTAAAAACAAAAAAAAGGATGTCTAAGCTGTTGTATAAGGATGTGTTCGTTTAGATTTCCTAGGCGATGATAATTGTTTTAATGAACGATTTGTTGAATTACTAATCGATGATGATGATGACGTTTCTTCTCTACGTTGTTGTGTTTGATTATTATTTACTGATAAAAGAGTATTCGATGCTGATGTATTAATTGTATGATCATGTTCAATTTCTGAATGATTTCTATTTGTTGAATGAAGTAATGTTAAATAAATATCAGTTATTGTAACATTATCTGATGTTCCTTCACTAAGTGTTGTTGCTGGTGATAAAGATGAACTGTCAGATTGACTATTATTTGTTGATGAAAGATTATCACAAGTTCTAGAATTATCATTATCTACTGTTGAATTCGGTATTATTTGAGAAGTTGATATTATTGATTGTGACAATGAAACTTGTGTATTATTATGAGAATTTAGTTTTTGACTCATCCAAAGTGTAAGAAATTTTCCTTGACTATCAATAGTTGATCGTCGATTTGATATATCAATTCCATCAACTATGACGAATTCAATATCTAAATAAAAAAAAAAAACAATATAGAAGTTGATTAAATAGTAATAATTCATATTAACCATGTCGTTGATAAACATTTAAAATTGAACGTAATGTTCGATCAAATTCAATAATATAAATCAACTCATAAGTATTTCCCTGTGTATCAATTAATTGATCTTTAGCATTAATATGCAATCGATTAACTGTTAAAGCTAAACATGGACTAAATCTATAATAAAACTATAGATTTATTTTATTTTTCTCAAATGAAATTGACTTACTTTTTGAATGTTAAAGTTTTCAATTGATTTTTATCACTACATCGAAAACATATACAAGATAATTGACTTGTTTCAATCAATAATCTTAAGTGGATTTCATCAACATCATGAATAACATCATCAATGCTAGAAAATAAAATTAAGAATGAAAGAATTTCTCTAATTAATTGAAGAGATTACTTTTCAAACTTCTTTAACTAATCTTTCGATTAAATCCAAGGTTCCTACATTCTCAAAAATAAGGACGAAAATTTACTGAGTAACGAAAAATGCGTGGATTTTATTCTTGCGTACAAGAATGACTGTTAGAGATCAAACTTTATAAAAGAATCGTGATTTTTCTCGAATAACTATTCCTTGACAAATGAATCAAATCCACGAATTTTTCATTACTTTGCTACTCGATACGGTAACTTCCGATCTCTACTAAAAAGCTGTTAGCGCAATCCCTTGCGGGATTGAAAATATGAAACACGATGGATCTATTGTTACTAGTTGAATGAAAATTGTTTTGTTCCATTTCTTTGCGATATATTTGTCGCTAACGGTTTATCTAATGCTTGAGAACTACAGTTTCTCTGTTACGATCTGTGATGGGTCCCAAGCCCTATCTGTGATGGGTCCCGGGCCTGTCTGTCACGGTCTGTGATGGGGAATCACCTGTCGGTAACGGTCTGTGATGGGGGAATCACCTGTCGGTAACGATCTGTGACAGGGGCAGCACCTGTCGGTAACGATCTGTGGGGGGGGGGGGGCGTGCAAAATTTCTACCCTATACACTTCAACACTCCTTTCAGATCGTGTTTCACAAAAGTCAACAAAGATCAAAACTTTACAGTTTATCTCAATTATAATCGATTGAAACATCATAAAAAAATATGAATCAAAATCTTATGGTTGTAATAGTTTTTATCTCGTTTCAACAATTCACTTGCATAGGCAAATGTAATTTGGTTAAAAAGTTAGGTCTACCCTAGACTGGAAACCCTCCACTTACCACTGATTCTAGAGTTATTGCCAAAAAACTTCTTATATCTTTTCAATTATTTGAAGAGTTTAGGATTTTGATGCAATAATAGATTACACGGATACTTGAAGATTGGACCCTTCAGCAAGGCCAAAACACATCGTGTCAATGCTCACCATCTATTAATCTTGAATAACATATGAAATCGAAAAACCATAGCTTGGCGATAGCTTCACACACCTTACATTCAGACCTGCACCTATGATGAGGGCGAGAAAATGGATTTACTATCGCTTATCTTTTGAAGAATATGACCATCGCCTATTTTCATAAATAAATAAGAGTGAGCTGATATTTGGATTTCAGGATAACTTTTTATACATTTTTGGATATGATATTTAAATTTAAAATCGAAGATCTAACATATTGTCTTCACCAACAAAGTCTGTGTTTTGGCGGCCTCTATCTTTCGAATCTATTCAAATTATCTTGAACTTCAACCTAGGATTTACAATTAATCACATATATCACAAACGCAAGACGAATGAATAACTCATACAAGGATTCTCTTCAAATATTCTGTACAATTCCATGCAAGCATAAAAGTTGATCAAACCGCTGGGTATACATCACAAATGAACAATTTATACGAAAATTCTATTCAAATGTATTGCTCAATTCAATAAAAAAAATGCGAGTTGATTATATGATTGGTGAACACAAGAGAAATGGACAATATATATGAAGATTCTATTCTGATATTTTACTCGGCTACAAATAAAGATTTACAATTAATCACATAAATCACAAACGCAAAACGAATGAATAACTCATATAAGGATTCTCTTCAAATATTCTGTACAATTGCATGCAAGCATGGAAGTTGACTACACCATCGGTATACACCACAAATGAACAATTTATACAAAAATTCTATTCAAATGAATTGCTCAATTCAATGGAAAAATTGCCAGCTGACTATATGATTGGTGAACACAAGAGAAATGAACAAAATATACGAAGATTCTATTCTGATATTTTACTCGGCTACAAATAAAGATTTACAATTAATCACATAAATCACAAATACAAAACGAATGAATAACTCATATAAGGATTATTTTCAAATATTCTGTACAACTGCATGCAAGCATGGAAGTTGATTACACCATCGGTATACATCACAAATGAACAATTTATACAAAAATTCTATTCAAATGAATTGCTCAATTCAATGGAAAAATTGCCAGCTGATTATATGATTGGTGAACACAAGAGAAATGAACAAAATATATAAAGATTCTATTCTGACATTTTACTCGGCTGCAAGTAAAGATTTAGAATTGATTACACAAAACATGAACATACGAGAACTCAATTTTACATACTAAGATACTACTCAATTACTTTGCCCAACTCAAAGCGGTGATTTCAATTTGATCATATGATTAACTAAGATACGATAAATGAATAGTTTATAATAAGATTATATGCAGATATGTTGCGCGATTTGAAATCAACACTTGCAGTGCATGCCATAACCGACGAACGCACAACAATCAAATACCTCCAACAAAGGCCCTATTCAATTTTTTTCTTCCTTTCAAGTTAGATTCTCGAGTTTATTCTTCATCATAGAATGTCCGACAAATGAATGCCTTATAAAACGATTGTATTCGAGCATTTCCCGCACTTCGAAGCAAAGGTTTGCAGCCACTTACATGATTGATGAGCATAGAATCAAATGAATACTTGATACAAAAATTCTATTCACATATTTTGCCTAAATCGCAAAAAGAGAAGTATATTGTATTATTTGATCAGCAAATATACAACAGATAAATAATTCACAATAAGATTATATGAAAATGTGTTGCGCAATTGAAAGTCAAGATTTGAAGTGCATACTGTGATCGACGAATGTATGACAACTGAATACTTGAAACAAAGACTGTATTCCAATATCTTCCTCGATTCGAAGCAAAGAGTTTAAGCTGATTACTTGATCGATAGGCACATGATCGAGAAATAAATCATAGGAACATTCCATTAAAATGTTTTGATGAACTCGAAGCAAAAGTTTACTATTGATTGTATGACTCAAAAACGCACTATAAATGAAAATTTCAAACAAAGACTCCATCCAGATGTGCTACTTAATTTGAAACAAATATTTGCAGTTGATTTCATTATCGACGAACATATGATAAATAAAAAATTTGTAATAAAATTCTATTCAAAATATTTGCTAAATTCGAAGGAAATATTTTGAGCTGACTAAATCGTTAACAAACACATGGTAAATAAAAACTTCATAATAAAATTCTATTCAAATATTTACTGAATTCCATGAAAATATTTTGAGTTGATTACTTGTGTGAAGATTACACAACAAATGAGTACGTCAAAGAAAGATTCTAAGAAAATTCTTTACTCGATTCAAAACAAAGATTTTCAATTGATAGATCATCGATGGACACATGACAAATGATTTATTCATAAAAAGATACTATTCAAATGGTCTAATCAAGTTCAGACAAAGATTTCTTGTTGACAACATGATGAACAAAAGCGCAAGAAACGAAAAATTGATAATAAGACAATTCTACTCAAATATAATACTGGGTTCGATGAAAAGATGCTGAATTGATTACTTTATTGGTGAAGACATAAACTACGAATACTTCGTATAACGAATGCATTCAAATATTTTTCTTAGCTCAAAGCAAAAATTTTGAGGTAATTATATCATTGATAAACATGTCATAAATAAAAAATTCATAGTAAAATGTAATTCAAATATTTTGTTGAATTTGAAGGCAAGATTTCGAGTTCATGGCATGATAAACGAAAACATTAGAAATGATCAATTTATAACAACATTCGATTTATATGTGTTGATCAATTTGAATGAAAGCTTTGACATTGATTACATGATTAGTAAAGGCACAGCGAATGAATAATTCATATAAAGATTCTATCGAAATATTTTGCTAAGTTTTAGGCAAAGAATGACAGTTGACTTTCTGAAGGATGAAATAGGATAGAAGAATAATTCACACAAATATTCTATTCAAAGCTATTTTTGAATTTGAAGCCAAGATGTGAAGTTCGCTACATCGTCGACAAACACACAACAAATTGATAATTTATACAAAAACTTGATTCAAATATTTTTCTTCATTCAAAGTAAAGATTTGGAGTTTATTATAGAATTAATGAAAACAAGAGAACTGAATAATAAATAAAAAAATTCTCTTTGATTATTTTATTCAGCTCAAAGCAAGATTGGAAGTTGATGACATGATCGCCGATATACAGTAACTGAATACTACATACCAATGTTCTAACCAAATATTTTGCTCAACTCGAAGTGAAGATGTATAGTTGATCATATAATAAGCATCATGCGACCAATGAATGATTGATACAATGTCTCAATTTCAATATTTTATTCAATTCGAGCAAATGTTTGGAATTCATTTTATGATTTGTGAAAACTTGACAAATGAAAAGCTCATAGAAAGATTCTGTTCAAATGTTTTGTGCAATTGGAACGCAATATGGAGAGTTGAATAAATGAGCGAAGAAAATATGATAAAAAACAATTCAGAGTAACCTTTTATTTAAATATTATGCTAAATTGGATTAGAAAGTTTACATTTAAGTACATGATCAATGATTTAAGATAAATCAATAACTGATATCAAGATAATATTCAAATATTTCGCCTAATTTACAGGAGAGTCTTGAAGTTGAATACATGATCAATGAACACATAAAAAGAAAATAATTCACATCAAGATTCTCTTTAAATATTTTGCTCAGTTGAACTAGAAAACGTACACTTAACTACACGACAGACGATATCTTCCAAATGAATTGTTGAAATCAAGATTCTATTGAAGTATTTTGCTCAATTCGAAAGAAAGTTTTAACGTTGATTAGATGATTAGTGAACATAGAATAAATGGATAATTAAGACAACGATCCCATTCAAATATTGTTAATTTCAAAGTGAAGAATTGAAGTCAGTTAAATCGTCAGAGGTTGTTCCGACAAATAAACAATATAAACAACAGCAATATGTAAATATACTGCCTATATCGGAAGACAATTTTGAAGTTGCTGACATAAACAATCGATATACGGCTAATGAATAATTCTAATATGAATTCTATTCAAATATTTTTCTCAATTCTAACAGATAGACCGAACTCGTACCATGATCGAAAATTACATCGAAAGGAAACACTTTATGCCATTGTAACTGCGACCAGGAAGACCAGCAGAGAAAAACAGGTGCAACACTGCGCCTTTGTTAATTATTGTTGATGATAATTGTTGAGACTTGCGACGCTGAATTAACTTGCCAAATATTTGACGTTCGCTTGCAATACCTGTTGTCGTTCTGTTGCCTTTTTATGCTTGTTGGTTAGCAGAAAAAAATATCAGGGGTAGCTCTTTATTAAATTCGTTACTATGAAAAACAAAAGTAATCAACTAAGAAATTCATTGGCAACGAGCGAACGAAAAAAGAAAAAAAACAACAGACAAGTGTTAATGTTTCTATTCATGCTTAATTTCTTCTATGTATGTTGCAGAGGTGTTCATATTCTACCCTGCCCTATTGTATTGAATTGAGCACGGCCGGATCGATTACCCTGCAGAATTGAAATATTAGCCAAATGAAATTTTTCAATCGAAATCAAACGCAGTCCAATTATTGAAGCACATGAATATCATCAACAGAAAAGAGAAAAGAATAATATGACATACACTCTAAAAAAAATAGGTTTTCTACTAAACTTTGGAGGTTTTGCACTGGTTTACGAAACCATTTTAAGTTCCGTGGGATGAAAAAGGATTCGTAGTCCTCATACTGAACCTTTTTAAGTTCCGTAAATCGAAGAAGGTTTCGAAGTTTTAGTACAAAACCCTCTAGTCGCTCTGTGCATTGGGTACTGAACTTTCGGTGGTTTGATATCTTTCGCACGAAATCGTTGACAGTTTCGTAGAGTATCTAAACGTTTCGTAGTAGTTCTACGAAACCATTCATAGTTCCTTAGTTGCTTATATAGTTTCTGGACACGTTGTACGAAACTAGCCGTGGTTTTGTAAAAGATATACCGAATCATTACATTGTTTACCAAACTACGAATAGTTTCGTACAATTTATACTAAACCTTTTGATATTTTACGAAACCACTGACAGTTTCGTGGAATAAGTAAGGGTTCTATACATTGTGTACGAATCTATCGAAAGTTTCGTGAAAGATCAAAAGGTTCGGCATGCATTATACGAAACTATGAATAGTTTCGTATATGGTGTAATGGTTCGGCATATCTTTTAGGAAACCATGGCTAGTTTCGTGCAATGTCTTCGGAACTATTAGAGCACTTGCACAACTATGAATGATTTCGTAGAACTAATACGATACTTTTAGATGCTCTGCGAAACTGTCAATGGTTTTGTGACATATATACAGAACCTTCAAATAAATGACGAAATGCTTCATGGTTTTGTGTAACACATACCAAACTATTATATGCATTTCGAAACTAACAATGGTTTCGTAAAATGTCGGCAAAACCTTTGCAACATCTACGAAACTATGCATGGTTCAGTAAAAGATATGCCGAACCATTACATCATTCCCGCCACTATCAATGGCTTCGTGTCACGTATACGGAACCTTTAGATGCTCTACTAAACTCTCAATAATTTCGTACAATGTATACAGAACCATAATAAAGGTTTCGAAATCATCACTAATTCCGTACGGTTTGTACGGAACTATTTTACTACTTGCCGAACTAAGGGTGGTTCTGTCTTCTATACTCGAAACCTTTAGATATTCTACGGAACTATCAATGGTTTCGTAAAATGTATACAGAACCATAATATGGATTCTTAAATTACCATTAGTTCAGTAAAATTTCCACGGAACCATTTTACCAGTTACGAAACAAAAGGCGGTTTCGTACACATTATACGAAGCCATTATATAATGCTTATAAAATTATCGAAAGCTTCGCATAACAAATACGGAACTTTTTGATATTCTAGATAACCATTCATGGTTTCGTTAGTTAGCTAAATGCTCCCTTTCATTGTACAGCATCAATGATAGTTTCACAAAATAGCTCAAGTTTTACCAGTTCTCAGGTAGAGACTGTAAAAATCCTAGTAAATTCTGACAGGATCGCTCTGGTTTGTTTGAAAGCGTATGCCACAAGGTATGCTATCAAACATTTCTTATTCATTCGTTTGGCTAGGAACGTTCGACTGTTCGCTGTAATAGTTTACTAGGGAACACTCATCTATACAGATGTACAATAAATGTAGCAAAGCTTATTAGCGAAAATTGAAGGCATAAGGAGAAAATATTGAAGAACTGCCTATACAAATACTTAACGCATAGACCAGAGAACAAGATCAGGGGAAGCCAAACCAAGTGATTATACAGATAATATCAAGCTTATTTATCAAATCTAATACTTCAATTAGCCGAGTCTTCGCAGAAAAATTGATAACGTTTAGTACTCATGGAAATAAGACAAGCACATTTTGAAAGTGAGTATGGGTGTCGGTGTGAGTTAGTGTGGGTGTGGTTTTTGTTCCTCGCTTCACCCGCACTAATCATTCATACACACCCTCAAATTTTACCTTCACCAAACCAACGCTTTATACAATAGACTTTTCCAAAACATATCTATTTATTTCTTCACCTAATATTTTCACTTCTATTCTGTCATTTATAAAATTAACCACTAAAATTGAGTAGTTGATGGATGTCTATAAGAAGAATCATCAATTAGGTCATCTATATTAATGAGGATCACCATGAAGTAGACAATTAATATGTATGAGAACTATCAATAGATAAGTCATTTGTATCATTGAGGGCCGACATTGAGTAGATGACTAATACTCAGGTCAATCACGCTCGACTGTACACGGCCGTACGCCAACTAATTATGGCGGATAAGCGTGGCTGTTTCCGCCGGACCTTTACAACAACTGTAAACGATACCTTCCAGAATATTACAGCCAGTGTACATAACACCCATAAAAGTCGGTCATAAACGGCTAATGTAACGAAACGGCAACCGTATACGCTCGTTGTGAGCCAACGTAAGACGACGTATTCATGAGCAGTTTACGACACTTCCTTCTGTCAATAGTTAATGACAGGTTGCGTCGCATAACAACGATTGGAAACAATGACTATGAACAATGGTCGTTGACGAGCATAGTAGCAACATAGGTACTGTAAACAAGCATACCACAAACCATTGTAATGTACTCTACACGCTAGATGTTACCAAATAACGTATCCACCGATTGTCAACAATCGTTTAACTGATAATACACCTACCCCAAAAAAACCTAACGAAGCAGTTATTCTTTTCGACCATTAAGTAAGTGAGAATGATTTACCAGATTATCGATCCATCTCAACTCACAAATTAGATGGCCAGATAGCACTTCACAGCTGTAAGAAAACCCGAGCAATTCGATGTGTAGGCCCTTTAGAAGAGCATCTCCGAGACTTCAGAAACGACTAAAACGTAGCATCAATATGGTCTCGAAATGAGAAAGAAGAGGACTCTCACAATTTCATCGCTCAACTTCATTTGACCGATCGAATCATTGAACTCTCTCTCTTGGCCAACTTGAAGCTGAAGGTTCCCATGTATACCTGTCATTCAATAGAACATTCCCACTAACGCTAGAATCGACCAGAATGAGACGAGTAGTTGTGCTTACAATAAGGAAGCAAAGTCCCACTGAAACCTGATTGGTCAATTTAGTTGATCATTGAAAGTGCAATATTCTATTTCTTTATGGAGAGCAAGGAGGGGACCGAGACATATACCCATCATTCGATAGAGTGGTCTCGATAAATCTGGGATCGGCCCGAACATGACTAGTACCTGTCTGTAGAAGAACGAATAAAAGTGTCTCTGAAATGCGATAGGTCAAGTTAGTTGGTNGTTCATTGTGCAAGTTCTAGGCTTTCTAATATTTCCTTTCTGAAGATCTAAATATATGAATAACATTTTCAAATAATCAATATCGCAGAATAGGAGACACTAGAAAAGTTATAGCTTGCCCAGTGAACTAATTTCATTGAGAACTTTGTTCTTATAAAGCTTGAAGTCAAGAATCATAAATCGATTTTCTACATAATCGGAGAGGATCACAGTTCTTTGTTGAAAAATTCAGTAAAATTTCGATATCTCAAGAACAAAGATTCAGAGAACCAAACCACTCTAGAATTTTCTATTATTCAGTAGTACTCATCAAGTGAACATAGTCTTCATTGAAAAACGATTTGATATCTGGAGAAGTTACCTCGTAAACCATCGAATTTTCAACATAGTTATTCTCTAAAGGTTCGTATAGGACTAAAGATTTTTCGAAAAAATCGTATTTTTGAATTTTGATCTGAAAGTTTGTGTACATAAAGAACTCAACTAGGCTAGCACCCATTAAAAAAATTCACAAGTTTTTAACATATCTTCAAGCTATGAGACTATCCTATATGCACAAAGTTTTAGATCAAAGTTCGATAGTTCAGTCATATCTCCATAGAAACTCGAATCCTTTTGGAATGTTAAGTAGAACACTATGCAGTATCTATAGACAGAAACGTTATTGAAACCAGAAGAAATAATCTAAGGAAGCTTCCTTGTCAATAATATTTATGTGTCTGATATGAATTCGCAATAATATTCCATATTTATAGTATATTCAATTGAACATTATGTTTCAAATCTCTTGTCTTTAACGGAAACATAACTGCTTTTTTTTCTATCAATGTCCAATGAACCTAAAAGATACAAGGAAGAATATAAGAAATGCGAGCTAGTATTTAGCGAATTAACATGAGCAATATAACACTAGATTGAATTCAAATAGCAAGAGCATTTATAACTTTCGTTCTGTTGAATCATAGTATAATCTTTCCAAAAAGTATTCACTTTCTGAAAATGAACATTAAATTTCACCATATGATTCTTTCATTGAATTAAAGTCTTTTTTGATTATCAATGTTTTCTAATTCTTGTTTGTTTCGATATTATAGTTAACTTTTAATTATTTTTCTTGTTAATAATTATATCATGTTGTTTCCAGACGATAGCCATCATCTGTCTTAGATAGGTAGATGTCATCATGAAGCAATTGATAGTAATCAAGAGATTTTTTAAAGCTGATATCTTACAAAATGATCTTTTTTCTTCTCAAGTTAAAGAATATATTTTAGTATTAAATTGTTTCTATATGGTGATAATATTGATTTTATTGATTTTACTCAGAAGGGAACGTTCCCAAGTGTCTAACTGATTTAGTTTTCCGATATTCATCGCTTGTCGATTTATGGATGTTTTACTCAATTTTTGAGCTATGAGCATATGATCACTACGAACCTGGATTATTGAATTTCGAGCTGAAATTTTCTCTATAGATAAATCTTGTAGTTCATGCAGACGTTTAAATATATGAGCTATAAAGAATGCATTCTTCACCAAAATATTAACATGTCAAAGAAACATCTATTTTGAATCGTGTTTCAAAAGAAAGATATTTTTATAACAAGCTGATGTGTCGACAAAGAAGTGTTTGTTCTAGTTGAAACTTCAAAGAATTCCTAGTGACTATAAGATCTATCTATCAATAAATCTCAATTCAAAATTCGATCATTCAAGCTGTTGTTGACACTATGCCTGTAGGATGAAAATTGAGTACTACAATATCAATCTTAAAAGGTTTCAGACGTGAAACAGATGTTTTCATTTGAAAGACAATAGAACAGATGTGTGATATTCAGAGAATGAAAGTTTGAAGAAAACGTTGTTATTACAATATTTTTTATTACTTCTTATGATTAGTTTAATGAATAAATATTCTTGTCTGTAGAATCAAAAATTCACTAAATCTTTGTTTGTACCAACAGACCAACAACAAAAACAAAAACCTAGAATTCTTATTCTCTTTTGATTGATTATTTTTTGAAAAAAAAATCCAGATATCTAAAAATATTATTTTCATTAAAAAAACATCAAATCAATGATCTAATCATCAAATTTATAACACCAATTACAGCAATTCGAGCAATCATATATACATATTCAGCTAATATATTTCTTACAATATTTCTCGGTATCTATCATTTAAAATTGCCAAGATTTGTGTTGTTGAAATACTGTTCATATTTTCATTGTATGATGAAATTACTATTTATACTGAAAATAAATACAAATTTATTTTTAACTGAGTGATTGAGCGTTTCGTTTGTTTATTTTTATGTACAATTAAGAAAACCAAAATACACTGGATGTTAACATGGCAAGATAAATTAGTAGAAAATAGTTAGTTATAAAATCTGACACATAAATATTTTAGATTCGTTAAGTGAAACATATAAAATAGAAAAAAGAAACAAAAATAAATAATCTAAATACTGTTCACAAGAAAATACAAAGCTTGTAATGAATCAAATTATTTTCAAACATGCATTTTCGAGATTCAATATTTATATACAATAATTAATTATCTATTGATTTTGTAGATCTCTAAGTTGTTCTTTAATAACATAAGTACTTGGACGACATGCTGGATTTTCCGCCCATAATTCTTGACATGAATTCAATATATAACAAAAAGTCTAGAAAAACAACAACAACAAATCACCATCTAAATTTTATATTATGAATTTTTCTTACTGAATTATTTTCCCATCGAGGTGAAGGTGCTGGTCGAATTTTTCTTATACATACAACTTCATGCATTTCTTCAAATTTTGGATTATTTGGTAAAACATCTTCATAAGGAAGTTTATATATATCAGCATCATTTTCTAATAAATCAAATTAGATAAAAGAATATTTTATAAACAAAAACAAAAACTAATTTATAGAAACCTTCTGGAGTTGTTTGACATCTTCGTAAAATTTCCCAAAAAACAAGTCCTAATGCATAAAGATCAGTAGCTTTATAGGATTCGAAAACTTTTTCATTGAGTGTTTTATCAAGGATTTCTGGTGCCATATAACCTAAACAATACAAATATATATATATATAAATTCTTTTCTTTTTAAATTTCATTTTCTTACGTATTGTACCAACACGATGATTTGGTTTAATATCAATTACATTATGTTCTTCATTATTATTACTATTATTATCATTACGTAAATCACTATATTTTTGACGAACTTCACTAACTGCAAGACCTAAGTCTGCAATACAACATGATAAATCTTTTTTAACTAAAATATTTTTTGTTTTTAAATCTCGATGTGCAAGTGCAGGTTTTCCTTTAAAAGGCAAAAAAAAAACATCAAATTATTATTTATTTGTAAGAAATTATTTAGGAAACAAAAAACAAATACAAACCATTTGTTGCATCAATTGATACATGTAAATAAAAAAGACCATTAGCAATAGTGAACATCATTTTAATCATAATTGGAATTGTTATTGTATGAGTCATAAGATAATCATAAACAGAACCATTTTCATGATATTCAGTACCAAGCCAAAGTTCAATACGATTTGAAACATCCTTAAATAAAATTCGTTTTTTCATCTATTATTTCTATTTTAAAAAAATCGATTAGCTCAATATTTCTCTAAGAAACTAGAAAATTTATAAATGAATATGAATTACAATAATTTAGAGTTTAAAAAGTCGGCCTAAACCGAATAATACAGTACGTAAACAGTTGTATTCACATGTTGTAAAACACGATCTAAAAGTTGTGTCGAGATATCGAGGTAGATATGTGAACCCTACTTCTCTCCCCATAGACGTGATAGACATTGTTGACATACGATCATGCACCGCATATCAACAATGTCTCGCTATAATATGTGAGCTACTTCTTGGTTGTATTAACAACAACAGCAGAAATTGGTGAAGAGATTTTGAAAAATTTTCTTTGATCAAAGGACTTTTTACATGAAAATAAAAAGAAGAAAATAACGGTAGAGAAAACACTACTTAAAAGTTAGACCACTAGCATTCTCGACAAAATAACTTTACAGATCGAAAATGTTTGAAATTCGACTTTCACTGGTCGCTTTAAATGCTTAATTATATAAAGCGACTATAATCAATTACTTGAGTACTCAAATAAATGATGTGCAGCCGAATTCCGATCATGATAGGAAGGTGAAAGCAAGAGTACAATGTTCTGATCCAGTGGCCGAACTTTCCTGCTTTCGATGGCAGTCGCCTGTAATCAAGCAAAACTTGCCGTCGTACGCAATCAGCATAACACTGCTTGCAAGTTTCTACTATTGACCGGAGTTTATCGATCAGAAATACCATCTTTCATGTGGATTTCTCTCAAAAAAAATCACGGAGTTGGTCGCTAGAAACATTGATCTAAATGGTTACGTAATTGATTATAAGAAAGATAATGTTTTTTTTTCTCATAAATACAGTATTCATGTGACCGAGCCATCTATTAATTTTGAACAAATCGTTTCAAAGAATTTTCATCATTAAAAACAATCTAAGAACAACACATTAATTAAAGACGTGAATGGAATAATAATTCGAAAAACACGTAATAATTCTTATGATTACTAGCTATTAAAGTCTATCCATTGATAATGTCAAATACTGCCCGACTAGACAGGAAATCAATTAAAGACAAAAGAAAGAAACAAAAGATTATTGAAGAAATGGTTGTAAACTGTTGCCTCGAATATTTACTGTATTATCAGCGGCTATGTATCGAAGAACATTTTCATGATTTAAACCAAATTCTTCATAAATATTAACTTCACGTCTCCATGATGGTTCTTCATTTGATAAACAAATTTTTATAGCAATTGTATCTTGATGCCATTTACCACAATAAACAGTGCCATAAGCGCCAATGCCAATTTTTTTTTCTAATGTTACTTGATTCGAAAATCTCGTTGTTCCTAATAAAAGAGTATCTAAACAAATAACAAACGTTTATTTTAATATATTTTCCTAGTTTTTTCCTCAAATAACTTACTGCATTCGTCTGAAATTTTTGATATATCATCCGGATATGGATCACTTTTAGTACTTGATACTGAACGTTTTAATCGAGGTAAAAACGATATCCATAGACCTGATTTTTTATCTGATTTCGTAACTCCATTACAGTTCGATGAATTTTTTCTATGAAAAAAAGAAAATTTTATTCATAGAAAAATTTATAGATTTTTCAATACATACTTTTTTCGTTTAATATGAAATAAAATCAATACAAATAAAGTACAAAGTAAAAGAATAGATGCAATAATAATAATAATAATAAATATTGATCTAATGAAAAATTTATCCGATTTAGGTTTTTCTTAAATAGAATAAAGAATAATTATGTATGTATATGAATAAATTTTACGTTGGTTGAAAATTACTTGATGATAATAATTTGTTTCGTATGTCACTTGAATATGCATCACGATCATTGCAATAATCATGATCTGAACAACAAATAATATATCGATTAGTTTGATTACCGCTGCAGAAAAGTTTTGTAAAAAAAAACTCATTAAGAACACATCTAAAAAAATAAAATCTCGTCAAATAGATAATGATATATATATATATACCCAGCAGTGACATGAATAGAATCATCATTGGGTTCTTTCGTCCAACTTTCATAACAAGCATGATCAAGATGTGTTAAACGACAAGTTTGAGTATTTGAATCACATTTTTCATCTTCAGTACAGAAACATGTTGTATTTGTTCTTTGTTGTGTACCATCAATGAGAACAGATACGATATCGTCATGATTCTCTTGACTAATGACAGTTAAGCAAATAAGAATAGTAAGAATGAATATTTTTTTAATCATCTAAATATGAAAAATTGTTTTATGAATTTGTTTTTTTTTACTCATGTTCAATAAATATTGTTTTATCATATGTAAGATATGGTAGAAAAAAAAACGTTGAATTTCCCTATGCTAATAGAGTGCTGACAATATTTATAGAAGAGAAAAATAAGGCATGAGAATGTTTACTATTGAAAAAAATTTCTTTTTTTTTGCAATGCTCTTCCTTTGTATTATTCTAATGAAAGATGTCGCAATGTATTGACGCCAATAAATAGTTCTCGAAACCTATTTGCAAAAAACCAAAGGTTAAACGAACGTATGAAAGATCACATTTCATTCAAATTCAATGCACACGTAACATAATAACAATGTGCATTGAAGCAAATATTCATTTCTTTTTTCAGAACGTTAGTTTTAGGATGAAGATGAACGAATTTATTTCGAATTCATTCTATCTTGAAAATTTTCTCCTAGAATGTCTTGAATTGTTGGAGAACCATCAAATGAATTATAAAAATTTATCATTAATCTTCTGCTTCGTAATAGTTAATGACAATATGTCTTCTACATTAGTTTTGTCAATCATATAAACTGCATAATATGCAAATTAAAGCATTTTTTTTGTATAAATAGTTAATTTCTTTTGAAAAAGATTCGAAATTTTTTAATAGTCTTGATAAAACATTGAGTCTATGAGGCTAATTTTAAGATTACTCTTACAGAGTTAGTTTTTCGTGACGAATTGAAACACATTAATTATCCAATCCACATGAAACGAAAAATTTTGTTTTAAATAGAAAAAAAAATGAGTCATTCAAGGCAATCCAAAATCTTTGAAAACAAATTAGGATACACATATTCGTAGTCAGCTTGTCGAGTGCTATTTAGCTACGTGTTAACCCTTTCAATTCTGAATGTCATCTACGAGATGACATGCAGAACGCCAGAGAACTATTTTGCGTTCTTTCCTTTTCTTGAACGACGAGCACTATATGATATGTTCAAGCGAAAATCACTTCGTATGGCTATGAAGAAAAAATCTAGAATTCGAACACATATGATTGTGATAACTGAACGCAAATAAATGTCAGGATTGAAATGGTTAAAAGGCAAAAAAAAAATTACTTTCATTTCGTTCATTTTACATTGACTTCTAAAATTATTCAACCTTTTTTCACTGTCGTAAATGGTAATACGAATCTAATTATTGATTGCAAGTTTGTTAAGGACAAAATCTCTGAAAAACCAACCAAAACTCAGATTGACATTTGGAAATCGAATTCTATTTGAATTACCCTGAATAATAGAGCAAATAATGCTCTACACACAATGGAACATCTTCCATTTTTCTACGATGTTTTGTGACCGATATAGAACAACATTACGAAAAGCACAAAATTATGTTTCTCCAGGCAATAACAAAAAAATAACAATCATTTTTGTATCTTTCGTACAATTGACATGTCTGAGTCAAAACAAAAAAAAAATGTCGTGAAGCATTATTTGCTCTATCATTTTAGATAATTTCAGGAGATGCAAAACTGGAGTTTAATGATTTTCAAAAATCTTATCTTTGAAAAATGAGCAATCATTTTTATCTTTGAGAACTTCTTCTTGAAAATAAAATTTTTCACACAGAACCTTATTTGACTGCTTATTAGAGTTAATAATAATGAAAAAAAATTCAAAAATAAATCTCGTCGAATAATTTCGGCAGCCACTGTTATAATAACTAAATTAAGATATTGATGCGCGCTTTTAAATTTTTTCATTTTCTTACATTTTTATACAATGTCATATGCACTTAATAAAAATTTTTCTGAAACTCATTGTTGTATTGATTCTCAAATAAATAATCGAACTCTACATTCTACTTTATCAATACCATTATCAATATCATTTATCGATTTATTTGAACATCGTATTATAACTAATATATTTCAAAAGATGCCAATAATAATTAAAACATTAGCTAATCTTTGTCAAATACTTGATGATTATCCATTATCACAAATAAATATAGAACAAATTCAACAGGGAACATATAATTGTATTTTATGGAACGAAGATCAATCATATCCAATAGCAATTGATCAAAATAATTATTTAATTAAATTTCGACAATTAATACGTCAATATATTCATGAATTTCTTGAATTTTCACAACAAATTCTTATATTTTCAAATAAAAATAATGAAATAAATTTACTAATACAAAAATCTATGAAATATTTAATTCTATTAAATGATTATCGAATAAAACGACAATTAGCATATATGAATTTTTCTCAGAATTATACATTTGAAGATTCAATGTTAATATTGTATAATATTGATAAACAACAATATCATGAACTTCGTTTAATTGCTTTAAATTTACGACAATTTTTTTTAAAACTAATTAAATTTATTAATCCAAAATTTTCAGTTTTAGAATAAAAAAAACGAGAAAAAAGAAAACACTAAGACAAAATACTTACTTGTGATTGATAGTTTACTTTTATGATAATATGAAATCAGTACTTAAGCCTTTTTTTCTCTGTATGAATAATGTTCTTGTTGGTAAATGACTTGTAAAAATACATACATATATTGTGACCTTGTAGAGCTTGCTATTTTTTGTTGATTTTATCGACTATATGATTGGTTACAGTCATTCATGTATTTTTCTTCCTTTTTAGTCAAATGAGATTAAATCAGCCACGCATGTTAAAAGGTGTACACTCATTTATTTATTTGTCTATTCTCTTGTAATAATATTTTTATACAGTAGGTTTGGTATATATTTTGTTTTTGTTTTATCTCCTTCAATGATTGTTTATCTATATGATTATTTATATCGACTTGCTGGAAAATAGGTTAAAAATATGATACACCTACTTTTGATGAGATATTAAAATGACAGATGAGTTATTATTTTGTTTATATTGTGATTTTTCCCTGGTTATTTGGGAAAATGACCACAAGAAAAATAAAAAATACGTCAAATTAAATGTTAAGAAGCGCATACCAATCGATATGATGAAAGAATGAATTTCTTTTTTTTTCATGCAGCAGTTCCTACAACTGACTGTCTGTATATGTGATATGACCATGCGGTAATGAACAAGAACAGAAAAAGTTATCATTCCATGTCGATATACATAGCAGTTAAATGTATTTTCTTTTTCATTTTTCTTCATTTATCTACATGCGACGACGAACTGAATTTGAAAAAGATATGAGACGTACACCTCCATCTCCATCGCCTCGTTTTTCACGTACATTTGATTTACTTTTGAGTCGAGTAAGATAAATAAATATTGAATAGAAAAAAAAACAATATACTTTTCAAATATTTCAAAATTATTTTTCCTTTTTTATCTATTAGTTTCCTGATTCAGCAGATTTATCAATAAATTCGAATCATAAAACATCACCTGTAAGTCTTGTTTATTTTATTTTATTTTGTGCTTGGTATAAAATAAAATATTTTGATTTAAGAGTGTTTTTTTAAATCTTTTTTTTTTTATAGATTATGGCATCAAAAAGAGATAGTTTTCAATCTTTGACAAATAATGAAAAATCTAACAACAAACCAGGACAATGGCGAGCATTAACTTCAGCACCTTTATGTGCATTTTGTAATAAAACTGTTTATCCAGCTGAAGAAATTATTGGTGCTGGACAAAAATTTCACAAACTTTGTCTTAAATGCAGTAAAATATTTGTTTTTTTTTTTTTTTGTACTCATTATTCAAATTTCATTTAACTTTTATCTTTAGCTACATGCCATATATTACTCAATTCACGTAGTTTAAATGAACGTAACAAAAAGCTTTATTGTGTAGGTTGCTATAGTCGTCAATTTGGTCCACGAGTAGGTAAGAATTTATTTAATATGAAAAAAAATAAAACAAATTTACGAAGATTTTCTTTTCTTTTCTCAGTCTCTCGTAATCTTGCAACATCATTTCCATCTAATTTGGATACGCCACCTAGTAGTCCAAGTTCAAATCGAGAAGAAATTGATTCCAATATTGAATTACCAAATACGGATGATAATTATTTTCATCAAAAAACTTCAACAGATTTATCACCATCTCATATTTCATTTGATAATGGTTCACGTAATAGTAATTTGAAAAGTACTATTATGAGTGGAGTAACAACACAACAAACAATATCAAACGTCAATCGATCAACATCACCACGTGTAATAAATGGTACGGCATTTAAAATGATGTCAATATCAGGAAATATTTGTCCTCGATGTTCAAAAACGGTTTATTCAGCTGAAGAAATTAAAGCTGCTGGCAAAGTAAAATGTAAAAATTATTTTGGGTTTTTTTTTTAATTAGATTTTTTTTCATTGCAGTCATTTCATAAACAATGTTATACTTGTGCTTGTTGTAAAGGAACTATTAGTGGTGCTCATTTTTCTGAACGTGATGGAGAAATTTATGATAACAGTAAAATGATTAAACTTGTTTTGATATAGAATTGTATTTTGTTTGATTTTTATTTAGAATGTTATCAACGTTTATTTAGTCCAAAAGTAGTATTATCAATAGGAAATTGATTATGAATTCGTACTGGACCGGTGCTATGATGACAAGACTAAAAAAAGAAACTATATCGTTTTTGATTACTTCTCTTTTTTCTTTTTCTTTACCTATTTGTCGTTTTTTTGTTTTTTGCTTATTTCTATTCGATCTGATTTTCCGGTTGATATTATAAATTATCATTAAAGATCTCTATCGTGTATGGATTCTATTGATATTAAGATATTGTTTCATTAGAAGATCTGATATAGAGTACTAGTGTAAAACGTATTTTTGATTTTTTTTTCTATGCTATCAAGCATATAACTCAAATCTAAATAATAGTTTGAAGAGTCAATGAGAGAAAGGTTACTGAAAACACCTAAACAATGTACTTTGTAGGTACCAGAAAGTTGCATGAAAATTATTTTTGCAGAATATTTTGTTAAAGAGTGTGAAATCTGGAATGAAATGAAGGGTTACCGCATTCCCTGCAATCATTTCTTAAAAAATTATACGCATAAAAAAAGCAAAATTTATCACAACGTGACTTAACAACGCATTTTTTGTCTTTTTGTGATGCTTATCACTTTTTAAGGCAAGGTCATAGGAACTCATGCAACATCTCATTTTTTTTCAGAATTTTAGGCTCTTTAAGATATCATTCTTAAAAACTCATTTTCATACAGGGTTTTTGACAACTGAAAACTACCTTTTTTTAGGTTTTTTAAGAACCTTTCTCAAACATTAAATAAGAACAGTCAATGAAACATCAATTTGGTTCAATTAGTACTATAATTTCTTCTTGAAGAGAAAAAAATTATTTGTTAAGTTTTATCAGAACCGCTTAAACTAGAAATTAGGTTACTGCAAATGAATCTAATAACAATAAAAAATAAGATCTGCACTAAAAACATCACATTCTAATGCTATTAGATCTAACTGATGTAAAGCGTCGAATGAAGGAAAGATCCAGTAGGATTATAGTGGCTTTCGAATAGATAAAGAATTGACTCTAGGACAGATCGTTGTAGAACATTTCGTTGCATGAACACAACGTTGTACAGACAAAGTGTCGCAAGGACAAATTGTTGTAACATTTCATTATGCTAGAAATTTCTATAAATCAAGTTGACTGCTTAAAGAATAATCTAAGAGTGTGAAGTTTAGAGTGATTGTGCAGATTCCGAGTTTAGAGGGCAAATGCATGGTTTATGATCTAGAGTATGAGTGTAGAATTTGAGTTTTATTGCGGATTTAGGCGTAGTGGTTGGTGTGATGAGGACAGTGGAGGAACCCCGTGTGGGTTAAGATGGTTATAACTGCCTACACTACACAACTCTCTTAAGTACCGACACTCGCATAACATCCACAAGTAAACACTCAAACTCATTTACACTTATCCACATGCCACATCCATCCGCAAGCGATCTTGAATAATCACCCATGTTGTCAGAAACCAAATCAGTATTGTTGTAACATTCTACCACGTCAGGATTTTGCAACGAGAGATTTTTTTCGACGGATCTTCAACGGTTTTTCAAAAACTGTAAGCTCGTCTGCATTGTCTCTATGGCGAAGCTTCATCAATGCGAGTTGATAAAAGATTTTTCCTGTTTCATCGTCATTCATTTTTTAAGTCAGCAATATTCCGTACAAATGTTCGGCTTCATTATAAAGGGCTAAATTTACCATCAACTTCTCCAGTCGAAATCGTCTTGTATATCCTTGACTCTCTTCTCACATCCATTCAGTAATTATGTGCAAATCCAGGTAATTGCCACCAATCAATGTTATGTCGATTTGCCAATGACGATTATTTCCATCCATTTGTTGCATTGGCTCATTTTAACAGACGGAATACATGGAGTTCTCCTTCTTTAAAATAAAGACGTCACGAACGGTAGTAAATGGTGTTAACCGCAGCGTTGCAACCGGGTGGTATAATTTTTGTCCAATTATTGCAGACTTAGTTTTCAAAAAAAATTATCATACAGGTGTTTTTGTTTTAAAGATCAAACCTGTTTTACCGATATCAATGACTATTTCTATTTAGTGAATATTTATCAAGTGACTTCAATATCAAGTTATATTATTGAAACAACATGGAATCATTGTTCGTCACAGTAATTTTATACATATTTATTTTCATTTCGTAATATTCATATCATATCTATCACAGAGTACATCTAAAGTTGATTCAGAATTAATATGTCTGGCTAACATTTCATTAATGCGCAAAGTTAATACAGAATTTAAAGCTTTCGCTGAAATCCCTATGGAATTAAATAGTTAAACATAATGGAGCCATTTTGACTTTTGTGGGGAACCTAACAAGAAAAAAACAAAAACTTCATTCTTCAGTTTACTCCAAGGATATGCCAAAGTTACCCTCTAGAGCTTCCTAACTATTTCAAGCCTAGTATCAACTTGTGTTAAGAGCATGTCAGTTTGAGTTCTTTTTATAAAAGTGTATGTGATATTTAGGTCTAAACACATAATTGTGCTTCAAGATTTGAGTATCAATAAAGTACAATTATGTGTTTGGACTTTATTGCCAGGCAGGCTTTTATTAAATGAACTTAAATCAGCATGTCGGAAAATCCGCTAGGCCGCTGAAGACATTGAAATTTCTGTTAAAGTCTGACAGTACGCGTTAAAAGAGCATCGATTCGTTTGTAACTACCTTTGGAGTCGGTTAAAGGAGATAAAATCAATTTTCATGACGAACAGAATATCAACAAAATCAGACATTTATTTAGTTTCGTGAGCAAAAGGGAGGGATACGTCACTGTGTACACTAGAGCATGATAATTATTAACTGACGAAAGTCTGCCTTTTGTTTTTTACCTAATTCATCAAAGTACTGAACTGCTTTCGTGTCTTATTGCGTCTCCTTTTTCTTCCACTTCTTTAGAGTTCATGAGCTAGACAATAGCAGAATAAAGCCCTTATTTAAAAAGTACAGCATAAAAATCAAAGGAAAAAATCATAAATATTGTCTTATTACCATGCGCTAAAATAAGATAAATATAAAACAAAAAACCCTCAAATTCAAATAAGATTATTGTTGGTATTTAGTAACAAAGAGGTCGATCACTGTGTGCACGTTTACAACCAGATCGACAACGTCTAATTTTTTCCCAATGATTTTCATGTAGTACTTTTTAAATAAGGGTTTTATTCTGCTATCGTCTAGCTCATGATCACTGAAGAAGAATATGACATAAAATAAGGTTAGACTGGAAGAAGTGAAGAGGAAACTAAATATGAAAAACAATATAACCGAATTTTTATAAAAATGGCAGAAAGCACTGCTGTATACGCTACTCGATGGAGAATATTAAAGATACTTATAAGAATGTTTTGTGTATAAAACATCTGCAACAGATTTGTTGTTAGAAAGATGTTAAAGTGAGCGAGAATGCCGTTGAATTAACGACACCGAACTATGATCCGGATAAATTGTATCCTAAAAATAGTAAGAGTGTGAATGTGAAACTGAACTCGTATGCATCCACACCAACATTTTACACGGCACCTGTAAAATCACATAATTGTTCACCGAAAATTTGAAACGCATATCTATTCGAGGTTGCAAATGTGTGTACGTACATTTCTCATACAAGAAACACTTGGTTTATTGAAATGTTTTTGAGTATATTGTGACTCTTTCACATAACTGAAAAAAATGTTATTATGATAATATAAACAGCATGCGATCAGGCATACAATGAAGAGTTCAAAGAAAATATAAAAATGAAATTGAGAGAGTAAGAATTGAAACGGGCATTCACAATTGATTAAAGAGCGTAACTAATTAGGAAAAGGGGGCGTGAAGCGTTATCATCCCTCATCTTTGCTCTTGAAAATTGTTCACACAACGCCCATTCTTTCGAGATTCAACCATTCTGCGCTTTTAGCTTACCTCCAGTGTTGAATTACGCCTCTGATTAAATAGTCGTTTTTTTCAATAGTACGAATGCAAAGTATATTATTGAATTATTATGGTTCTAAACATAGTTTTCTGTAAATCGATATAAGTCCTACTGCAGGATCTGCATCCACTGATAAGATTATCAGCTTGTGATGCCATTTTATGTTTCCAGTTACTAATTAGTAGAAAAATTAATATTACATCACACATAGACCAGATTGACTGTTCTGATATGTAATGAGTAATTTACTAATATAAGCAAATAATAAATAGTTATCTTTCATTTAATTATGAATAATACGAGTAATTAAAAAACCTTCCGTAAGAGAAAGAGTATTTGATTACAACCGCACATTATACGAATGTAATTTTTTAAAACTATTCATTCGATTGTTGGCAAATTTTTAAAAAAATCAATAAGACTGAAGAAGATTTACAACTTTATAGAGAAGAACTCCTTTATTATAAGACATATTATGAGAAGATTATTTTTGGTCTTGCTTGAAAGAGAAAAATTATGAGTAATACAATTAAAGCGTTGGAAAACTATGCAGACGCTTTGTATAAACTTATTGATATAAATAAAACAGTTTCAGAATATATGTTACTAATAAAATTTATTCCAGAATTCTGGTAGATTTGGCCTCTGTGACTAGTGCACGTGGCTCATGAAAGAACATTTTCAACTTTCAAATCACTCTTTGATTATATATACGCTCAAACAATAGCTCTTAAACATTCTGTAAAGACTTGCTTTTCTAGTCCTCCTGAAAAGAGATATACCATTATTTATATTACTAGTTTTACTGTAGTATTGTACTAATATATTTGATATCTCGACTAAACATACTCCGATCCGGTTCAAATTTATATCAATACTAATATACTTGGTTCCGACTAAAATTCCACAATTTTAAGATATGAGTTTGCTTGACATGTTGATTAGTTATTAAAAACCAAGATGCACTCTTATTCAAACATACAAATATTAATTCATGTGATATTTTGAGCACACATGTATTTCCTAGAAAGTCTGCGTATAGAATTGTCAGTTCGTTTATCTATGCTTTCGATAATATGAATGAGAAAAATAAATTCGTG